CTTTGCAGGTGTACTTCACAACCAGTGATAATCCTGTCTGGATAACCAGCATTTTACCCTGTAAAAGAGTGAACAACCATAAACAAGAATGGCAAAATAATATACCTAGAATGGCATTGAAGCACCACAAAGAAATAGGAAAAATTAGGGCTCATTTGCTCATTCCACTTACTTAGCTCATTTGCATAAAGACATTTCAGTTTCTTTAAATAAATTCTCATACAGTTTATCAATCAGTTATCATAGAATAAAATTCATTTACTTTGGGACTGAGAATGGTGAAGCTTAAAATCAAGGCTTTTTCAATGGCACTAGAACCAGCTTATGCTGCTTTATATTCATGAACATAGTCATATGAACTGCTTTATAAGTCATAATAGTATTATATATATGAATAGGCAACAATGTAGGCGAGACTGTAAATCTAATATAATCCTTGTACCCGATAAAAAAGTCTTTGAGCATGTGGTCAACACATTCTATTTATAAGAATGACCCTTTTTGATATTTATTCCAAAACCACATTATCACAGTGTTGTAAATTTTTGTCCCAATTTCAACATTTGAATAAGATAAGAATTATAGGAATATCCTAAAAAATAAAAAAAAAACAATCTTACCTTTTGCAGGTTTTGCCGGTGTACTTTACAAACATCAGATAACTGTTTCTGAGCTACCAGAGTTTTCCCTGTTGACAAATGAAGAACCATAAAAATAGCCAAGTTAAAACATTTAGATAAATAACAGACATGATAAACATTTTGGCTTAATTTTATAAAGACATTTGAGTGTAATAAAGATTATGATGGAAATATGATAGAAAGTCATCTTTCAATCAAGTAATCAATTGTGGCCTAACACAAACTTTTTATTTTCAGACTCAGAATAGTATAACTTGTAAGTGTACCCATTTGAAAACAGAGACTCCATAATTAATAAACCTTTTATATTATATTTCTTATTTAAGGCACACTTTCCATTATATGTATCAGTAATAAATAGCTGATGTACAACTCTAAAAATAAATATCTTAACACAATGATAATTAGAGATCTTTACATTGAAAATCCAATTCTAGCTAAGTGGAGCTTCTTATTTCAAAAATGAATGTCTTGACACCATATAGATGGGAAAGTGTGGTAAATATATACAATTGAGAACTTGAAAATAAAACTCAGTGAAGTCTTGGTTTACATGCTAGACCTAGAAGGGATTTTACAAACCTTGCAGATTTCTTGGCCATGAAGTTCCAAGGCATCTTACAGGCTAGCCTTCAAATTTGAAATGAAATTAAAATTATTCATACATAAATTGGAAAGATCTCAAACATAAAGATATTCTGAAATGCCAATGATAACAAAAAAATAGATTAACCAATTGTATTATCTATTGATCACACATGATTATCTTCACTTGCTTTCTCCCAATATGAGGAGTATCATATACTACAGAATAAAAAGCAACTCGGTCTCTAATAAAATATCTAATATTTCATAGAAAAATGCATGCATTTCCTAAGATGCATGAATAAATCTTTATTTAATGTCAACTAAAATTAAAATTCTGGCCTAGCAAATTCTTGAGTGCTTGAGAATAAAATGAATTTTTGAATGCATCTTGGTCCACATACTAGACAAAGAAAGGAATTTTTACGAACCTTGCTGAACTCTAGCTTGCAGAAAAACATCAAACTTAACATGTTGATCTTGAAAAAAATGAAAAGAAAAAATTTTCAATAATCTGCAAAATCTGATACAAAGAATAAATCAACATTTCTCAATATATACTTGCACCAGGAATAAACAATTGATGTGAAATTTTCAAAATATACATATCCTTATTGATGTTATTTAAAGATATAATTCTGCAATGAAAATATAATTCTTGCCTGGTGGAGTTCTAAACTTAACAACTGATACATAAAAAAGTGAGATAAGCACACAGAATAAAGTGCTTGTCATTGAAACACAGTCAAATCTTGGTGCAAAATCTTGGTGCAAAATCTTGGTGCAAAATTTTGGTGCAAAATCTTGGTGCAAAATCTTGGTGCAAAAAGGAATATGTACAAACCTTATTTATATCTTGCTCACAGGAATTCACCACACTTAATCTTTAATAGAAAGAAAAAGAAATTTGTTTAGATATTTGTCAAGCTAAAATTCTTACTAATATGTTATATGAAAATTTCAACATTTCATGAAACATGTATGACATACAGGGTATAACCAGTACTGTCATTTGATAGGCAAGACAGAAAATCTTAAACATTTAACAGTTTGTCAATATATCCCAACATGTTGAATTAAAGTGTTTATAGTTGAAAAATGAACTTTAAAAAAGAAACAAAACATTACTAAATGAATATAATCAATTTTTTTATCTAAAACTGGCAGAACAAACAGGCAGTAAAATTAGATATCTGAATATCTTTAAACACCAACTGCTTCAAGCAAATGGCTGCTATGCTAATTTAAAGAAAGCTTACTGAACTGCAAGTTAACATCATTTCTTTCCAAGAAAAATTTGACACACCACAAAAAACATCATTTTTGCTTGTAAGAAAAAAGGGAAAATAATCCAGTAAATATTAAATTGCTTATAAAGAAGAAAGCAAACAGAAAATGCATACCTGTAGCGCTTCAACACCTGTTCGTCGAATTTGAGAATTTCCTTTGATTCCAAACAGCTATTAGTTTTCAGTATTCACTCCATTATCCCTTAAATAAGAAAAAGCATTTGAATTCATGTTACACAGACGGTTTTCTTTTCAATTACTTCGAAAATAGTTCCACGTTTCTAAATGTATTGTCCTTTACAATAAACTTTGAAAAATTATAAGCATTTACAACAAATTCATTAAGCCAGTTACTGCTTTTCTAGCACTTCTTCCAATTCCAAATTAATACTTGTGGAACATTTTTAAGTGTTCAAATAACAAGTTTTCAAAGTTTTATGCTAAGATTGAAAAAAGAAAACAAATTGTTATACTCGTGTTCTTGAGACAGCAGTGGTGTTGCGCCAAAACTGAAATATAACGTTGAAAACTTCTGTAAATTTGCATTCCACTTAAAAACAGAAGAAAACGAGCAGGAAAAAGAAACGAAGAGTCTTAAACGATGGATAAGTTTTAGGAATCGAAAAAACACGGCAACATTTGACGGAGCAAGTCTTCTACATGGACGAAAAGGCCTTACCTTGATTTACACCCAGATTTAGGCCACGACCATGAAGGCATGAGTGTTCTGGAGCAACATCTCACCTTTAGCACCTTTGTGCCAACTAATTGAATAGCCTTGAACCAGATATTTATAAGCATATGCAAATTTGAACTCGGTTCCCGCCAAATCGAAACAAAGGTCTCCTGCGCAACAAACATTTCCCCCAAAACTTTTTAAAATCTCCCGCCAAAATTATTTCGAATCTCCCGCCAAAATTATTTCGAATCATAATTCCCGCCAAAATTTGACTCTATGGATGTCACATGATCAAAACATACTGGTTAATCCCCATAATTTCTGAAAGATTGTCAACACCCTTTTCTGTGAGAGTTTTGCCAAGAAATCGTTAGGGTGTATCACATGCTATTGTTTCATATCTGCACTGAAAAGAAGTAAGAATGCTGGGGGGGGGGGGGGCAAACTTGACCTGACAGGATGTACCTCGAAACAGGGAATAAAGATTAGGAAAATATACCAGCAGGAATTATGTGAGAAGAGCTCACTTTGTTTTTCAGAGTTTCTTAGAAGGGGCATGCTTCAGTTATATTTGCTAGAGATCAATATCTTTGTTAATACCTTCCTATTCAAGTGCCCCTGGGCTTATATTATTCAAGAGCAAATGAATTAAAATGAAGATTAAGCAATAATTTTCAGATAATGCTTAGATTTGTAGATTCTATTGAAAAATTTAGAAAATGATATATTTTTGCAAAAAGAAAGCTAAAGAACAATTTTAACTAGATATAATAAACACCTCATTTTAAAAATAGCTTTTGCAAACATCTTTGTATCAAGCTACTGCACCTCTACCAGGTTTCATGCTTATATCGTTATTTGAACGATTGACCAATATTTTGGTTCCTTCAGCCTTTACTATTCTAGAGGAAAATATTTTCGATAAAATTCTGCGATTTTTTCAAGCCAATAGCCTTCAAATGGTTCAACAAAAATCAAACACCCTTATCCAAAAAACATTTTTTACCAAAAAAGGGCTTTAAATTTCAGACAAAATGAAACTCTAGCACTTTCATATCATAACAATAGGAGTAACCTGCGCTGGAGGAAACAATTTGCCTACAGCATTACTTTCTTTTCGAAAACCGTCCCCTCTAGATACATATATTTAAGCTCGAAAAAATGACTTTAATTTTATTTCCATTTCAATATCTTTCAGATCAAATGTTGATATAATAACCTTTTTTAAAATTGATATTTTTTTCTCGGTCTGTGGCATTACGTTTTTATCAAAAATTAAAAAAACTTAGCTTTTTTACAAACCCTCGAAAACCTAGTTAATTTTACGAGTAAAACGACTTTCAATTCCAAACCGAATTAATTTCTCGTTCTTTTGCATCATAATGTAAAGATTTAACCAGTTATAGGAAGACAATTTATAACGACATCATAAAAAGATAAATTCACACGAAAATCAGACGCAACTTCTCAAAAATATGGAATGGAGATATGTGCCGTAAAAGGCAAAAATATTATCAGCGGAAAAATGTAGGCGAGAAGGTTTTAGCTTATGTCAAGGGGAACAGCTTGGGCAAGTTCAAAAATTTAAATCACAAGGAACGGAACAAGCAAGGTAGTAAACAAACGGCGAATAGGAATGGCCGAAAGTGCACTAACTAGACTGACAAGTATTTGGAAGATGAGGAAGACGAGGAAGATGAGAATTAAAACGGAAATTAGAGTTTAAAATGGCCATTTTAAAGTTTTGTACCACCAAAAGATTGTTTGGAAATCAGACAATCTTTTGTTGAACTCCATGGTAGATAGTATTCTTAATTTTTCAAACATTAACAGAGACGATAGAGAAGAAGATAGAAGCATTCGGACGGAAATGTTATTGAAAGTTGCTCGGGAACATCATTGAAAATAATAGAAATGGAACGGCTATGCAGGGGTGTCGAGAGCAACACCAGGCCAAGAGGCGGATCCAATACTAGAGCCCCTTACCAAAAGCAATAAAACTAAAATGTGTTTAAAACGGATTTAAAAACAAGAAGCTTTCTTTATTTACTTTTCATTTATATTCGTAAAACATTGTTAAATTTAAATACAGCTATGTAGTTATCTGCTATTAAAATTCAAATTTAATGGAGGCAGTTTAATTATAAGGGGGTCCCTTATCGCTTACGGGCCCAAAGTTATTCCTCTCTATGTGGGGCTGGGTCGCTCGTAAACTTTACTGTTCTAAATTATGTAACGTTTATACTGAGTCACGTGTATTTTATATTTACTTTACGTTTCCGTTCTGATTTTGCCGTGAAACAAATGTATAAATAATAACATGATTTTCTCTGATTTGATAACCATTTGATACACATATGCATTGTTTTACACGCAAAATATCATGGCAAGTCATTCAAAATAGTACTCAAATAATTAAATAGGTTAAACAGCTTTGGGAAAATAGTTTTTGGGAAGACGGGAAAGAAAAGTCAAGGAAGTGAAATGAAAGCAAATGCAGACCAGAAAGACTACTAAAAGTCTTGCAACGTCCCTCTTACATTTTCTGTTTTCCAAGAGTAAACTTAGCTAGGGCATCCTTTGATGGGAGGGATGGACTGCACACAAAATTAACCCATTGTGAAATGGATGGCAAGTTCTTCTCTAAAACCATTCAATGCGCTATATATTAACGACTTAGAAAAATTTGTGAATAATAGTATGTTGAAAGTATAACTCTGCGTTAGACAGAGTCAAGTTTTTACAGTTTAGTCGCCTGTCAAAGTCACATAACATTTAATCAATAAAGATCTCAGCATTGCCTATTCAGGGCGTTTCCTGGAAAAGTTTTGCTCTTGGTTTAATTATGAGGGTGACGAATTCATTATTTAAAACGCCCGGTTGAAGCCTAATTTTAAACGAGCATAAACTCGAATCTTAAATCTTGACAAATTATGAGTGTGAACTCGAATTTTGATTCTAGGAAATTTTACCGCATTTCATAAATCGCACAGTTGAAGCTTATTTTTCAACGAGCTTTATCATCGTCCAATATTTTTACAATTTAAGCACTTAATTTACACCGTATTGCGAAATGTTGAATGGTACCAAAGATTGCATTTAATTTCTTTTAGACTCGTGATAAGACCCAAAAATGTTTTGGAAAAATTGCAAAGTTTCCTTTTCATCATAAATACCTTTCACTACAAGCCTATTTTATTTATCTAATTCTTTTACCATTTCCAATTTTAATAAAATCATTTAAATTTATGAGACAACAGTAACTGGAGAAATTACAAGTCTGTGCAAACACATTGAAAACGGGACAGGATTTTTACAGCTAAAAAGTAGATTAAATTTCAGATTACTGATGTTATGTTGACAAAAACTCTACTATTTACAAAATAAACTAGGATTAAAACGCGCTGTTACCAAGTATATGTTACTTTATCTCTGTCAATTTCATACTTCTTTACTTTAATTTCAAAATTCCTCCTATCTTCCCTTAAACTTCTTTTTAGATTGATGCCTTGGTATTTAAAAGCATTTATTTCAGTTGTAGTTTTGTTTGCAGAACACCTTAGTTTTCCAATCAGCTCAAAAACTTGCTGATCACTCAAAGCGTAATCGAAAATCATGAACTCGTCGAGCCATCCATCGAGTTTTCGATCATCGAAATCGTAGTGTCCAATTGCAGCTTTATATCCCCAATCTTGTGATAAAAGCCCATCCCCACGAACGGAGCCGACTTCCTTACCATCAACAAAGACCTAACGAAAAAATTTTCAGCATATTTAGACTTTGTAAACAATTTACATTTAAAGGCAATCTGTCTCGTTGTGGATTGGTTAAGGAGAACAATAGCTGGAACAATAGCCTAAACACGATTCCAGCGCTCTGCCATATTTTTACAATGCGATGAATAGAAGGGGGACTGGAAACAATAAAAAAACCCTTTGTTCTTATAATCAATCAACGTCGTGACAGATTGCCTTTAACTTCCAAATTTGCGATTCTAACATTAGGACGAATTTACTAGAAAACCCAGATAGTGCCAAAAACCATAATGGCGACATCTTTCCGGTAAATGGCAGAGCCCGAGTGTCGTTCTGCTAAACAGGGTTAGAATCCATGTACATTGAATATGAAAAGTGTAGTCAGAAAGAACTCGTTTCCACCCATGGACTCCTTTGGTAATATTTTCGACAGGTTAGCGACACTGATTGGGCATCTTCAACAGCCATGTGTTCGCGTTTCTGATTGGTCTATTTCGAGCTACAACTTTGGATATAGATTTCGAATTTAGAGTATTCGATAATATATAAAACGTAATTGACCAAGAAGCCTGCATTGAAGACTCGGCGGAGGAGGTAGAATGAGTCCACATGACAAAACGAAAACAAGAAGTTATCATGGAAATAAAACATTACAGTAACTGTTTAAAAAGAACTAATCGGATACCTTTGCTGAAGATTTGTATGCATCGTAAGTAGCTGCAAAATGCATCCAAACTTTTGGCTCGACCACAGGCTGTGAAATCAAGCTGAACACAGTTTTCTCACTTTCATCTCGATGGAACCAACGCACTTTGCCATCATCAATTTCAAAATGGTAGCCACCTATGGGCAGGATATATATTGAATGAATACCAATATTTTTAAGGCCGACACACAATAGGAAAACTGTTGCTTCAATATTTCCCATTTGATCCGGCATCCACATCCGGCATCCACAGGCGACGTTGCTCACTCTCAGCGAAAATTTGGTCAAAGAAGAGACTCAGATTACAGACCCTAGGATCTGCAGCCTGAGACAGAGCCTTCTTTAACATACTAGCTAGGGGTGGGGCAATTGCCCCAGAAGCCCCACTGACTTTCCATTGTTTTGAAAAATAGGCTATTGTACCCCTCTTTATATAATAAAAAGTTAGCCCCCGCTCCTAATTTACCAGGGAAAAGGCTATGGCCCGATACCCTAACCACTGAATCATCCTCACGGCTATTACGTCACGGATGTTGTGATACTAATCATCTAAATAATAGCAAAGATACAGATATAGGTGAAATTTCATACCGATAAAAGTGACAGGAGTGATCATTCTAACTGTACTAAACAGAGAATGCTTTTCATTGACATTTCCTTGCAGATTCATCCAGCAAGCGATTGTTATTCCAGTCTGCGGTTTCCCGCGGAACGTCTGATCCACAAGAATGATATCACCATCCCCAGAGAGATCTGCGTAATGCCCGCACATTTGATCGTGGGTGCGAATAACCGCAGATTTATCGAGGTAAGCGTTATTTCCTTTCCCGGATTGATCGACAATGACCTTCCCTTCAACAACTTCAAAATCAAGTAGGCATACTACAAGAGAAAATTCATAAAATAATTAAATGCTTTAAGCATAAAAATTTTGAATTTGTACATATTCCAAGAAAGGCTGGTAAAAGAGAAAAGCTAAAACCCTCCAGTTACTCAATGATTTCTGAAAATTGGGAAATTGTTTCCAATTCTCTAGACTCTTTTTCTTAATAACCTAACCATATTGAAATTTCAGTTAAAAAAAATAGTCAGTTTCTGTCTGGTTTGACATTCTATGCCACAGAATGATATTTGGATATGCCCTTTCAATTAAATATTGGATTAACACTGATGAACTACCGCAACAAACGTTAAATGATCTCAATGTGTTTCTAAGAGTAGAATTTATTTAACAGTTGGGAAGAACATAATACAGATTGTATTGTGGTACTAAGAATACACTTACTTGGGCAAGCTGGCTTGTAGCAAGGCATCGTTTCAGTTTCTTTGCCATCAGGACCACAGTTAGCTGTGGTGCATACTCTTGACCTTGTGCTTATACCCCCGCCACAAGAAACACTGCAGGGCGAGTAGGACGACCATGTGTACTGTGCAGCATCTGATGAGAAATTTACTGAGAATTTAAGACCGGGGAAGGCTTAACTGGAGTTAACGCACTCCATATCGATACGAAATGCTCTAGAATAGTATTAGGTTACTTTGATTATCAAAAATGTAAACACAAAGAGAACAGCAATTCCCTAGCTGGGTAAGCCTTTGTGACCAGGTACTATCTTGTGTCAAACCCTGTCTTTATCGCTTCTAGAATTACCTTCGTATAATTTTGCAGATCTGGGAATAGTTCGAGGTTTGAAACTTAAGTTTGAACAAGAAATGATCATTTTCAAAATTAGACGAAAAGGTGGAAACATAGAACTTATTTGTAATATACTATCAAGTATAGACATTCAGATAATAACAAAGCTCTAGAAATTTCCTGTTTGAAATTTTAGAGTGATAATCCAAAGTGCTACACCTGAATTTGAGTGCAAGGGCAGATGATAAAATGGCCATTGTTTGAAGCACAAAATAATATAAGCAGCGTAGGAACTGAGCATTTAACGCTAGAAATTCTATTCACGTTATTTCAAACTTGACCACAGTTATGTTTAAATTAAATCTTTTGTTAGCATTATTTTGCATCATTTCAAACATTACTTGCAACGAATTATGTCCACCAAAAAGTTGCAGACTTTAAGTCACAAAGAAAGATTTGAAATAAAATGACCAACCTGCACAAGGCCTGGTAACACAGGGTACAGTCTCTATCTCTACACCACCGGATGGACAATCCGGAATTCCACATTTCCGGTATCGTTTCTTCATACCTCTACCACAGGTCGAGCTGCATGTTGTAAACGCGGTCCATGTATTCACATAACGGTTATTTGAGTAAAAGGCACTTAAACGGTTCGTCTGTAAGTCTGATTGCCACGGGTATTTTATCGGTTGCGGTAAGATACCTCTGGACATACTCTTATTATAACCGTATGCTGTTAATTGCTCTCCGGGTAAGAAAACTATACCCGGTTGACTTGTCTGTTTTTCAAAATTTCCGGTTTTGTAGGAATTTTCCGGTACATTTTCCGGCCTGAATCTCTGTAAACTCATTGATGATGGCCCTCCTGAATTTGAAAGATAACCAGAGGCCTGTTGATTCGGATTTTTGCTACCCGAATTTTGCTTAAAGAAGTTATTCTGAAAATTCTGCAAAGCAAGGGTTTCCATACGATTGGCTGCTATTGTTCCAGCGTTATTCGGATTTTTAACACCTTTGGTTAAAGAAGAAAGATCGGCAACATCTTGCACGTTCATTCCAGGTCTACCAGAATTGCTCTCAAATTTATTTTTATTTTGTAAGAAACCTTCGAATTGCTGACTTTGCAATGCATCATGGTAATTTTTCATAAATGCTACATTTGATGCTGCAAGATCGTGATGAACCGAATTTGCGTACAAAGCCGGTTTGATCTTGTGCGAATTGAAGTGTGCTTGGATACGGTCTTCCAAGTTTGGGACTTTGGAATATAAATCCTTTAAAATCTCATCCGTTACTCCGCTTGCACGTAACTGTGGATATAGCTTGAATATCCTCGCGGTATCAACTGGTTTCGCAAACGGCCTTTGCGCCAACGGAGCGGTTTGATGCACATTGGCCTTAGCTCTTGGAGGTTGTGCAGGTTGATTACTAACTACCGGACGTTGCTTTATTGCGGTCGGACTACTTTTCATTGCACCAATAAACGGCGTTTTACCGATAGGTTTCTTGTAAAATGGGTTCAGGGGTCCTTGGCGAATAAGGGATTCGGCGGATTGGTTTGTTGGTACATAAACAATTCGAATCCTAGGCTTAGGCCTATTAACAATACCAGCTTTCATGGGCGGGTGCTGTCTGGTGGACTTCGCAAGTGGATTCAAAGCAGCCGGTCTGGACTTAACCGGTACCTTGTTTGGCACAACCGGTAATATGTGTTTTTGGTTGCCGGTATGTTGCTGTACTTGTTGTTTGAGGCGTAAAGCAATAGGAGTATGTTGGCGTTCCTTCAAAAGTTTCAATGTCTGCTTTGCGTGATCATGCTCACTTTTCGATTTGTGATGCTCGGATTTATGTGATTTCTCCTTCTCTTTAGGTTTAGGCTCGTGGTGTTCAGCATGATGATGTTTCTGATGTGTTCCTATAAAGATAAGTTTGAAATTGTCGATTATCTAAAACCAAAGATAGAGATAAATAGGGTATGATATCAAGTCTTTGTGGATTAAACCTTAAATCATAAAACATAACGAGTAATGTACAAGAAACAAACGAATAATATTTAAATGAAGCAATGAGCAGAGATATTCCGTTAAAACAATCAATCATATAAAGCTAAATATTGAGTGACTCATAAACTTAAAAGCAATGTTATGTTAGGAGACTGTTTCCACAAGTTACTTTATTAGAGGTCAATTAGCATACATGAATGAATAAATATTTTTCTTTATAAACGATATGCAGACTGCAGAAATATGAAAATGCAAATTATCTAAATTTGTTTCGTAATGCAAATTGTCTCATTAAAGCTACAAAATTTACTGCTCAAAGATGAGAATATTACTTTATTTGTCTCAAGAAGAGGCATTTTCCCTTGCATGTTTTGTTGCAAATGAGGACCTGATGGAGAACCTGTAGCCTAATGAAACCTCATAAGCTGTTTGAAAATCCTCTCAGAATACAACAAAATATCAATAAAAGTGAATTACCTTCTTGACAACCAAAAACTTCGAATCTCATGCAAATATGAATACCATGCCAAGCTCTTGGGTTTATTCGCACATAACGTGCTTTTATTGGTTCCTTTAAGTAATGTTTTACGATGTTGGCTCGATCATTATTTGCCATAAACAGCTGAAAAGGAAGTGAGTAACTTATTTACAAAATTGAAAATATAATGAAAATATCATGGACGGAAGCATCGAAATTTTCTAAATTTGAAAATAGGTAGGGAAGTCAAGTTCCGCGATAAATGTACTAAGTGTTGAAAGTATATATAGAGAGAAGGCCACAAAGATCAATAAAGCAGTGTGATTACAATCAAATTGAGCTCTAAATTTTGCAGGAATATGTATGGTGTCAAAGAAAAAAGTATTGCTGAATGGAAAAGATCGCTATTTTGCAATCTTTATTCAATGATATGTTACGAAGAAGTTTGTTTACAAAACCAAGGCTACCTTCTCATCATGATCCTCCTGGTACCATCGTTGTGGCCCATTTTCGTCTCTGTATCCAAGCCTATAGCTTGCCACCCAGTTATCATGCGCCACATATCCTTGCGAAGCCACACCAACAATTGTTTTCGTCTCACCAAGATCAGCTTCAATGAACTGCCGTAAAGATATGTCACGTGCACACCAGCAGCCTCGAATGTCTGCTGCATCCATTGAATCACGAACGAGTCTAGCGTAATATGGCTGATTTGAATCGCTAAGACTCGAAGAAGCAGATAAATGGTTATCATCGACTTCCCCGTTCGAAATTCCAAGAGGGAAATTGCAGGAACCTTAGGAAAAAGAAAAAATGGCTATCGTAGTGTCTCAGGTTTAGATTATGATTAGCTAAAAAAAATTGATCTCCTAGTCTTGAATGCATACTCGTATTTGTAAGTGGTCTGTAAAAAAGGAAGAAACGGCAACGCTTTATGTAAGGAATAAAGAACCAGCAGATTGTTACAATTATCGATGGGATATATTTTCAACTTTCAAGCAAGCAGGTTGTCGGGGGGGGGGGGAGGAAGAGGTGATTAAGGATTTTTATCTGCTTGTTGGTTTGCCACACTAATACTTCACTCCTGTGACTATTTTCCATTTAACTATGTTTTTCGATTTTCAAAGACTATAAAAACATTGTGCCATAATACCAAAAGGTCAAATCCTACAGAATGACACAAACATCTTCTGGTAGCAACTTAGAGAACTTTTTCAATAATTCACCAAGCACTTGTTGAACGGTTTTGCATGGTAAGCAACTTTACACGATAATTCGTCGGCAACTTTACATGATTCTTAAGTTAGGCTTTGTAATATGAATTACAGTCACCAATTCAGTCAAGAATTGCACGATGCTTTCCATAAAATGAATATAAATTTAGTGGCACTGATTCTTTTCAGAAACAATAAAATAAGTTGTCTAAATTACCTTTTTGTGAAATCTCTCCTCTTGTTTGAGATTCAGATTCCTCGATTAAATTTGGTATGTTGCCAAATGAATCGAAAGGATCAGGCTCTAAATCTAAAATTTTCAAAAAAGATTCGATTAAGAAAAGAGTTATTTGTTAGCTAGAAATCAGTATTTAGAATTCATTATGATGAAAACAAAGAGAATAGCTATCTTAAAACTAACATAAGGTATAAATACACTTGCTTAAACATCTACTGATAACAAGGATAATCAAAAGGAATTAACATTTCAGAAAAAAGTGGAATAGTTTGCTATAGATCAGATGGAAAATGAATACTTTTTAAACTAGTAAAAGGCTTATGACAAAAACTGATCTTTTTCAAATTATATCGTTTTTGAGAGATTCTAGTGTTAAATTTATCGAAAATTCGATATCAGTTTAGCATTTTTCTGAATGAGAAATACAATCCTATATGAAAAAAGTTATGGGATTATGAAAAAACGTTTTAATATCCATTATCTGAAGATGGCACGAAATAGTGGAAAGCATATCATACGAATGGCCTAAAAGTAAGTTAAAAGTTTATTTCCAGGTGTGGAGCGAAAGTATTGTGAGTTTGATTGCTTCTTTGTCTGTCATATTTTATCCATATCCTTTGTATTTTTTTGTCTTCATTTGAAACATAAATCCCAACTTGAGTAAACAGAAAGAGTTCGTTTTCTTTCTTAATCTATTTACCTGTTTGTGGGGCTAACGGTTGCTGATCTCTTCTCGCATTCCTTTAATCAAAGGTGTACATAAATTTAACATTTCTTTTGGTCATTTGGTCATTATTTTGTCTAACAGTTCATCCTTCAATGATAACAGTAAACATATTTGAAACCAACATAATATCGTATAATTACCCATAGTACATCCATAAATTTCTGCCCGCATGCAAAGATGGTTCCCATACCAAGACTGTGGTCTTATACGAACGTATCTTCCATTTACTGTGTGATGAAGGTAATGTCTCTTCACAGTGTTTTTATCCGTGTTGCCTTCAAATACCTTAATAGAACAAATCAACGATCTCTCAACACAAGGTAGTAAGGGACTAAAAAAGAGATTCTAATACCTCATAAAGAGATAAGTAAAATTTATGATATCAATCAATATGTGTCTGAAAAATACAGGCATCAATAAAGTGTCTTTCATATTTTAGCCAGATTGTGATACCGAAAAAAACATTCTTATGAAAGTACAAAACTTGCGTTATTGAATGAAATGTCATTTTCAACCATCAATGTGGCGTTTCATGCCACAAATTATTACAGGAGAATTAATTCTTTGCATACATCTTTGAAGGATGAAATTTTGCGCCAAATTTTTGAATCTCCATCAAATCATCGCTATTAAAATGAGGAATTGAATTTCCTGCCTTTATTCAAAAGTACAACTTCAGCCCCAAAGCAATCTAAACCGCAGTTTAAACAAAGGAATCTCAGGGCATTACTTCATAACATTGCATTAATAAAAGACCTTACCTTATCATAACCTCTCTCTTTGTAACAATTCCATGCAGCTTTATTATTGCTATAACAGAGCAGGTAGGAAGTAACCCAATTGTCAAATATAGACAGTCCCTGAGACGCTACGCCAGTTAGTGATTTGACCTCGCCTAGATCAATTTCCAAATATGGATTTTTATCTTCCTTATTAGCACACCAGGCGGTACGTGCAGGGTCTCCCCAGAAGGAGGCAAGATTGATTCTTCCATAAAAGGGTTTGTGGAGGTTGTATGTTGAGCTTGCTGTTATCTGAGAGTCCTGTATGGCTTTTGATTGCATTCCAAGTGGCTGCTGACAATCTAAGAAACAAAAAATTTGTGTATGCATTAATGCCGTGCCCTTAAAAGGTGCATCTGATTCTCGCATATTCTTTTTTTAACCAAAAAATTCAAACCTAATAAAATAATGGAAATATTTACCATTTGGAAAACATATATGTTAATTTCTTAAAACAATTGCAAAATTGCGAAATCTGAGAGAATCCACAGAAATCACCATAAAATAGCCTTGTTCAAAATTAAATTTTCGGAGATTACGGCTCTTATCTATTAACATAATTTCGTTCTTATCAAATTTGAAATGGAAATTTGTCAGTCAGTATCAAACAATTCCTCTCTTCAAGTTATTCATTGGAATATAATTATAATTTTAATGATTGTGCTAATAAACATACGAGAGAAGGTTTCTGAAAAATTCAAACCTGTTTCAAAGCTGCATCGTTTCATCAATAATTCTATTTTAGTTGGTGATAATGCTCGATTGAAAATATAAAATTCATCGATTTCTCCATTTATAATTCTCTGATTTTTGTGCTTTCCAATGCCAGCCCTACCACTCCAGTCTTGAGATAAATCGCCTATCCCGTAACCCTGTGCTCCAAGTTTTCCATTGACGAATACGGCTACCCTTCCTGATACGACGTCATACGAAGCTGCGCAATGTGTCCAAATATGAGCAGGAACCATAAGGCCGGTAGATACATTGAAAATAGTTGTTCCATCTTCATTTCGGTGAAACCATCTTAGGTGTCCACGATCGACTTCGAAATGGTACTGCCCTTCCCTATGCTTAGATGTTTTGCCACCAACAGTGTCGAATATTGAATGCTGTCCGCCATTACTAAACAATTTTATCCAAGCAGCAACTGTTATTTCTTCTTTAGGCTTGTCAACGAGAAATTCGCCATCAAAATAAACATCGCCTCCATTTAGTTTCAAGCCTCTTTGGCAAGATCTACTGAAAGTGACGATTTCTGCAGGCCTTCGAAGATGGGCGTCATTATGATGACCGCTGACATCAGGGATCACTGTCTCACGTATCTCATCAAAGTCCAGATGAATTATGGGGACGATATCCATGGTAGCTGTTTCTCCTAAAAGAGGAAAGCGTCTCTTAACATTATAGGATCAAACGGTTGATGTTGTTATAGCAACTAAGCCCTCCACTGTCAATAAAAAATCTGTTTTTCCATAAATATAAAAACAAATTTTACAGGCAAGTATCTGTCTAAAAAACATGCAACCAACAGGTCTTCGAGTTACAATATTTCCCGACTCTACGTGGTCTGCTTATTTCGAAAACCCCCCTAAAACGAAGGTTTTATGTTTTATTTCATGATTACCTGCCATCTTCTGCTCCAGAGCAGTGGACAAAGCTCGAGCAGACCCTGGTACATCTTCAGTCTTCTTTTTTGTAGTTTCTTGCTTTGCAGGATTCTCCTTCGGCTGAGTGGACGTTACTTGAAGTGTTCCACTGGTATCTGAGTTCTCAAGATTAGGCCCTGCGATAAACAAACAGCTTTAAATGGGACAAAAAACAGAAATGTAAATTCCGCATACTGAAAATAGATGAAGAGGCAAAGTATATGAGTCCCTTTCTTAAAGGGAAGCAACTGATTCCTCTGATTATGACACGTTGACAGAATGACTGTAGAAAGAAAAAGTATCAAAAATGCCTGATGATTTATACTCAACTTGTAAACATGAACACAGATGTGAATGAAAATTTAACTGCTTATTCAGATTTTGGCAAAATGGTATTTACGCCACACTGGCCTGTTATGGAAATAAAAAATGTATGTATAACATTCTGACATTTAATAGCTTGTGAAGTGTCAGACAGGTTTTCAGACATCAAGCCACTGTTAGTCTTTGCAACAAAGTAGGCTTTAATCACACCTCAAAATAATTTATTTCATTTGATTCAAATGCAGATTAAGACAAGATATTACCATCACATCCATATAGTTCTAATCTGAGACAGCCTTTTCCGTGCCATTCTGTCGGTGTCACCCTTACAAATCGTCCAATAAATGGACGAAAAAACCAATGCTGAACTGTGCCATTTTGGTCATCATTCCCGATAAAATCCTTAAAAGAAAAACATTTTTAGGGAACACTAATTCATCTTCATCTATTAATTGAAATAGGTATTATAACCTTCTTCGACATTTGCAGTTTAGAATCTCAAAACTCTAAAGGAAATAATTTGAGCTATTTCTTCTTTTGCAACGAAAATATCAAAAATAACACATACCGTAACTTCATTTGAGGTATCTTTCAAGAATTTGAATTCTGCAGATGTGTCATTTGAATAGGTATTATAACCTTCTTCGACATTTGCAGTTTAGAATCTCAAAACTTTAAAGGAAATAATTTGAGCTATTTCTTCTTTTGCAACGAAAATATCAAAAATAACACATACCGTAACTTCATTTGAGGTATCTTTCAAGAATTTGAATTCTGCAGATGTGTCATTTGAATAGGTATTATAACCTTCTTCGACATTTGCAGTTTAGAATCTCAAAACTTTAAAGGAAATAATTTGAGCTATTTCTTCTTTTGCAACGAAAATATCAAAAATAACACATACCGTAACTTCATTTGAGGTATCTTTCAAGAATTTGAATTCTGCAGATGTGTCATTTGAATAGGTATTATAACCTTCTTCGACATTTGCAGTTTAGAATCTCAAAACTTTAAAGGAAATAATTTGAGCTATTTCTTCTTTTGCAACGAAAATATCAAAAATAACACATACCGTAACTTCATTTGAGGTATCTTTCAAGAATTTGAATTCTGCAGATGTGTCATTTGAATAGGTATTATAACCTTCTTCGACATTTGCAGTTTAGAATCTCAAAACTTTAAAGGAAATAATTTGAGCTATTTCTTCTTTTGCAACGAAAATATCAAAAATAACACATACCGTAACTTCATTTGAGGTATCTTTCAAGAATTTGAATTCTGCAGATGTGTCATTTGAATATGAGACACGATATGCAGTGCTCCACTCATCGACTAAGCCCATACCTTCAGTAGCGATTCCTGCAGTAAGGGAAAACAGAGGGCCTTTAAAATCAATTTGTTTAATAGTTATACCATATTTTATAAGGCTGCATTGTGGGAAAAGCCTTTGGTATAGGTCAATATTGCAAATCATCCACAAACAAAGTTGCAAGTAGCAGAGAACACATCCCAATACATGAAATTACCGAAAAAACTGGAAGATAATTTCTTCGAAATCTACATACTGAGGTCAAAGCATTGTACAAAAAGCCTCGAGATAATATACAAATCCCTATTTTGGTTCAACAGTTCTTAATAATTTTATAAATTTTGGTTCAAAAGGCGTCCTTTTCATAGAGGATTGTCAGTTGCAAGTTTAAAATGATAAACATGATTACATTAATTGAAAACATAATTTTGATACTGACAAGATCTGAAGAGCAACACAGATTCTAGTTATTGCTCAAAGTTTCATATCTAATGCAACAATCAGGGAGTTGTAAGCCAGTCCAGATAATTGAGCAATCAATTGCTACGAAAAAGTCCTAAAATAATATGGCCCCTAAAGATTATAATCACGACTTAGTGTGCAGAACATGACTGTAAGAAATGGCCACACCAGGTACGTTCAATGACCATGAAGCCGGGGATACAGTTCATCAACAGTGTACAGTTGAAAATCGATTTAAAATTTGTAGTTTATCAGTGAATATTGTGTCAACGTATGGTTGGATAATTTTCACAGTTTTGGAGAGAGCCACGATCATACAGAGAAATAAAGACACTTGCTTAATAAATAACTGACAATCGTTATATTTTCTGTTATTTTGTATTCTTCAGAACAAATTAGACTGTATTGAAAACCGTTGAGATCTAATCAAAACATCTACAACAACTCGGTTAAAATTAATATTCATCAGTTCTTTTTGTTGCATAGAATTCAAACATACTCGTTACATACCAGTGACTTTCTTCAGGGCAAGCAAATCGATCTCTATGTACTCTTTCCCACTATCAGTATATGGGCACCAGCCTCCTAATGATCCACTAACGATCATTCCTAAGCGTGCGTGAAATGGTAAATGCAAATCGTTGAATGAAGTCGAGGCTGACAGCTGAGAATCCGCTATTTTGTAGCTACTAATGCCCATAGGCCAGGAACATTCTAGAATAGACAGCAAATATTCGGTGAGGCACTTAGGTATGAAAACGGTTTGGGCTATTGTCATCACTAAAATTTCCTGAAGTAAACATAAAAGAATAATTTACGACTGAAAGAAATTTGTGTCTCAATTTGCCAACAGGTTAGGCCTCGCCATCCATTTTAAGATAATTTTAAATTATGATAGAAAATAGGCCTAACTCTTCTACAAAGATAGACTCACTGAGCATATTTAAGACTATCATTATAAAAATTTCATAAAAATATGAATATACTCTAGGAATACCTTGAATTAAAAGTCTCTTTTCAATCTATCTCTTAAGAATCCTTCCCTGATTCTTTTAGATTGAAATAGACAAATTTTAATATATAATACCATAAGCTCGTGAAAAGTCAACACATCTCATTCACAACTGGAATTCTGTATAACATAGCCTCACCTAATGGTTGTCTAGCTACTGGCTCAATCTTGTCTTTTTTCTGTAGTCTAGGAATAAGATCCCTGGATGTCTTGCCATCGTCAATGCGTTTGTCAAGCCATTTATTGCAAGGGAACTCATAATAATCCCCGTCTTCACTTGTCACTGTTACCTATGAATGTAGTTCGTTTTACAGAATTAAAATTTTTCTACCTATAATACTTTAGACAGCTAAATAACAGGCAGCTAAAAAATTTTCGTGCTCGTTAAAATTGATCTATCTTATGAAGGAAAGAAAATTTTTGTGCAAGAAATTGTAGAAATTGAGTGGTAGCTTGTAAGCTCAAAATATGGAGCAAAGTTTCCAAAATCATAATTTTAGCATTCCCAAAGTAGAACTGCCTCATTTCAACCCAAATTTTCAGTAGATTTATTCCTAATATCTGACATTGACAACATACTCCACAGTAATCTTGAAAATGTTACGCTACCAAGCAATGGCATGCTTGATCTACTTATTGGCTGTTGGAGCAAAGGAAAACTCGAAACATTTGAGCAATTACTTTTGACTTTTCGTTCTTTAAATTAATGGCGTCCTAGCAAATTTCTATCTTTTCAATCTGTGAAGTTTCGAACTATTAAATATATGCTTATACTAGTACCTAAAATTTAATAAGAAAAAGTAAAACTATAGGAAAATCTTTTTGCCTCCACCCCTCAATTGTCCCCCTCTAATACAATAGCAACGAGGTAATTTTTTGAAGACGAAGAACATGCTAAGTTTTAAACCCTGTTAACAAGTCTCCGTAAGTGAATGAAATTATTACTCACCTTTTCCAAAAACCAGCCGGGGCCTAGCCAGCTATTGTCGTGACTAATCTTTGCACGTTTAACCCGGCCTAGATCCTTCTTTGCGTCCAGCACAAATGTATCGATTCTAAGAAACAAGTAAATGCTTGTCAAATTTGTACTTTCCAGTAAAATTGGTGAAGATGAAAGACATTTTAAGAAATTATAATAGATTATCCAGTTTTTTTAAAAGGTTTTTCTCTTCTGGTTCTGAAAATAATCTGAATGTAAACAAAAGTATTTGAATAGAAGAGCTTCTTCAAACAGATACAAAACCTAATGAATGAAAAATAAAAGAAGAAAAAGATATATATGGGTTATCGTTTAAGGGAAGTAAAGAAAAAAGAGAATCGTGGATCATTCGATTAATTTCTAATTAAATACATTAATTTGTTTAAGAAAGTAAAGAAAACTTGAAATAGATATGTGATTCTGTACAGGCTATTTGAATTACCCTTGAAAAAAAAATGTGGACTGCATGTTCATGTATTTTACAAACGTTAAGGCAAAAGATAAAGTTTGCATGCCATTTTCATTCTCAAGTCAACATTAGAGCTAACGCTTTTAGTTGCTATAAAATCAAAATTCTCTACACCCGAGCCGTCGTCTACAAAAAATACAAGTTTGATACGATACATACTGTCCTCGTTCAAAATTGTCCCTGCCAGACGATTCTAATTCCCTCTCCTCAATAGCTCCTTTACTTCCAAACAGGCTGATAAAAACACGAGCATCTGTTCCAGCGCCAAAGCGATTTCCGGTGTACGTGGAAACCACATAACGGTAGCCTTAAAGAAAAAAAATTGAAACAGTAAGCATCAGAGCAGAAAAAATGTAAGTGCCTGAGCAATGACTTCTTTTGGAGGTTAGGTAGTCTCATTACGGGGGTTAGGTAGACTCATTACGGTGGCTAGGCAGACTCTTTACCATAACGGGCAATCGTCTTTGATAATTTACACATTGAGTGATAATGTAGTTTTATTAACATTCTGTAATTATATCGACAAGATTAGGCAACCTTAACACTTATGTGCACTCATTAATGATCGTCTTATTTCGTTCCACAACTGATATGTATTTCCTAGCTTAGAGTTTTCGGTCTATGTTTTGACGTGATATACTCATGAGAGTATCAGGCAAAAAGCTTTAGTATAATTCAAAATGTTTGCTTTTATCAAAGACATTCTCCATTTTTCTACCACAAAAAATTGCTTGTAATTGTCTCATAAATGGGGAGGTTGGGATCGTCCACACCCATTGTCGGTCACTGGCTACAGATCTTAGTTTTTTGGAAGAATAAGAGACTTCAGGAAAAGGAATACTGGCATCTGTGGAGACAAAGCTGTAAAAATTGAAATATTTGATTTCTGATTTCTCATGCTGAATCAATTAATCAACTCATAACCTTAACATGCTGGTTTCAATTTCGAATGGTTTTTTCTTCTTTGCTGGTTACAACAATTAAAAAAAGATCAACAGATGTGGGTATTCTGTGTTTGTCTAAGAAGAGTTGAGAAAGAAAATTTCTATTTTTTCTAAGCAGAACAAGACATACATAAATATGGGGTAAATATGAATTGCTTAATTTATCTGATGCTAAAAACATAATTTGTCTGATGCTAAAATACATGCTGTGAGGATTTGTTTTCAGTATTTCTTCGTTTTACATGAAATTCAAATCTAAATTCAAACCAACATTTATAATAGATACATTCAAGTTAGTAAAACATCGATATATTTTCTAAACATGCCTAAGAGGCTGCTTCTTTTGTTCAAAAACGATTCTAGGGGATGGAGATTGTGTATCTGGCTGGGCATAAAATCTATTCATTTATTTTTATGTTTCAAGAATATTCTAAAAAGATAAAAATCATATTGCTATCTGAAAGCATTTAATAACACTAAAAGTAACTCAAGGAAACCTAAGGAAGAAATTTAACTTATATTTTAGCCTCAAAGTATCAAATTAAGCGTCTATCATTATAATAAAAAGTAAGTAAAATAGAAGAAAATGAAGATAAAAATGCAGGAAGAGAGCATAATAAAATTTTACGTACCTTTAACAGCCTGAAACAGACTAAATAGAACGCCAAAAATAAAAATCTTGCAATTTTTCATGTCGGAGAGACAAGTAATGGCCTAAGAAGAAATAAAATGTGTATCGATAAAGATCTACTTTATACTACAGGCTTGGATTTAAATAAACAAATAAGTCATTGTATCAATCCTCACTTTTTCAAGGATACTGGTCTGATAAGAGCGATAATATGCCTTGTATTGTAAGCATGTTATGATAAAGATACTATGAATAGAATTAAAGCATAAATTTACTAAAATTCAATTTAAAGTGACAAAATGTCAATATTACTAGAAACAATATCATACAAAATTCACTAGGCAAGCCAATTTCTTCGAAATAAAGAACAAAAACACGGAAGAAAATTATTTATATTCTTCACCCCCAGTCACCAGATACGAGATCTAAAAAAATACTGCACAACGAAAATTGTTTGAAATTTTCGTGATAAGTTTAAAAATGAAATATAGAATGGATTTGTTTTTTAATAATATAAAATTTAGAGATGAAACTATGCATTTACTGATTTCATGAAATGTGAGGATTATTATAATCGGTGTACATATAAAGGGATGGGTATGTATATTAAAAAATGGCATGCGCCTTTACAAATTGAATGATTTACGATGCTTAAAATAGTAAACAGCTAATGAGTGAATTGTAATGTTGAAATGGAAAGTAGAAGTTATTGAAACAAATAGAAACAAATAAACTGAGTAATTTTCTTAATTGCTTTATCTGATAAGTTGCAAGAGATGATGATAATTTGATTTGCAAAATAATTCAAAGGGCGCTCGACAGCAAACTCTGTTTAAAAGCGTTATGACTAACAGAACACCATAATCAAAAGAGGGTAATTAGCTATATGGCAGCAAATATCAAAAACCAACAACAACAAACCTAGGAATGGAGAGACATTAAAACGAATTGTAAAACTAGAAAGTTCGAAGCTCCGACCAAAATATGATTGAGCAATTTTTATACCTTTTATGCAATTTAACCATTATCTTCCTTTGCAATTTTTTAAAGAGAACATGTGTATCTTTCCAGAAAATTCCAACTTAGGCCACATACTATCAACAGACCACCGAGTAATTAACGCAAGTTATCATCAATGCAAGTAAATATCCATTACACCAATAAACAGTTCAGCATCGGCAACGCTTCAATCCAGACCAAAGTTTATCACAAATCCTCGACAAATGTTAAATCCATTCAAATGTATGATTGTATAAAATTTGGCAGTTATTATACAATTAAAGAAATCTTTGCTTTATTAAAATATTGCAGGAATTTTTCCAGCGCCGTTGACGGTTAGATTATCGAGAGCGGGTATTTTGAGTCCGAGCAGGTTGCGCGATCAAGGAGTCGCACGCAGCTACAAATTGTGGGGGTAGTTCACTGGCTTGCTTGATTTCACTTGAATACAGCCTCTGAAGAAGTAAACACGACAGAAAGCGCTTTCAGGACGTTTACTTATTGAAGCTCTTTTCAGTATCTTAAAAGAAATATGCATGCTACGGAAATGCTCCAAATGAAAGCTTGCTAAGGTGAAATATGCAATGCTGCTTCCAATGACGTAATATCGATATATGTAGGAGCATAGTGGCAAGATTTAAAATCAACTACAGTTACGGGCAAGTGAAGCACGCAGCACGCACAATGCTTTCATGGAGTAATAGGGCATCTATCACAAAATAGAATCGCCGTCCATCCTCGAATTGGCATTGCCTCTTTCCAATAAGCGCCCCTTTAAAACAGCTAAAAACGGTCGAATAAGTATCAGTCTCTTGTTTTGGAAAGGCTCGGTAAAAGAATGATGATGACGAAGAAACGAACATTTAACCCCCCCCCCCCCCCCCACCCCCCCTTTCCTCGAATCAGCGCACCTACTCTTAAATATAAATCCATTCATTGTTTATGAAGAGGATGCCAAGGAAAATGGCTGTGATGATGACGGAAAAATTGACACTTATATAAATCTTGAGAACTAACAATTCGTTTTTCAGTGACGCTTAGCTCAATCTAATTTTTCAATAATCTTGTTCACTTTTTGTTGCATACAATTTGTAGAAGTTTTCAAAAACTAATCAGATATCACTGCGAGTGTTCTTTAGAGGATTTACGACCCCTCTATATGAAGATTCAATAAAACTTTTTGAATAAATTCCCAGGATATTTTTTCCTTTTTTGAGAGTCCTTGGTCTTTGTTAATTGAATGTCAAACACTCTCACTAAAATACAATTATTTCAATCTTTGAGTAAAAAATGTTCTTCTTATTCTAAATATTGTTGACAAATTTTCTTGAACGTTGGTATCAACAAGAGTACTGTTACACTTGTATGGCAATGGGATCGATGACGTAATGAACCGTAATGAAGTTAAGACAAAAGGGAAAACCAATCAAGTCTTACAAGTGAAGATTAAAGCTTTATAGCTGAACACTAAAAGTTGATAGCTGATCGTAAAAGGTCTGTGCAAGAGTAAAGGGGTGTTCTTGCAAGGAGCAAAAACTCCAAGTATAGATGAACAATATCAGCCATTGTGAGTGTAGTATAAAAACCAAAATCACATCCACCCAGCGAAGTAAAGAAACAATATAATCAGATGAAGGCTCTCTTTGCAGCTAACAAAAATAAAGTAATCCTTCAAGAAATAATATTATCCTCAAGGGCTCATTATCTTCAGTTCTCCAATCTCATCTGTGCATAAATACTTTAATAAAAATGTAAGTTTTTGGAGTTTCGCCTCTCTGCTATCGTATATGTTATACCAAGTAATATCTGATATAGAAAATATTATCAGCTATGCAAAATTTTATCTAGTTTCCAAAATAATTTGGGAGTCACTAAAGAATTCCGTAAATAAAATAGTGAACAAATTACAACTACTGTATTCTGTAGCAGTGCTACTTAATTTAACGATGTGTGGGACTAAAGTTAATTTTCACTTTAAGGAGTTTATTGCCACGAGACTGCTTCCAAGGGCCATCATGACGATCAACCAAATTTGGTTCAAATAAATACTTGACCAGAATCGCATTTACTCAACCATTTTACCTTTGCCAATTATCAATATTATGGTGTGTTTAACTGAAACATGGTCAATCCAGATAAAGATCAATTCATAACTGTTGTAAAAACATGTTCGAGCAGAGTTCTGATACAGATGATAACTTTAAGTGTTTTAATTAATGGCAAAAAGTATTTGCAATAGGCATTTTTAAAGTGAAACGGCTAAGATTTGAACTTTTGTACTCCTGTTCAATGTGTCATGACAATGTTCAAGAATTTGCTCAACACGAAAAGTTCGCTCTTGTGTCATGTAATTGCATAAAAATCGATCATTTTCAAATTAGCAATGGCAGAAAAAAATGAGCTTGTGATATTCATCCGTTGGCCATTAATTTAGACAGAATATCATTTTCAAATAAAACCATAACAGCCTGGGACACAAACCACTCAAAAGCACGAGAACTTTCTTTTTCAAGTGAAATATTTCTTCGGAATCTTATGCAAACCATGATATGACGTAATATGAATTAAAGGCTTATCAGATGAAGTGTTTATAAACCTGAAATGTCTGGGGATAACTTGGATTTAAATAAAGCAATTAATGTTTGTGCACTAAACTAGATCTTATCCTGAAGGGGGAGGGGGCACAAAGTGCGTAATTAGAAAGTTATTTTAGATTACTAATTCTGTATACACTGAAACTTACACAATCTTTGAAGTGAGTCTAAATAAGTTTGATAAATGAAAAAGATCAATAAAACCACAAACTCAAGGCATGGAAGATCTTGCTTTTTGAATGTTAATGATCCATAATCGAACACGATATATTTGCCCGAAGCTTTGTCAGCAAAAGATGATGTCCCATCAGTGATTTGCTATTAGTTATCTGTCTTACTTTTCAGACAAACATTAATGTTATATTCCAGATGACGTGGTAATGCTTGTTTATATCAGGGGAAAAAATTGACGATAAAACTCTAATGAAAAGACATTTTACCAAACGCATTTATCGATTTCCCTTACGATACGTTTCAATAAATGGAACAACTTAGATTTTAGATTTTTTTGTCATGATAAACTGGACACATTAAACAGAACCAAAAAGTTACAATTTTGGCCGTTGGACTATAAAAATTCTTATTGCAGTACTTTGTGCCACTAATCAAAACATGAAGAAAAACGAGCTTGAAAGCAGAATAAAATTTTGACAGAGAAAAAAGGCGTTTTTTAATTAATCAATTAAGTTCATTAACAAACAGAAACTAAATTCTTCTTAGTTAAAAAATAAAGTAATGCTTTTCGATACGAAAATTATCATATATTATCTATTATTTGCAAATATTAGCTCATAGTTTAACATTTGGTCCTTTATGCAGCATTTCCTGTTACATTAATCTTTGTTTATTATTTCAATGGTGGATAGTTTTAATAACTATACATTATATAACACATTTAAAATAGAGTGTATGCTTCAAGTGTATCGTGATGACAAGTTTGATTTAGGAATGTTATTATAACATGCTGCTCCTTTTTTCTTGTATTCAAAAAGTTTCATGTTTAGAGCTGAGATAAAATGATATTTAGAAACTATAATTTGTTCCAGGGAATCGAAAACCACAGTTTCTCTCTTTTAGATTAAAACTCCATGAAGCTACAGAATTCGACTATGCAACGCAATGTACAATATTTTGAAATATGCAAGCTGCATATCGCAAAAGGGATCTTCGACGGGGGATTACCACTGGTATTTGCACTGAAGCAAAATAAAACCTTCTGCTTTTGGACTTTGATGCTAACAGTAACACAACATAGGGCTTGTATAAGTGACACTTTAATAGCGCAACAAGGGGCAAATAAAATTAATATGAGGTGGTTTTAAATCAATCAAAGAAATCATTAGCACTCGAAATGCTAAGAAAAGCTGCTTAGCTGAAATAACTTGTACTAAAATATCAAAGAATGACTTTCATCTTCAGACAATAGTTTTGGCATCGACTGTAACACTATTCACGATGCAGTGCAACAAAATGGGATAACAAGGAATTCAACATTGTAGTGAAAACATTGTCCAAGCATTAGAAAAGTTGTTGGCCTGAAATCCAGGCTAAAGTACGATGCAGCATTTACAAAAGCTCTCTGTACACAGTTTGCATAGCAAACCAGCTAATACTTGGAGTCCTTCTTGATCAGCTAGCTATTACACAGTATTAACGTCCGCCATATTGAATCATATAGCTGTATTGTGTACAACATGTTCTAGGACATGAAGGCAAACATCTTTGACCACATATCTGTGGACAGTAGCTTTCAGGGGGAGGAGAATAAGGTGGAGGTGGGGGAGGTGGTGGCGGAGGAGGAGGGGGTGGTGGAGGCGGCGGTGGTGGTGGCGGTGGGGGAGGAGGAGGTGGTGGTGGTGGAGGTGGTAGGGCAGGCTTTGATGAAGCTGGTGGGACAATTTCGTACGTGTAGTATGTTTGGTAGTTATCTGGCGAGCAACAGACTGGATCACAGCTGGAGGAGCATTGTGAATAGCAGCTCGGCTGGCATTGTGTATTGTTATACGTCACGTTCATCGCTGTAGGAATAAGTTTAAAAATTTATGCATTTTATGTTAATTTTTTAGACATTTTGATTTATGCAGCAAGGCCAATAATATACTTTTTCAGCATCTTACTTCATATTCCTAATAAAATGAGAATATAACTTATGATAATGATAGTTACACTAATTATTGTACAATAGCTAGATAATATAATTATATTCAAATTAAATAATCATTTTGTATCATCATCTTAGAATGCCCTAGATTAAAGACGCTTTATAAAAAAATTAGATTAGTAAATCTTAATTAACAATTTTCAAGCAAATAAATTCTTGACGCATTTTATATCACATTGCAAAATCATTTACTATTTATAAGATTTATAATCTGTGTAAAAAAGCTTTATTCTTTTTGTACTGAATAAAAAACTCTATAAACATAATTATATATTTTAAAATATTACTATTAAGAAAACTTTGTTTAATCCGAATAACTGATTTTATTTTTAGGCCGAATTAAATTGCACATTTAACAAACGCAAATCAACCAAATACAAAATGGCTTTAAAAAATTTCGACTAACCTGGAATAATCTGTATATCAATGAGATCACAAATGTATCCTTCACATTCTTCCGTGTATGTGACATTCTTAAGGGGTACCAGAGGGTCAATTGGGGCACCAGGACCAAAACGCATTTCAATGTCAATCAACACACTCACGTGACCTCTGTAAACAAATATCATCAGTATATAGACATTAAGCCATAAGTTTAAATTGATATCGTGAAAGCAAAGAGCATAAAACTATTGAATAATTTGACAGCTCTATGGTGCTGACCAATCAAAATCTAGTTTTTATTTCTTTAGTGGCTCAATGTCAGACTTCTCATCACGTTTGTATAAGAGTATCATCATAGCAGAAAGTTGGCTATTTCATATCTCAAAATTAGGAATCGATAAAGAATAAGGGATACTGAGATAATAGGACACCATAAGGCAGTCGATATTTGGCTTATTTTTTCAACACAACTATTCAATCAAAAAAAACGTGAAACTTCTTTAACTTCATGTGTAAAAGTGTAAAAGCTTGAACCATATTCAAGACAAGATAAAAGTTCTATAATATTTTTCACTGTTGATAAAAATTGGCTTAAGCCTTCAAAGTTATAAACAAGTAATAGAAATTTCAAGGCAATGAGCGCCCCTGTCAAGACAGTTAACAAGAAATACCATAGACTTAGATTAGCTCAATGGGGAAAAAAAGAGTGTCACTGAAACCTACCTGAAGTCCTTCACAGTAAAGCTTAGGAACCAATCTTTTGTCCCATAGATGTTCATAATCTAAAATAAAATGACATTCCGAATTGACAACTCAATCACTCACCAAACTTTAATTCAAAATTTTTGAATAATTTGGATGAATATGAAATTATCGAAGATCAAAGGTATTTGAAAAAAGGAACAGTCTCTAGCAAAGGGGCCATACATTATACAGTATCATACCTACTAAGTAATAATACTAACATAAAAAATTAATTAATACTTTCTGTATTAAGTAGAATGATTTGGCGACCTAAAACTATATATATAAGGTGTAATTTTACTTCGAGCGTAAGGCAGGGACTATCAAGTCTAATATTAATTGCAAAGGCTGAAAACCTTTCAACACTCTAAGTGATATAGGCAAAGAAATAAAATAGTTTGGTAGATAAAAAAGTACGTTTAGGGGTTTAACAACATCCTAACAATTTCCTGAAACTCGAAGCGATCTATCTATGCCCTACCAGATCCCTTAGTTAAAGACAAGCAAATGAATCATATCACGCTAATATCTGGAACTTTGACTGAATCTATCGGTTTCGTACAACTGGCAACTGCTAACAGATTAACAGAATGGATGAAATCACTCACAAGTCTTTCAACCCGCTGGATAACGGAAACTGCAGCAGCACTTGAGCCGTAGACGAGGTCTTGGGACCAGGGTTCCGTTGGGTAGTGCAATGTAATCATGAAAATGACGTCACCTGCAATAGGAAAAGAATGGTCCATAACCAATGGGACAACAAGATTCAATAACTGTCAGAAACCACAGATATAAAACAAAAATGGGAAGAAAAACAAAACAAGCTGTGGTCAATACATCGCATACATCGAATCACTGCCATCTGATTACTACCTCACAAAATACAGCCAAAAGCAGCAACAGATGGAATAAAAGGATAATTACTCCGACCCATACAAGTTTTGAAGTTATAAACTATTGTGCTTTGTCACCTTATTCTTATAAAAATTTAAAAATTAATGAATGAAAAGAGATAATATTTTAGTATCAAATAAAAAAACAAGTTTGGAAAAATAAACAAATAAAACGTTGCAATGATGGGGTTGGAGGCACTTCGTAATGTAAAAAATAGTGACCTCACAAATTTGTGAGAAGTCACATCCCGACTCTATGTCCCCTAAGGGGAGGCTGCTCCGGCCAAATTTTTCCATTACCCAACCACTTTACCCTTGAATACAACGCTGGCCACTAACATCGATATTTTAAAGGACCATTATACATACATGTGAGACAAATTATCTATTTGCTGACCTGGTCTTAGAGCCTTGCAAACAAATGGCTGAATGACATCACAATTATTATCAATCCATCCTTTCTGAGCGTTGAACTGAACGCAGTCCTTTACTCCTGCTCCTGAAGGTGCTGATAACCAACCATTGAACGACAATGGCATGCCATCAACCCATGTGAATGAACCTTCAGTGATGCTGAAAAATGATTCAATCAATATTAGAAACGTTTTCATAGCTGCTAAAGAAATCAGAGTCATGAAGTATGAAGTATGAAGTATGAAGAAGGAAAACAAAATAAGTATGAAGAGCTATGCAGCATTAGTTTCCCTTGCATAATTTAACGGTCTAACTATATGTGAAGACCTTTGCCTTGTTGATGTTAAGTGTTATAAAGCTAAAACATTGCTTGATTGCGATTATATCTAAGTTTGTTTGTATGTTAAAAATCTTCTTATTTATGCTTTCTGAATAAACTGAAAACTATATATAAAGATGGCTGGCCAGAAGTTTATAAAGTTATTGGTAACTGCGTCATTTCAGTGGCAACTTTTGAGCAAAATAGTTGATTGTCTACATATAATGAAGCAGAATGTACTGATAATACTAAGATACGATGAACAAAAGCTGCAAATCCACACTAAAACAAGGATGTTATTGTAAAGAGGCTAGATAATGCCTCTCATTCGAATATTCCCGCGATTTTAAAGTCTTAAGTGTCCTAGTGGCTTGTAAAAACCAACGACTTGACTGGATATGATACTACGTAAAATAGAGGGAATTAAAAATCTTACCGATCATTTAGGCCAATCCAAGCTTGGGGAACAGTGTTGGTTTGCAATAGCTGAGTCAGGAAATAGTGTTCTTCATCACGTGCCACAGAGACTAAAGAGGCCTTCAAATCGTTACAGTGCTCAACAGCTTTCACCCAAGTCATTGATTCCGTATATAACTTGTAGCAATAGGCGCCGTTAGCCTGGAATCCTTCTGGACACGAGCCTGCAATTTGCAACGCTAAATCTTGCAATTCAGAGAAACAAAGTCAAGAAACAAGTCAAATTGCTAGAAAAAAGGTCACCGAGTACTGGAAAAGATGTAAAAACAAATTTAATTAAGACGGGTGTAATGATGGAGTTCTACAGTCAATTCATTGAGGTGTCAGTGGTTTTCTTCACTTCAAACTTCTACTTTACCTTTATCGGATGACAAAGAGTTTGCCAAAGCATCAGCTCTAGCGAAATTTTGAGAAATTCCTTAAAGAAACTATGAAGTCTCTCTAAGACTCATCCGTGTAGATCTCTTCCCAGTTATTTTTTAACAAAGAGAGGAAAGGAGAGGAGGGTTTATCCAAACATAGAGAGGAAAGTTATTTTTGTATAATATTTTTTATACGATCACATGATAAATATAAACGATAGGCCGATATTTGATTCACTGTCAACCCTGGATTTTCAAACACTTTGATATTTTCCTATATATGAAATATCATTTATATGTGCTATACACAACAAAATATGTTTCTGTTATTTTGCTACACTCGAAAGAATTCTTCTGAAGTCTAAAATTATCAACACAAGAAAGGCTTAAGTATAAGCATTTTTACCTGTAGTAGCAGCAGTGACAGCAGAACCTATTGATAAAAAAGAAGCCTTTTAAAATCAGATAATAAAAACTTAATAAAAATAAGGCCGTTACCAATAAATAACACAGTTATGACATTAGTCTTTCAGTTTCGGTTAAAATCTCTCCGTTTTTCATACTGACTTCTTGAACCTTTTGACTATATCAAAAAACGTCAAGCTGTAAAAATGTACATCATAACCTGTTAGTGTACACAATTGCTGCTCAACGTCACATACGTCAGACCGCCTCTATTACATGTTCTGCTCCGAGAATTTGTCACAAAATAGGTCTGTAGCAAGAAAAAGCGATTCTACCTAAAAACACCAGCTCCACAAATAACAAACAACCCATGAATTAGTCCAAACTACAAAAATTAACAGTTTAAATCAACAGCAGAGGTGAAGTGTTATGAAAGCACAAAGGGGACATTGCGAAATCGTTTTTGTAACATTAGGCAATGGTAGTAAGGGGCTATTTTTCAGCATTAACATAGGAACTCTGCCCAACAGAGCCAAGAAGAGTCCCTAGCACTACAGTCTTGATTAACAGTTAAAAATTTTTTGGAAACGAGCCGCACCTGTAACTGGCAATACGTTGTACTGTATGGAGTCTTCGGTGTCCCCTGCTGGATTAAAGAACGCGACTACGTATGTCATTCCAGGGCTAGCAGGATCAGTGAATTTGCCTACACCGACCTCAGCTGTTCCTCGCCATACGAGCTGAATGAAATACCGGTTCTGATTATTTATCTTCGGTCGCTGGAAATCGTAATTAATTATCTGGTTATACCAGGTTCGGACACTGATTTGAGCAATCGAGACATCGGATATATTTGCCACAAACAGGGCCTGGCCAAACTTCACCTTGGGCATGTGCATGACCCTAGAGCAAATGAACACATTCATTATTAGAAACAATTAAAAAACCGATGTAAAGAGGTTGTGAATAATCGTAATTGCAGATGTATCAACTGAAATGTCGATTTTGAATTCACCGTGAAACGCAAAGGAGTTTAAAAAGATGAATTGTCATATCACAGACAGGATGCACAGTTCAATATTTCATGGAAATTATATAAAAGCGGGGAATTTGATTTTGGGGTACGTTGTCTACAGCAACAGTGATTGGCAGAAATGGCCTAAATTTTTCATCAGTCGTAGTGCAGATTCATTAAGAATTACCTTCGATATGTTTTAACGTTAGCATAAAAATTAATACAAGATCCTTAATCATAAAATCTTTTCAGAACACACTCTTTCAAACTAAAGTACATGGACCTTATTAATCTAGCGATCTTGCAGTGCTCTATTTGAAAGAGAGCCAAAAGAATGTCCCATATTTCATAGAGGAAATTCAATCCTACTTGCCCTATGTTTACCCCCCTCTCCCGCTCTGTTATAACAGGACAAACATACCAGTATTGTGAACGGTCGGGGGCAAAAGCAAACCAAAATGAAAACTGAATCAGTCTATACTGTTACACTGGCCCAATTATCTACTCAAAGATACGCAATTACAATTGAAAGTTTCCTTACTTCTTCTCTTTCACAAGATACTCTGCCCATTTCTGTGCTTTCGTCATGAGGGAGTAAGACCAAATCAACGGAACACCACTGTGCATCCTACGATATTTGTTAGCCTCTTCTAAGAACAGCATCTTGAAACTGAGGCTCACCTCTGTATTTAGAAACAGAAATACGTTAGGCATAAACAAAACAATTTAAGCATATATGCTGTACGGAAAAAAAGACTATCAGAGTAACACAATTTCCTATTGGAACAATTTTTAATCAACATATGAAAATCAAACTAAAGATTATACCAAAGTGTCCCCTCTTACAAAACACGTTTTTGGTACATTAAAGATTTCTAGCCACTCCAACTAACGATTTCATTTCCAAGGACGCTGTGATGTGAATTTTCCTAAAACTACTTATAGAAAAAAATGGCAAGAATTTGAGATTTTAATGACAAAAATGAATTTTCGATATTGGAATTACCTTCAGTGATGGGTTTGCTCTCATCGATGCTGAATGGGCTTGATTGATCTCCAGCAGCTAAAAAAATCATTGTAACAGTAACATAACAACCAAAGTTAAAATATGAGAGAGAATATCACAAGAAAGCTTGTAGCTCCAAAGATGTATATGCTACTTAAACCGTCGAAAACGACCATGAAGGACATCATCTCTGGTGATTGTAAAAATGTCTTTGCTTGGTATCTCCTTTGTATTTCTTTTGAGCATTCGAAATTTTCCCAATACTCTTATACCTTAAAGATTCTAGCGATTCTCCAAATATTTTTTCTGACAAAACTGTCGCCTAATTTGAAACAGGTCTCTTACAAAATTCATCATCTATATTTTCATAAATATTCTCCTGGTTTCTGCGTGATAATTAGAAAGCAATAAAATATGCTGATATAAAATTTTCATCATTGAATTATAAATTGAAATGAATCTGGATTATGAAATCTCAGTTTCTCAAATAATTGATAATCCTCTCTAGTTTTATGTTCTAACTCAAGCGGAGAAATTACCTTGGCTTTTATGCCTTATCATTATCACAAGAAACCACCTTCCTTTTATGTACTACCCTAAACACAGACACCATCTATCTTCTACGTCCTTCCTAAAACATAACTAGCCTCAGTTAAGTGTTAAGTTTAAAAACTATCTCAGTCTTATGTCGTACCTTTTTGCTTAGAAAATCAAATAATAACAAATAAATAATAGCATACCCTGACAGATGACAGCAGTTACTTGACTAACACCTTCCATGAGATCTCCATAGTCAAATATGAGTCGATGTTGATCCTTAGGATCAGATGCCATGGCTTCCAAGGCGTATTTCATGTAGGCAGTCTCTTCTCCAAAACCAACGCTTACAACCGTTACACCCATGTCTCGTAGTTCAATCGATGGTAGGGTGACGTCGTCGGAGCTGTAGCCATCAGTGATTATGACAACAGCCTTCAGAGATGACTTGCAAATGACCTTGGTCATAACTTCGGATCGCACGACATCAAGAGCCTTGCCTAGAATCAAAAATAGAGGGTTCCAAAAATTAATTTCAAACTCTTTCGTGAAGAATAGACATACAGAGCAAGTAAATCTAAACATGGCATTTGTGATTCAAAAATGTTGTTGAGAGATGATGCACCTATAAATTCCAGTTTGAGCCATTAAATATGCGTCTAGTACTTGCAAATTTCAAAATAAAATTGAATCATTAAGTGTGGTTATTAAAAGAAATGGTTTAAAACGTCACAAGCTTTAGATTGCGGGTAACATCGATGAATGCTTTCAGAAATATATCAATCTATTCAAATTTACAACTTAAACATTTATTTATATTTTCTGTGTCTTTCCATGAAATGTAAGCAACAATTGTGTAACATCAATTTGTGAGCCTAAACCTACTAGACACAAATATTTCAGTGACTGGACGTCCCCACCGTGGGGAAATAGCAACATGGACCAAGAGCATCTATCGCTCGCCGCCAACAGTTCTTCCAGATTAATAGAGGGGGGGGCTGGCCCTCATGGGATAAAAGAATTCCCGGTTGATATACAAGGAAACTCGAAAACTGAATATTCGTACACAATCCATAAACTGTAAACACATACGTGCCACCTCATACAAAGTTTATCATGTCATGTGATTGACACGTGACTTGAATCAATGTTTAGGTTTAACTGACCTAACAAGGATCTTTGTTTCTTGTGCTCGATTTGGTTGACGGCAGAGTCCATGCTTAGCACGTCTTTGTATGTTCCGAAATTGAAAATTACTTTCGGATCAGTGCCAGCTTCGACTACAGCAATGTCTGCCCCGGTTCCCACTTGGAATGACCGGTACACATGCTTGGCAAATGTTTTCACCCGGCTGAAAAACCCATCTCGGTTTTTGGCCTCGATTGAACCAGAATTGTCAATCACGATAGCGAGATCGACTTTGGCATTACATTTTCCGCCAGGTACTACAGAGGAAAATATTTATACATATTAGTTGTAGAGCTGAAACTTAATAAATCAAACATTTCAAAATAAGTTGAAAGATTGTAGAAATGCAATTTGATGATACAAGAAGTGATTCAAAATATATTTCAAGTACGATGTTTATTCTAGAATATAGCGGCTGGCTCAAGCAGGGTATATCTTTTGCTGCAAGAACAATTTTATCTTAAATCAACCTTAAATCATGAAGTGAAAACATGGAATATGATTAAATTTTCTTCAAAATTGAAGATTTATTGCCATCTTTTGTCTTCGTCTTTCTAATTTTCTAAATTCCTATCCATAAATTGGCGATATTTTTACGTTTGACCCACCGTATCTAATAACAAGCACAACACATCAGTTGTGTGTAAAAGACGCATTTATCGTTGTGCACGTTCAATAGCTCTGTGGTACTCGTTCAGGAGTTCTCGTACTTAGTATGGTCTGTGACGCAATTATGTCTACCACGTTTGTTATATAAATCAAACTAATGCAAAAAATGTTTCTATCTTTGAGCAACATATAAATATTTTCTAGTCTTCTATAAAGCCTTAACTTCTAGTCACCTAAAGCAACGAATTTTTATTATTTTCTAGATGTAAACACGTGAAAATGAATTCTGCCCAGAAGACTTTAGTTACCTGTTGGTTTAGGAGCAGCTGTTGTTGGCTCCACAGTGCCAATTGGTGCTTTGGTTGTAATGGGTTTGGGGGTCGTTAAAACTGGAGTTTGGCCAGCTTTTGTGGTTATCTCGGGTGGAATAGTTGGTCCTGCTGTTGTCACAGCTAAAAAGTGGTATTACACATACTGTTAACATTATAAAAAATTTAAAAATACATTTATCAAAAATCAGGATTCATTTTGTAAAAGCTAGAGACAATGAGCCTAGGAAACCTGTCGAAACCTGATATATAGGGAATATTGGCAAGTAGCAGACCATTGGTTAAAGAATGGAAATGTAATGGGGGCAGTTTTTAAAATAAATGCAGATACAGAGACGTATATTAACAGATATCAAGCTTTATAATGGTATATCTAATATTCATAGCATACCTAACCTAGGCTGTTCAATTGCATACCTTACCTAGTACTTTAAGAAGCAGGAGCATAAATTGTTCATACCTGCAGCTGTTGGTGAGACGGGGAGAGGCGCAGCAGTGGAAGGAGCTGGTGATGGCGGGGGAGCTGCCGATGATGGAGGAGCAGATGTTGTTGCGACTACAATTATAAATATTTACAAAAATATGAAATATCTCGATTCTACAAATTATAGGAAAAGATTGACTGAATTACTTCCTTTTAAACGCTGGTTACTGCCTATTATCATTTAAACTACAATTTTTAATAGCCTGCACCCTAAAGCGTATTTAAATCACAGCCTTTTTTAGCATCGTATTTGTTGAAATAAAATGAGTAACTATATCATTCGGTTTCAATCAGCTTTTATGAAAACTCAAGTCCCTGTAAATTAGACTCGACCTTTAGCAGTAATGCATCAGGCGCCTAAAGAAGTAAATACAGAATAGTATAAATCACCTTGCAAGATCGTTTTCAAGTCTTCGGTTGTAACTGTTTTGTAAAAGATAACCAAATGATCCAAAAGAAAACTTCCAAAAAGGCTGTCTTTGTGGTTTGGTTTCCCAATCGTAAGACTTGTGTAAGTATCGAGAGGGTAGGAAGCTTTTTCTGAGCTGACAGTGGCAACGACTTCGCCATTTTGGAAATACGTCAAGCCGACACCTAAAAAAAATTGAAAATTGCATTCAAAATTTGTTCTGTTCCAGCATCAGAAAAAACGATGAAATCAAAGTGGTTCTGGAAATATTGCAATAAAAACCTCATGGTGGGCTTTCGATTAACAAGTTTTTTCAAAAATCCAAAATTTTTAAGATGGCATGATCACTTTTTTAACTATTTTTTACACTGTAGCCCTATATCAAACCAATAATATTAAATGCTATTTCATGATTTATGCCTTACAGTTCACAAGTTATTGCATTGCATTCAAAGTTTGTCCTGTTTTGACACCAGTAGACATAACGTAATCAAAGTAACTTTGCAAATGTGGTCTTAAAAATAATATATTATTCTTTCAGACCAAATATGATGACGTAATTACTCATATTAACGATATATACACTGTAACACTACATAAAATGTTATGTTATGATTTAGGCCTTACAGTTCATGAGTTACCTATCGTTTTCAGTAGTTCTTACTTGTAGCCAAACCATGCATTAGAAATCTTAATGTTGTCAGCATCTATGAGGCTAAAACAAGAAGGAATTTTCGATCATAATTCACAGGAATAGCTAACCTTCTTTGAAAGTGAATGCAAAGTGAAACCATGTTTCAGGGATATTCGTCAAAGCTGTTCGATACACAGCAGTGGTTGTTTGTAGCTGCAATTTGAATTTGGATTCCTCTTTTGCATACAAGAACGCGAATCCACGTGACGAGCTGACTTGACCTCCACTAGAGATGATGTATTGGTGATTCTCTGTATTCTTAGCAATGTCATTTGGCTGTATACGCAACCAAAACATCACTGTTATACCATCAGTACACAAACTTATATCGCTAGCACATTCACCTGAAAAGAGGAAAATGGTTTTAAAGACTTACTAAATGTCTAAAGCCTAAAATATTACCAGTACAAGCAAAATTGAAAAGTATTTAATATTAAATAAATAAGTTTCTACAAAAGCTACTCAGACTGCAACAATTCAAAACGGTTTGAAATAGTTGATATTAATCTCGTAAAGCTAGGTTTATTTTCACTTCTCCCCCTGAACGTCATATTGTAAACAAGAGCTAAACTGGTAAATATATATCTGTTTGTCATTCTACTATTATCTGACGTTTCACACCCAGCAGTGTAAGAGACGATGCGCCCCCGCTATTATGCTACAATTTCAAATGAGCCTGTATAGCAATGCTACAAAATTTCAAAACATGCACAGAAGAGAGGGAAAAAGGACATGGTTCTAAGGTTTGCTTTCTGTTTGACACTCCTCAGAGTATAAAGCGTTGGAGTATGTCAACATGTTGAATGAAAAGTACGTGTTTGCATCATACTTTATGCTTTCGGCTATACGTGTGTTTTAAAATTCCAAGACAAATTTTAAACTGCTAAGTCATGATTCTCCAGCTTTAACAAGGACCATAGAAATTTACAATAAACTCATAAAACTCATAATCATAAAATTCATAAAAGCATAAGAGAAGAAAGTTACTATAGAAACAAAGATAAACAATATCATTAGTGGAAGTCGCAGGACCCAGGGTAACCCTCTGCTAAAACCCGGAACACTTCTCCAGAAAAGTCTCCATTCTTTTGAAAACGAAAGACTACACAATATTTTCACAAATAAACAAATACTCACTTTTGAAATCACCAACGTTTACCCAGCTTTTGGCAGTCGTTATGAGAGAAACATATTTTCCCCTTGGCTCACCAGAAGTAATAACAGCACCGGCCTAAGAAGTGAAAAGTAACATAACAAAAACACTAGGCGATTGCAGATGGTATCACTAGACAAAAAAACGTAAATGCATGTACAGTAAAGTTCCAATAACCCAAACCTTCGCTAAATCGAATTTCCGTTATCGCAACCATTTGTGAATTTGAACCTTCGTTAACTGGAACAGTTTTTGCATTTCTTTGATTCCTCCGCAATACGCTTTAGATTCAGATTGGCTCGAAAATTTGTTAACTCGAACCATTTCAATCGTTCACTTGAGGCTCGAGCTACCAGGATAATGCCGTATTTAAAAAGGCTTATTTATTCAATCAATTTACCTTAAGCTCTGCGTTCTTTTTGCTGCTAATGACTTCAGGTGAAACATCACCGGATGAAGTTTTGAAAATATTGTCAAAAGGATAACAGTATTTTGCATTTTCATATCCAACGCCACAAGCACCACCAGCTGTAAAAGAAGCAGAACTCATATTGAAGTGGCAAACTGTGCACGTATTTGTCTCAACTTTACCTTTTGTTGCTAGCAATTGCTTAATGTTCTTTAAACATATTTGATTATTAGCACATTATTGGTGAAATATGCAAAATCTTCTATTTTAGGGAGGTGCAAGTTTCTGTTATCTGGAGTTGCTTCTAAAAGTTTTCGCCACAAGAAAGAGCAGTTTAAACAAAAGTCTTGCTTTTGATATGTTCAATGATTGAGTGTTAATCATTCTTTGCTTCCCAACCAGAGCCAATACTGACAAAAATAAACGCCTCTGTATAAGAAGGCCTAAAGACATTTGTTCAGAGTTCAATCAAGCCAGTAGCGGGTTTATGCGCCAATAAATGGGAGGGGGGGGGGGGTGTATGTATTTAGTTTGCTCTGAATAAAAGGAATGCCATCATACGATGGACATTGATCCACAAAACATACACAATACTTTTTGTATTTGTACCCAGCATCCGAAGGTAGGTTCAAGGACAATAAGAAGCTGAGTTTATCGGGTGGTGTCCTGGTCCTTCCTCTCGATGTGACCACACCTCATGATCCTTACCCCTGGAAACACAAAGTTCTGGCGACTTCTTACACTCTGTATGAAAGTTTTTTCATGTTAGAGACTAGAACCCCAGACCCATGGATCTGTAGACCGCGACCCTGACCACCACAGCAGTAAACATTCTTTTTTAACATGACTCACTATTCTATATGATATCGATGACAAATTGTAATGAAAATTTGATCAGTTGTGAAGCTAAAAAAAGAAAGAAAGAAACAAGACAGGGCCAAATATACTTACAAAACCCTTTTGGTGGAGATACTGGTTGCGGAGGAGGAGGGTTTCCTGTGGGAAGATTTGAAAGATATTCATCACAGAAAATCACTTGAAATGCCTATTCAAAGTACGGTACTTGTAAAGTATCAATTAACCTGTAAACTTCATAAACAGATTCTAAATAAAATTTATGGACTTCCAACCTTTTAAGTCCCTATAGCATCCGAAATAAGGTTTTTAAAAACAAAGAGCTCTCCACTTAAGGCGGGAAATTTGCTACATTTGTAATCCAACTCATTTCATGACTGATAAATTCTCACATACCAGTTATCACCGTGATGATTTGTTCTGGGGTCAAAGCCTTGTACCAAACAACCAAATTGTTTATCTTAAATGATCCAAAGAACTGCTCCCCTCTGTTAGGTTTGCCGAGTGTCATCTTCGTCACGGAGTCAGATGAATATGTTCCAGCTATTTTCGTTCCAGTTCCAGTTTTTATACCGTTTTGATAATAGACGAGCCCATCGTTTGCACCGGCCCCTGTAGTGGAACAGAAATGAGCATTGATAAAGGGTGATGATTTTCGAGCATTCTATGTTTTTTGACAGGATTGTAAAAAACAGAACTTTCAACAGCTACAGAATTCAAAGCCTATCAAGCAATTATTTTCTGTTACAGCACTCGGGGTTTAATAAAGCACGATTATTTAAACGCAATTGTAAGTGTAATAACAATTATAATAATCACAGGGGCTTACAATTTCATCTTCAATGCAAGTCTATATCTTCTTTAAAACATACATCATCTACAACTCAATACTGGATTTTACCATCAAGGGTATTGAAAAATTGGTGTGGCTTATGTGGCTATATAGTAAAAGAAACCATTCGCCCTGGTTTTAAACAATAGATAAATAAAAAATATGGCAATATTGATCTGGTCCTTCAGGCAAACGAACTAACAAGGTCTTTTATCGACTTAACTTATCTATTTGTTTCAGACAATCGACCATTCTTTAATGTATACAAGCAAAACGCCCTCTTTCCATTCCCCTAGGTTAAATACAATCTAAACAAGAATCACAAACCTTCTTTGAACGTAAACGTAACCGCAAACCAACTCTCTGGGATGCTGCTCAGTTGGATGACGTAATCAGCTGTTGATGTTTGAAGCTGCAGTTTAAATCCAGTGAACTGGGCATCTTTCTGGTACAAGAAGGCGAATCCACGTGAATCTCTTCTCTGTCCACCCGTTGATATTATATACTGATGGGTATTGCCACCTTGTAGGTTTGTATTTATATTTATGGCTGTCATCTTGATCCAAAACATGACGGTGATACCCTCGGAACATTTGTCAGGATCAGAAACACATTCACCTACGAGAGGCATGGTACAATAGCACGGCAATGTGGTTGGAAGTAGAAATACAGAGCATCAGATGTACAGATTTAAGACTTATATTCACCTGATACTATGTTTAGAAAAATGCCATGAGAACAACAGAAGATAGAGCTAAAATTTCCTTTAACCGGATGATAAAAAGAAAGAAACACAATAGAGTGAATACGGAAATTTTGATAGGTGACACACCAAACTCCTCAGTTTAGTTTAACGTATCAGTTTAACGAACCTTGAACCAAGAGCGTTACTAACTGGCTTGAATCAAGAGTGGAATCTTATATTCATCAGTGGTTTTCCCAGAGAAATAACAAAAAATAAATCTCTAAAAATTCACACGAGACAATTTTCTATCATACCTAAAAGAGATGCATGACTAAAATATAAAGTTATAAATTTTGATGATTCACTTATGCAGAACATATGATTCAAGCCCGGACCATGTGAAAAAAGATGCGAGGCACGTACCGGTATAGCCACCAAGATCAGCTGTAGCTCCAGTTGTTGTCAAGTCCAACACCAGCCCATGGCTTGTGGTTTGACTGATTTTCGCTTTCTATTATACAAAGGATTAATTTACTCAGCAAGGATGGGGGCAGATTAAGTCAATAAAATGCCACAATAGTGCTAAGTATAGGGGCAGGTGAAGTCTCTGATATTCACAGCCACTACGATGCCTACGGCAAGAATTTGTTTCACAGCGGAGATTTAAAACTCTAAATACGTTTTTAGTACCGCAAAATTAGAAGATGGCACGAAATATCGGAATCTTATCATACTGAAGTACTTTTCATTCGTTCTCACTTTTCGAAGAGTATAAACGTCGTTATGACCGAAAGTAAGCTGAAAATTTATTGCAATTCTGATATTTGTGCCTGATATAATTTTGGAAAAGCAAAGTGATTAAAACATATATTCAAACACAATAAAAACTTCAAACGCAAAATTACAAATTCTAGTATATATTATTATAGCGATTTTGTAAGCAAGGCAGAAGAACAGAAGAATTCAGAACAAATTACGTGAAAGCTTCCAGCTCAGAACCCAATGCTACAGCAGATAATGATACCATGGCACTAACTCAAGAACTATGATCTTGAGTTTTGTCGAGATTTCAAATGTTATCATATAACTATATGTAGATAATTTTCAATCTGTAACTTTTTTTTCACATAAAGGCTGTGAGAATAAGAAATTTCCAAGCTTTAATGAAATGCTTACCTGGTTCAAGACTCCAACTTTGTTCTTCAAAGATTCTTTCGTTTGTCTCAATTCATTGGCTGATTCAAATGTCCAACAGTAGTAGGCCCCTTGGAACTTAGCAGGGCATTGGGCTGTGAAATCATAACAATACGTATACAGTAATTCTCCACTAAATTTACATCAGAACAGATCAGGGGCGGATCCAGAGCAAAATTAAAGGAGGGGCAGTTGGTAGTGGGGGCGCTGAAAAATTTTCAAGAATTAGTGACCAGAGAAAGCTGTATACATAACTTTGAGGTAATCCTTGAAGCAAATTAACCCAGCGATCTCAGAAACTTTTTCATCTGATTCGAATTTTTCAAAAGGGGCGCACAATTTCCAAAAAGGGGCGCCAGACTTGCTGCAACTCTTCGAGGGAGGGGCATCTGCCCCTAGTTGCCCCTCCTCCCTTAGATCGACCACTGAAACAGATGTATTCATCTATTCTCCCTTAACAATAAAAAATATGTCGGTTCTTTACCGTATGGATGGTTGAGTTATATGAAAACATTTCTCCAACAAGTATTGAAATAAAATACATGTAAACCGTAATAAGCAAAGTTTAAATTAAATCTAAAATCCATGTAAAGTGAAAGGCTCTGATATCTAACTTTTGCATCTATGAAATTATGTATTTTTCAAACGAAATAAAGTAGCAGATTTTCAAAAAATAGTTGCATTAAACATTACTATTGGTACTAAAATGACGTCAAAATGAGTATTCATACAACGACGTCATAAAACAGGTATTTTAGTAAACAGGGTAATGATGAACCTACCGTGAGCTTGCTTGCTTGCTAAAAATTCAAAAATAAAATTCGAATTTAGAACTTCAAGCTGATGAGTGAACTGGGCAATTCTATATTGAAATGATTTGTGAAATTCCTAATTCACTGCTAAATGCAGCAAGGCAAAAAGATCTGCTACATTTTTGTCAAGCTTAAAATGACAACATTATATATTATTTCCTGACTTAAAGCCAAAAATATGAGTAAATACTCATTAGAAAAATCAAAGACATTTCTAAAGATGTTAGAGAGAATTTTTGTTTTTAATGGCAATGATTCTAAGCTAAAACGTTTTGGGTAGCACTGGGTAGCTCTGAAAAAGAAGGAAAATATAAAAAAGATAGGAATTATTTGAAGGTTACGAGCTTCAAAAAGTTTTTGATTGTTGGGAGTCTTCCTTAGGCGTTCGCAAAAACAGAAGCAGGGCGAAAGAATGAAGAGAGTCCATAGAAAAATTTCCTACATGAAATTGAAGAACCTCTTACCAAAAGATTAGCTCTTGAACATATAAAAAATCATTGCATTTTGAAAGAGCTTGTAGTACATAGCAAAATTTAAAAGAAAAATTGTACCCCTGGCAAGAGCTAGCAGTGAAAAATTCAAAGACCTCAGAGAAAATTGTATTCTTTGCGACCTTTTAGTACAATAAAAGACCATGAAACATGAAATTAAGTTAATACGTACCCTTGCAAACAACATCAGCAATTTTACCGACTTCGTTTGCCAGTGTTTTGAATTGAGATCTCAAATTAAACGAAGGATCACTGGCCCATTTGTTCATGTTTTCGTCACTGATACCATTGCCAACGGCTACAAGAAGGATTTTGATACCAGCCTTCTTTATCTCCTCCGCAGCAGCATCAGCATCCGCTTGGTCACTAGGATTTCCATCTGTAATAACAACCAGTATTTTCGCAGCATTGTCTTCTCTCTTCGTTGCTTTGTCGAAAAATTCGCTTTTTGCTTTCCTGAAAGCAACGCCTGTGTATGTATCGATATAATTTTTCGTTGGAAGTTTGTCGATCTCGGTGACCATTTCAGCTGCTGTTTTGTATTTGTTAAAGTCAAATACAGGCTGTAGGGATGAAATAGGGACACTATTAAAGCTTAATGAACGAATAATGCGAAATTAAAAATGCCTTTAGGGTTTCCTAAGGTAATAATGATTGTTGCCATTTTCAAGAGGTTAACTTTTAACGAGTAAGACATTAAAACTCATCAATTTTATCTACAGTGTCTGCAAAAGATTCTGGTTTTTAATAAATTGAATATATTAATAAAATTATCACCAGCTCTAGATGAAAAAAAGTAAAATGTTTGAATAATTGCAACAAGTAAAAACTTTCATAAAGGTAACCAAATCTTTCAGTTTCTAAGAATTAATTGACAGTTAATTGTTTGACTTGTAATACTCTTTAAAAATATAAACAAGTCCTACAATCATAGGCTGGTTTAAAGCAAACTGCCATGTCTAGTTTTCTTGTACCATTACTCACCAGTGGTACTTTGTCACCAAACAGCATGAGAGCAAACCGAGAGTCTTTAGGAGAGACATCGAATGACTGTACTACTGTTTTTAGTCCTTCAACTATAACGGTTTTGAAGTAATTTGGAATTCCAGCTATGCGACCTCCTAACTCAACTGATTGTGAGGCATCGACAACTAATGCAATATCAGCTGGAACCTTGCATTTTGGAGAAGATGTAGACGGGGGTAACTGACCTGCAAGAAGAATAAAAGATTGCTATTCTTTGAATCAGAGGTCCATAACTAGGATCCTTATCAGAGCATATTATTTTTACCCTTACATCAAACTGAATTAGGACATAATTAGACTTAAACCATTTCAAACCCTTATAAATCTATCTGTTTTTATTGTTATTTAACTTTTTAATATACGATCTTGCTTGCTGTACACGTTATTTTTTGACGACGATAATTAATTCGCTATTTCTTTCTAGAAGAATTTTATATTTATTCCCAGTTTATTCAATTTATTACATTGAATTAAAATTGCAATTGACAATTTCTAAAGACTAATTGTGACAGGACGTATCATGCTTATGTTGCCTTGCATTAGAAGAAAAAGGAGTATAAAAATTTAATAATTGTAAAATATGGGGAAAATATTTAAATTAACCCTAACTAAATTTTTCCTAGCAAGTTAATATTTTATCGATTCTTTCTAAAAAATATATTGAGTAACCTTAAGAAATATATTGAGACTCTTTCACACAAAAAAGATGTTCTTTAAACTTCGGTTGGAAATGAAGTGTCTCGCATCCCGGAAATATGTTCAAATAAAATTTTTGTAATACAAATATTGCAATGAAATGATTCATTTGATTTACGTAGCATTTACATCCATATTTTAAGAAGTTATTTAATTCATTTTCCAGAAAGAGGAAAACATTTTAAACCGATTATTTACAATAGAATTACATTTAACATTACAAAATTGAAAAAATGGGTTCGAAAGAAGGATGGTTAATAGATGTCACATCACAAATGCCCAGGTTTTTTTTCTGATAATATAGGACAAATTTATAATTGTTAAACTTACCACTAGTACATGAAAAAATAGCAAAAATGCATAGCACTAGAGATGGACTTCGGGCTATCATCATGAAAATTCTACAAGGTAAAAACATTTGATTGTGAAAAACAGTATAATAAAATATCAATAAAACCTGTTTTTGATCTTACAAAAATTATCAATAGAAAAAAAAGGTACCTTTTGTTCATCGCTAAATAATATTGCATTAAAATATATCTTATTGGCAAGCAATTTAAATTTTTGAACGGGCCAAAACTTTAGCGAAGTTCCAATGGCCTAGGTTGTAAGAGTTCAACATTATGCAGCATAATACCAGATTTGGAAAAAGGCTTTTGATTTATGATTGAAAAATCTACACATTCCTAACAGGCGAGTTTATGAAAAACGCTTTAGCGAACGAATAGAAAACTTTGATATGAACAGATTCTTCAAGTTAATTTCTCAAAGCGTTTGATTATAATTTGAGGAAAAAAACTGCTTAAAATGTGCAAATCAACTAGATAACGATAAATCTAGAAATTGCTTGTATTAATTATCTAATCTACGGTTAACGACCATTGCAAACTTGCTCTCTTCAATCTTCTTATGATACAAATAAAATATTAGGTTTTTCACCTCGTTCTGCTAGGCATGTTCTTATGTTACTATTTTACGTATTTAGAAGAATTTATAAACAAACAAAAGGAGGAAATCGACCTTTAAACAGCCTTTTTCACTGTGACGCCTTAAACGCTTCCTTGATGATAAATTCAGGTATAATCATCGAAAATAAAGATAACATACCTTTAAAAACTACTCGAGAAACAAATCATTTAGTTCAATAAATCCAAGGCTTTTCTCATACCTCTTTGTATCCACTATCCACTCATTTGGGTATTTGTAAATCTACAAAAATCAGTAAAAAAGTTTCAATTTCGACAGCGAATTTCACATCTAAAATCGCAGAAGCAAGCGATTGTCAATAGCCATTGATTTTCCATTGAGCAGTATGATTGCGTCAGGTGTTGAGATCAAAAAGTCGACATAACAGGTTGGCCGTAAGACAGTTCGACTGCACACAAGGCAGCCCTGTGGTTGTTTATGATCTAGGAGGCTAAAGCCGCAGTCGTTGAGTCTGCTGCACTTGAAACTACATTTGAACAATCATGAAACTGAATTTGATCAATCATATTTTGAAATTTACACCTCCAGTAAAAATGCATTTGACGGCACCTTGGACCGTGCCATCACAAATCATCCCATCACAATGCCATTAGTAGAAAGCTCTGAGTCGACTGTGTAACTTTGTTTAATACTTCTTACGTTAGATACCCCCCGTCGAACTGATCTTTGTATCTTGTAACGCTAAAAGCTGAAATTCCTACATTAACAAGCAGGATGTTAGAAATATAACCAATGTTGCCTTTTCTAAAAACATCCTTTCCCAGGCCCAACCAATAAACTTTTCCCCGAATTTCATAGTCAAGACTGACGCAAAAATATCAATGCTTTATGAACACTGATAAAAACATGAAGATCAGAAATTAATAGCCAGGTAAAAGTGGTAAAGCCGATTTTCTATTAACCCGATGCTATACTTCTTAAACGTGAGAATCGTACAGTGGTAAACCTAAGAGTTTTAATCAAGAAATTAAATGATAAAATTTGAAGGAACGAAAAAGTTACACCTCAGGTGTAAACTGCAAAATAAAAGTTCATAATTTGGCTGGCGAACGATTTGAACTTCAAACACGGAATTCAAATGGCAGCAAGTACAATTGAACAAATACAAGTTCATTTCCATGACTAAACTTGATATGCAGCTTAAGTTAGAAACCGATTTAAAATACAAAAAGTAGCCAGCCATATTGCCTTCCTGGCTTGACGAGCTTCTTGCAAATCGCCAAACATTAGCCTTTTCTAGACAGCCAGTCAATCCATTTTTTACAACCAAAGATATTGCTCCTCCAAAGTTCGAAGGTTTCAACATATTACTTGCTTATCTATAACCAGTATCAATATCGGTTTCTCGTCAATAACTTTTCAATTTCTGTGTTTTGTACGATAATTGCCTTCCAACTTACAACAATCTGTACGCCGAACAATTGTCATAAATCAACGCAAAATATAACTTGGAAATATGGTTTAAATATCAAACTAAAAATGTCACTTGCAAAAAATAAAACACAGAATGTTGAAAATTCAATAGATTGTTTATTAGTAATTTGTGCTTTTTTGATATAAAGAGTTTATGGCTATCTCGCCGCAGATATACTTCCTGATACAACAGATATAAACTTAAACTTCCTTATAACCATCATATCAAAAATAACAACAGAAAGCATGAAACAAACCTTAGCTTTAGCTTTATAATCCAATAACAGCCTAAAATTAAGATTTAAATACAATTTCGTCTAAAATAATGCTTTTGATGTTCATAAAACAGAAAAATGCATTTTCCAAGGTAGATAGGGCAAAAATTATTTGCGAGCAAACCCAAACACTGTTTTATTGGCTCACAAATAACAGGTTCGACCAAGATTTTCCATTGTCTTTGTGCATGAATTTGAATTCCAGAGCAAATGTTTGATTACTTGAGGTTGATTACGCACTGAAGGTATTTTTACATTATCTTATAAGCACCTTAGGCACAAGTGTTTAGAAATACCCTCCCAAGTAGACTGCCATGAATAAATTGAATTCCTAAATACAATTTTATTCGATACATTTAACATTCGCTGTTTGGTTTAGTCTTCTGACCTATAACGGGGGAGGGGGGAAGGAGTGATTTTTGCACCGAAGCACAAAAATATGTGTGTAATATTTCCTAAAGAACGAAAGTAGATGAAACCTCTTAAGATCTTCAGTTATTTCTAAGTCATGTTCTGGCGCTCTATACTCAGAAGAGTGTCAGACGAAAAGCTTTAGTATGTCTTAAAATGTTTGCTTTTCTCAAAGCTCATTTAAAGAGAGAAAGGACAGAGGTGTAGAATATGACGACAAGTCGTAGGGTTGAAGGATATCTTGTCAATAAGTACATCGTAACAAATTGAAAAATACTTTAAGAATATGAAATTTAGCACATTACTTTTAAGTAACGAATTTTCAGTTACATTACATAACAATTAGGATAATCTCAAAGATTAACACTTTTGCTTCATTGTTAAAAATTTTTGCGATTTCTTAATTCATTTATAAACAGATTAATTCTTAATTCATTAATTCTTTAACAATAGAAGATTTCTTTCTAAATAAATAGAATAGAAATTTTATTAAAATGACATTCTAAGCCTTGAAATTTTATTTCATACCAACATCAAGTTTACAAGTTTTCATACTAATCATTTAATGACAAGAAACTACAAAAAAGTATGCTTGGCAGTAAAACTTTCGTTAAATTTACTAAATTCAAAAATTTCTTACTCTTATAATCACAGTTTTTAAGGTATGTTTTATTTATCAAAGATCTTATATGTTTCTAATTAAGCTTTCGAAAATTTGTTGTCGCTATCATAACTAAGTCTAAGATTTATTTTATCTGAAATTTTTTCATCAGTCAGAATTAACATCAGATTAACGATCTTTGAACTACAATGGATTTAAAATGTCGAGGAAAAAAGTGGCTAGAAAGTAAAGCTAAAAAAATAAATCCTAAGCAAAGATGAAGGCAGATCAAAGAAAGTACAATTAAACATCTTAAGAACAATAGCTGAGAAACAGTCTAGACATTGAGTAGATGAATCATTATAGGAATTCTAGTCGAAGAAAAACCTTGAGAAATTTGGTTAATAAACATTTTCGTTTATTAGACATAAGAAAGGAAACAAAAATTGCAATGGTGATTTTGAACAACCGAAACATATTACCACTAGATGACGTCGTTTTAAACTTTAAATTTCAAACTTATATATGATTTAAATATTGAAAATTACTTTCGTAAAATTATCTGATATGGAATACTGATATAGGTTAACAGTAACTAATTCTCAAATAACAGATTTTTTAAAGCGCAATATTATTTGAAACGGGTTTATGAAACGGTTATATCAAAAACTGTTACCAGCAACGACAGACCTTTATCGCCAAAGGTGCACACACATTCCTCGATTCATGATAGCGCATCGAGAACCCCCTGGCCTCTCCAGCGCCGATACCCAACGCTCCTGTATCCAAGATAGCTTCCTTTAACAGCATAGTAAATCCCGTGGAAAAGTCCACTGTCATCTTCAACAACAGCAACCACACCATACACGACGTCGTCTGGCTTTGGAGAGACTCCTTTCAGTAACGAGGCTTTTACAAGTCTGTTAAACCTATAAATACTGGGAAGATCCTTAACTCTTAGGTCACGTGGTTCGAAGCAAACTTTAGTCATGTTTTTAAGGCCTATTTCAGGCTTTTCAATTAAGGTCTGCAAGTTGAAGAACCCATGAAGAAAATTCATAATCTTATCTTTGAACCGTAAAAGTATCGGCTGTGGTATGCTTTTGCCTCGTTTACTGGCAACGGAATATTTAACGTCAGTGTTGCATTCTTGTGATATGAATGAAGACATGGAGGCTTCTGCAACGTCAGTGTATATCATTGGTTTCAAATCTGCAAAGAAAACACACTTAAAAGTAATGAGTTAAAGTATGAAGCCAAGTTAAAGGAATCGAGGATCAAGCCAGAAGAAAAGATTGTTACAGCCTTTGTGGGGGATCAAGTGAATGATCCTGCCTCCCTGCGCAGGAAACTCCAGAAAGGTTCCTGGTTCTTGTTATAGTAAATATATTTAAAGAGAAAGGTGAACAAATACAGCGAGCTTTCCATTTTATTTACATGCAAAAAGAATCCACGATACGGCGAAATTTATTTTGAACTAACATATTCCATGAGCGAAATTATTATGAGCGTTAATCGTCCATCCTCGAGTCGTGTCGACTTCTCCCTCCCTCTCTTTCTTTTTTTGCGTTGAATTAGATGTTGCCGTTCACGTGACATAATCGTTTTCCTTCAGCCTACGAGCATCAGCAGGGGCGGATCCAGGATTTTTGGTGACTATAGCTCAAAAACTTTTGGGATCGGAACCACGCCCTCCTTGCTTGCGGGACACGCCCACTATATGGGCAAATGATAAACCATGTGTGTTTATAGTTGCTTCGTATTCATAAATATTCCTTCGAACATCCTTTTTCTATTTCCAGGGACGCCCTTTGCCCGTTGCCCTTTGGCAGAAGGGGCAAGGGTTGTTTTTAATAAAGTTCCCTTGAAACTGGCCAATTGTAATAATCAGAGAGATTTGTATGAAATTCTGAACTTCTCAAAACATGTAAAATAATTCCTTGTGCCGAAAGTTAGCCAATAAAAATCTACAGATAATAAAATTGCAGTTACGTATGAATTTGTAGAAGCTGAGAATTATCTTTCAAAAGCCTTTTTACTCAAGCCTGCCCCCCCCCCCTTGCCGCTTGGTCGTTCCGCCGTCCCTGTCTATTCCCTAGTAGGTCCTTGCCTTTGAAGCTACATTACAGGGGACCCAGGATGTGAAAACGAGCTATAGTCCACTGTTGCTTTACAGGGGACAGAGAGCGGAGAAATACCGTGGATACTCATATTCTATTGGTTAAAAGGCCATTTTCAAACCTGACTATAGCTTGACTATAGCTCGCGCCAAAAATTATAGTACGGGTTTCATTGTCTTCGATGCCTTTTCCAGAGCAAATCCCCAGACCGACTATAGCTCGGAATATCCACTGTAGCTCTATTCTGGTTGGTTACTGTCAACAAAGAACGAAACTTCTGATTCGTCTAAGTTTTAATATTAGACCATTCTGCGCTCAGTGTTTTATATCTTATCTGGAGAGGCATTGTGATGACACATTGCCAGCAGTGCATGTTTGTTAATCGCATTTGATAACATATACCGCTGCTTTTAAATGTGAATTCCGAAAATCAAACACTGAGATTTTGACTATAGCTCGAGCTACAGTTGCTATAGTCTGGATCCGCTCCTGATCAGCGCATAACGGAGAAAAGGACACGATAATCTTTTCAAAAACATCCCAAGTTAACGGAAGTTTTACAACCAATAGGCCACGTTTTACAAATATTCGAAGTATAAAACCATATACTAATAGATGATACATACTTTTACAATCGACCTCTGGGCATTCTTTAAGCTCGGCATACACTCCAGAGCAGCTTGATGATTCTGTCGACCTTCTCATACATTTACGGTTCCGTGTTTTCGTTCCTCCATTGCATATAGTAGTTAAACTGCACGATGTCCATGCTGACCATTGCGACCAAAAACCTGGAACATAAATCCCAGATATTTAGATTTTTCTTGAATATCAAATGCTTGAATGTAAAGATTCTAAGAAGCTATCTGCGGGTTATTAATGAATTCGTGATTAAAATGGTGGATTAAAATGGTGGGAATTACAGGACAGACTTACACTCCGATCATTCTATATTAACAAATCAGTAAAAGTTTACATCAATGAATTCCGTTTTAATCAAGGATCTTCAGCAGCTCTTGTCGCTTGAAAATACATTCTGGCACATCACATCTTGTACTTTAACAATATATTGGCATATAACAAATATACTGTAATAAAACTATAATACAGTCAAAACTAAACGTTGACGTTTTCTTCATACGGAGAAGAAAACAACAAAAAACAGGAATATCCAGGAATATACAGGAATACAACAAACCAAAACTCAGATTTTGGGATAGTTGGAGGGTCATAGTAGCCAACCTTCTGATAGAAGATGGTACCTGATGATGATACTAATCAGGGACTAATTTTCTGGTGCTACATAGGGTCCAGTTGATCTATCAACGTCTAATACTTATTGATGTAATAGTCAATTATAAAAACACGAATAAGTGCAACTCACCTTCAAGGTTATTCTTTGTAAATTTTATGTATTCGTCCTTAGCAGCATTTTTTTCGATCACGCATAAAGTGGTAAGCAACAGGGTCAGAGCCACAAGCATATTAATTCTGTATGCCAATCTAAAATCTAATGAAAAACATCAAACCGTCATTTAAACGAGGAGATGAGTAACAAATTTTCTTTATCGTATTAGCTAACGTGATGAGCATTTTTGGAGAAGACAAGCAGTGCTCATCAGGAGGTTTAACTAAATTGGCGGAGATCGTTTTAAAGGAATTGGCACTCAACCTTTTTCAACGCCTATAGCCATAACTGTATTTGATTCATGTTGAAAGAAACAGCTGCCATTTTGGCTTATCAGAATATGATATTTACAAAACAGGGGCAGGCATTTTGCTCAAGCCTCCTTTTGGCTGACAAATTCCACTACTTGCTTGCAGAACTTATAAGCATCCTGTATGCAAGGCTTTCAATTTAGATTACGCTTTTATCGTAAATTTGATGATGACAAATATTAATATTCCTAAAAAATCTTTAGACAAATTTAACAGACAAAATTAAGACGAAATTAACACAAATAACAAAAAAAATATATGCAAAGACTGTAAATCATTTTAATTCCATTCTCAAAATTACATTTGTTGTTGCAGTACAAAGGTGTTACGAGTTATAACGAGTTAGTGTAGATATAACTTAAATGTGTGGTTTTGCTTTCAAAAGTATAATTCATTTGTGATGTAAAAAGAAGCAATTCTCAATTATAAGATTCAGTAACATCATAGTGGAGATTTTTTCGTCAAAATGCTTGTTAATTTCGTATTTGGATTTCAGGCGCGTTAGATCGACAATTCTGATGATAAACTTTTTGTGAAGCAGCAAAGCGAGAGTTGTTTACTCGCAAATATGCTCACTAAAAACTCTATAAATACCTTTTCAAAGAATTTGTTGCTATTTTTCATTCTGTTACAAAATTTCACGACTTGCTTTCACGTTATCAGTATGGAATGACTAAAATCACAAATTCTGCTTTGCTGAAAAGAATTGCGCCAATTTTTAGGCCCTAATCGGTGAAATAAAACATCTTCCCCAGTACAACTGCCTACAAGCCACTAAGTGTGTTCAAAGGTTCAACATACCTTGAATTTTAAACTACATATTGATGAGCAACGATGAGAAGCAGCTTATGGAAACAGATTCTATCGAAACAAATTCTTCGATGCTTTAAACGCCTTAACTTCTTCCATTACTAAGGATATATCAAGTTGTTGCAGACAGGTCAATTTGCCGACGCAGGTAAAACAGGTAAGAAAGAACGCAGAAAAGCTGGTGTTTTTTAAGCACAAGCGGCCATCATTTCTATAAAGACACCAGTACATTTCTTATGCATGTGAACGCTGTTATTTTAGCTTCAACGCCTTTTGAATCTCTCCTGAAATTGATCCTTCTGTACTTGGAAACAAGAGGGGGAGCTAGGCTAGGAAAAAAGATACTTCATCGAGGGTTTTGGGAGAAAAGCAAAAGAAAAATGTCTTTTTAAGGACTACAAGCTTTATAATGTGGAAAACTTTATTGTACACTTGATTGGTAAAGGCAACGCTCAAAAATGATTAAAAACAGTATCAGAAAGGAAAATAGCCTAACCCATCCACTGATTACAGGAAACGATAGTTGGAGGCTCATCAAAAGGAAACTTTTTTCAATAACAAAGACATAGATTGTTATTTCACCTACCGATAGACGATGTTACCTACCGAAAGGATTTTGTTGACCAATTGAAAATTTACTGACCACCTCATGATGACTCAGGGGGTGTCACACACCTACATTCCACTAGCTACACCCATGTGTATTGCATCGTTTTAATGGAACAGAATAAACAACATTTACTTTTGCAGCTTGAAAGTCTTAAATCAAAGCTTGCTTTGTGCAAAAGATAAAAATCCTTTTAAAAAGTCATAGATCTCCGACAATCTTCGACAAAGAAATCAAATTTGAGATTAATAACAAGATTTTTTATTGATGTTTTAGAAAAACGAGTATTATAACATAATATAATACACGAGTATATATTAGCGAAATGGCAATACGCAATTTGAAATGTACGGATCATGATGGTTTGGAGATGGCTTGGCTTTGTTTTAATAGAACGAATCTGGATACCCATCATTTTAACAACGTGATTATTTGAGCCCAGATATCTTCAAACTGGAAACGTGAAAAATGATAGAAATCAAGCTGAATCTAAACGAAAGGAGAGTGTGCTCAGTTTGATCATAAATGTTCCTCTTGGACTTTGAGGGTATTCTCTTTTTATATATGGTTTGAATGGCGATCGCCCACTTAAGCTTAACAATACAAGTAGTCTGCCACAGATGTGGGAATTTCTTCATAAGAAATACCCGGGAAATAACTTCAAAGCTGCTAAAAATAGAAACATTGAAACCTTGTTTTAATTTGTATTTTAAAGTAATAACAAAATTAAAGCCGTCTTTCCAAAAACCGCTTATAAATTAAATTCACAACGAGTACGGGTCTACAGATGCAGCACTGAATAACTAGTAGTGGGATAGGGGGCAAAGGGGCTGAAGTCTCCCAAGAATTCAGTTAGTCCCAATCAACAGCAAATCTTTTTTGGCTTTGGAAGTAGTATCAGAACTACTTCTTCAGCAGCCTGAGTTATTGTTCCTAGCCAAACCCTGGCCATCTTGCATTCCAATTTCTATTTATTTATTTATTCATTGTTTTACTTATTATTTATGTATTTATTCATTTATTTATTTATATACATACAGTCAAGTTGTGAAAAGCAAAGAATATAGGCTTGACACATATCAAAGAGCCATGCTAGCTATGTAAGCCATGCCTTATACCAAACTGTTCAACCAACAGCCTTCAAAATCCTGGTCACACTCATGAATAAGCATTTACTACATTTTAGACTTTTACAGATAATTCAAATAAATTTTGGCCACTCAAAGTAAAATCTTTAATCTGGTTTTAATGGTAATGTAGCAGAATTAAGAATCAATGATATGAATTCAGAAGCCTTTCTGTGAGGTTTCAAAGGAATTTGTTAATTGCAATTATTTGTGACATCCTCATAGAAAAATTGTTAAATCAGAAGATTTAGATATTGAAAAAATAACAGCTGTCTCCTTGCCAATCAAACCTTCTTAAACAAACACCAATATAGTATTTCCTTTGATTTACAGATACCTTTATTAATGATTAATTTTTACTGTTTCAATCTACAAAACCATATGTACAAGATTCATTCAATTATAGGCATGTTTTTTAGAATCTACTACCTGTAATGTTCCCTTCTTCTTCGATCATGAAACTTTCCTCTATCTCTTTCACCAGCTTCTGATCTCTCTTTTGACTGATAGGATCTGTTTTGCATCAAAGGGTTTTCTCCTACTGGCAAAGGCCTCCTAAAGGGCCTATCTCTTCCACCAAACCTTAATTGTCCTGACTCCTTCCTTCCACCAAATCCCCCACCAAATCGCCTTGGAATCCAGCCTTTCAACACTCTTTCTTGTTCAAACTCAACAAGAATCTCAGCACCATCAATAAATGCTTTGTTCATTTCCCTCCAAGCAATTCTGGCATCCCTTTCTCTTTTGAACTCCACAAAAGCATATCTTCTGCTATTGCCAGTTATAATATCCCTAACCAAACGACAATTTTCAACTTCTCCAAATTTTGAAAAATTCTCTCTAATGGTGCTTTCTTTGGTATTGCCATCTAGGTGCCCCACAAAGAGTACTTTGACTGGATCACCAGTAACCTTAAACAAAGCAAGCAATGTAATTAATTTGTAACAGATGGCTGAAACTTAATGGACAAGGCACATAATATACTATTTGGGCATTGTATTCTTGTGGAATTCTGTGTCAAACCTGACAAATTCTTTCAAAAAATGATGATTTGGTTCCTGGAGAACCAGACATGGTTCATAATGTTTTCTTATGTTATGCAGATATCAACTTGTATTTGTATTGTATTTGTATTTGTTGCTACCTAGCATCTGAAGGTAGTTTTTAGGACACTGAGAAGCTTATGCTTATCGAGCAGTGTCCTGGTCCTTCCTCTCGATGTGACCACACCTTGTGATTCCTACGCCTGGAATTACAGAGAGCTGGCAACTCTCCCCACTCTGGGTGAAAGTTTGGTCATGCCAAGTTGTCAGCGCCTCTAACAACTGAGCCATCCTCGCTGCAACTTGACAGAGGCCATGGAAAAGCTTGACTTCTTCTTGTTTGGAGATAAATCTTTGTAAAAATGGCTTTCTTTTACTCTGGTAACTTTTCATTATAGATTTTTAAGACACTCATTCTAGAAATTTGATAATTTGTCTGGAAGGATTTTAGCTTAAAAACATTCCTCAGTGTCAAGTTGTGTCTTTTATTGTTCCTAAGTGTAAACACCATGATACCATGATGTAAAACAGAAAAAATTTTTCCCCTCTAAAATCAATTTTTTTACATGCTTACTTCTTGACAGTTTCTGTGCTACTGAAACACTTTTGAGAAAACATTTTTAATTTCTCACATATCTTGCTCAACAATTTCTCTAAAATTAAAGTCCTCTTTCTCGTAATATTTTATAGCGACTTCCCCCACAATTAATTGAGGCAGGTTTTTTGAAAAATATGTTAAAGTGTTGTCATCTGTGTAATTAACAAGAGAAGCCTTTTTAATGTAATAAAACAGGTCATTGATGTAGAAATTGAAAAGAATAGGGCCAAGGACTGATCCTTGTGGTACCCCTGATAAAATAGAAAATCACAAACATTCTGATAAGATACTCACAGGCATCATTAGCGCTTTGATAGTCATTGTTAAAGTTGGTACTTCTGACGTCAGATAAAAAGTCTTTACATTAAAGTTTTTATAATGTTGATATGTTATATTTTTTGCTTTAAGGTGGGGTACCTGAGCTTTCAGTAGAGTAACTACAAGCCTGTGATAGTTGCTCAGTCCTGTCTGGAATACACGTGTTTTGAAAAAACCCTGGCTGGTTTGTTAACAGAACATCTATGGGGGAGGCGTGGTTTCTTATGACACATGTATTTTCCTTAACCAGGTTTTGTAAGCCCAGTACATCAGAAAATTACTTTAGCTTGTTATAGCTGGGGTGTTGCTCGTTTTGGGTGTCAATGTTCAGATTACCCAAAACAATAACATTGTCATATTTCTCTAGAGCCAAATTCACAGAGCTAAATAATTCATTGAAGATGTTATTCAGGTTTCCTGACTCTGGGGGTCGATAGACTGTATTCGTATTTGTTTGTTTAGTTTTTAGGACACTGAGAAGCTATGCTTATCGAGAAGTGTGTCCTGGTCCTTCCTCTTGATGTGACCACACTTCGTGATTCCTACGCCTGGAATTACAGAAAGCTGGCGACTCTCCCCACTCTGGGTGAAAGTTTGGTCATGCCAGGGACTCGAAACACGGACCCTTGGGTCTGTTGTCAGCGCCTCTAGCAACTGAGCCGTCCTCGCACTCAGTATTTGTATCACCTCGCACTCAGTAGACTGCAAAAATTATCCACTTTTTCTTGTAGATAGAATCTGTATCATCTGCATCATTTAATTAGCTTTTCCGGCTACTTGGAACATTTCTACTTTAAAATTTTGACTAAGACAAGATAATGTACCAAAGTTTCCTTTTATGTTTTGAAAATACACGAGCCCTACATATATATATAGCCTGTGTTTCTTAATATATACCTTTTTGTTGGGCCGGTATGAAGCACCAAGCGCCCTCCGTATGCCTTTGTCGTGTGGAAAGACGTCAGTTCCATCAATACTGCCTGCTTGAAGTGGGTGGTACCTTACAGCCGTTGGCGACCAGTGTTCGAAAGTCGGAATTTCATACGGTAGAGACGCCATCTTTATTCAGAGCATTTAAAAGCACTGTCCAAGGAGATTCAGTTCAATTAAGGTGGTTAGTTGAATGAAGCGAATGAAGACAGCTTTCAAACCCCCGTGGGTCATCTCACGTATCAAGTGTAAGCACCCGTGTCTGAGGGTCTAGAAAGCTGACCCTTATTTCTGATGTTTGATTTCAATTTGATTCCCCTTTTCTTTGAAACCAAAAAAAATCTATACCTTTTTTTTCCTGAAATCAAGTAGTTAAAATAAGGGTAAACAAAGCAAAATTAGTAACTACTATATCAGTGCTGTCGGAACGAGATTCATATTTGGGGGGAGGGCTCCCATTCAGTACACTCTTGTAGAGGAAATATAATAACAATTTGACAATTATTGGGGGGCTCAGCCCCCAGCCCCTAAAAAGTTAGAAAGGATGGCTGAGCCCCATCAAAAATCCCCCAGTTACCCTCCATGGCACCACTGGTAGTAATGTTCAAACGACTGCGCCACTGACCCGTGTTAAAATTTGAATTTGTTTATCTTTAAACGATGATACGTCATTCTAGGCTATCTTCCAAAAAAACCCGAAAAGGCTCAAAATTAAATATGAACGTACTTGAAAGTAATCCTGTTTTGTTTATGTTAGATAGGTCTGCAACAATTTTAAACTCGGGCTAGTAAAGGGGGGCCGTCAAAATAAAGTGGTACTGCAAAGATTTTGAAAATTAATGGGCAATGAAATATATCGGGGAGAGAGGGGCTCAGAAGTTATCACACTTTTAATTGCCATGTAGTTAATTTTTTATGATTTTGTCTGAATTTGTAACACCGCATTTATACCTTTTTGTATAAAACGAAGCCCAGGCTGAAGGCTCATGAGAGTATTGAAAAAAGATTTTAAAACGCAACAAAGCGCCTTATAAAGCCCATTTCTGCCTTCAATTTTAGAGCAAGGACAATTTCAGGAGTAAAAGCAGGGCACCACCAATTTCTTGGCGCAAATTGGGGTGCCGTTGTGGCATATGCCCTGGGGTCCGTCCCGCCTAGCGGCCGCCCTGATACTACTTCAATTCAGTTCAATTCAATTATAATAAATTCAAGCTTTTAATTATGATTGATAAAGCTTAGGGCAAATAAAAAGAACTCAGATGAGCTATCGAGTTATTTTCCCTATTACATTGCATGCATGAAATTACATTGAACTAGAAAAAAATTTCAACATACTATACTTGTAGAGTGTATATATACATTATTTCTATAAGAACACACTTCTCGATTGCCAAGATATAGATAAGCAGGGGCGCCAGACATTCATAGTGAAAATTACCAACAAAGACATGGATGGAGAAAAATTTAGGTGTTATTTCAGCTACCGATACGCAATTGTACCGAAAAAATAATATATTATAGACCATCGGAAGATTTACCGGCCAACTCATGAAGGATTGTCCCTACATCTAAGCTATGCCCCTACATCAACTATTTTTTAAACATTGCTTTTAGCTAAACAAAATTTCTTGTGATGTACCTCATTAAAACTAATTTTAGACATTTTAAAGATATTTAACAAGCAAACTAGTTATAAACTTTATTGCAAAGTTTTTATAAGCAAGATGAAACGACAAAGCTTGAAATCGGAAAGTTTTTAAAAATAATTAATTGAATTCCGATTCAATGAATAGATTTTCAAGAATAATTCACAATAGATAACAAACTTTACAAACTTTAAAAATGCAAATAAAAATAGTAAAGGTAACAAAGAAGTTTATTAGACAAAATTTTCGAACGGTAGACATTGCCTACCATACCTAGAATACCACGCTTTACTACTGTTGGCTTTTCACCTTGTATGAAAGATAACATCGAACTTTATCTGCATTTCTACTTGCACTATACAGAAAATGTTTTTCAAAAACAAATAACAGTTCAAACACACAAGTAAATTATGCTCCATTTACTCAATTATGCTAAATTATACCCTGGAGAGCAACCACTTCTTGTTGATGAAATATTTAAACTTCCTACTACTGAATAATTAGACATAAAAATACATAATGATACGACCGTCAACATGCTGATATATTGCCGAAAGACCTGAAGGCCTAAACAAATACAGCAATTAAGATCTTAAAAACTACGATACCAGTTAACTTTGTTCAATGGTAAGCAAATTTTACGTAGCACAGTGTTTTAAGATAAAAACTAACATACAAATCCAAAATTACGAATAACTCCAATGTCCCAATCCGTGAATCAAATGTAGCCATTCCTTCGAAACGAAACTTTTGAAATCTTGCTGTTCCAGGGGTCGGTTCTTTCACAACCCCTCCTCAAACTTTCCACAACAGCATATTTTTTGCTCCACTACCCCATCAACAATTTCAAGAACTCGTCAACTGACCTCATGGAGATATTACAATTCAATCGTCAAAAGTTTGTCTCTTTTTAATCTCTTTTACCCAGTTGTTAACGGTAGCTCTTAATGGGAGATGTATAAACAAAACAACATCCCCTCCTTCGACAGTATCACAAGAATACTCCACATGCAGGCCAGTTGGATCGTCTTTTGAATATTCACTTGCGTGCTTCATTGATTTGAAGGGAATTTCAATATCTTTCTTGCTACCACGCAGACGTCGTATTCTTATAGCACTGTCTGTCAAAAATGCCATACACTTTAAATTCTTGTATGAATCAGTCCTGGCATTTTGAATCATACAAAATGTCTTTGGTTCGCAAAAAATTGCTTCGCCTCCTTCAAATTCGCGGTCAACCTCGTTTGCCTTGACCAAAGCGCTCCCTCCGCAACCCATTTTTTATTTGACTGCAACGTCAAATAGAAAAAAGCAATGAACAAATACTTCTACAAGTTTCCTAAAGAAAATGTCGTCGCAACGCTTCGCAGGTTAAATCACTTCTAACAGGGTTTTTTAATTCTTTCTTATATAGAAGCATCAAGCCACGATCCTACGAACGAAAGTTCTTGACGTCAAGGCCAGGCACGCGATTCCAACAGGGAGCGTGGGAACTGGCACGTGATGCAGCCAGATCTAGCAATGCTTCTAATTTGTGATTGTTCTGAATGCGGAATAAAAACATGATTGTTTTGCTTAGAATGTCACGTCAACAAGACGTGCACAAGCGCCAGTTGGGGTGGTAGGCGCTGCACGCAGGCAAAGTAACGTCGTTTATAACTTATATCTCATTGGCCATATCTTAGCTATTTTTCAAAGAATCTAATTGGTATTTCACTATAGGAGGAGATTCATTGGTTCTAGAGTTTATGAGGTCAAAAAATGCATGCCAAGCTCCCACCCCACAATTCTGTAGAGCCAGCTAAACCTTTCTTGGTAAAATTAGCAAGACTTTTCAAAAAGTGATTGCTAACTGAAAGTCATAGTACAATTGTATAAACAATATAAAACTTAAAAGCATCAAATTCAAATTCAAATTTCATTTCATTAAGCAACATTCTTACAGAGTGTTTAGTAAAAATATATTCATTTATAATCTTAAACATAAAGAAGAATTAAAGAATTATAAAGAGAATGTCCGTGAGTGTTGCCTAGGACACTGAGATAAACCTGAAATGTTATCGAGTCCAGTGCCCTACTACATACGCTTGTGATATACATTAATATTATACAATCTGAATTTCAAAAAATTATAAGCAACAGAAACAGCACAAAATTACTTGAGTTTCCGCTAATAATCCGTTTTTAAGTTATGCTTTCTTTCCGCTAGTGCGAACCGCATATACTCTGGACAAACAGAAATAGACGGAGACGCTGGAACAGCCACCCCAGCAAACCCCCCAACCCCGCTCCAGCGTGCCCCTGATAAAACGCGTTGGAATCGCGGAATAAAAAATATTGTTCTGAAAGCGGAATGAAAACAGGATGACAAGACATGAAACAACGCCAGTTTGCGGGGCTGCACTGCACGTAGGGCAAAATAACGGTGACCCGTTAGGGAACTTAAAAATCTTTCATTTGTCATATCTCAGCCGATTTTCCGAGGGGCAAATCACTCCTCAAAATGGTGTACGAGATAAATAATCAATATGATTTTCTAGTGAGTAGAGTGATTAATTCTCAATTTTGTGTGTGATTATTTTAAGATTAATCACAGATTCAAAAGTCCCTCAAATAAGTTTCTGTGCAAATGAAACACACGTTTGAACGGGCCAAGATAGATACACAAACAAAACAATACATGACCCTAAATCAAGTCATGATTCAAATTAAACTACGGTATTTCTTTAAGGATTTCAAACGATAAACTATCAGGCTGGTTTGGCAGATTTTTCAAACATGCTAGATGGATTTGAGGGAAGTTTAAAGCAACCTCTTCATCAATGGTAGCAATGTACGAATAGATAGCAAAATGCTTTTGAGCTTGTATGGTCAAAATTGAACAATTCCAGAAATATATTTTTGACGTCATCACTACGGAACTCTTTTCAAAAGATTCTGATTCAAAAAGAAAAACCATTTTTTCCTAAAGACGTGTTTCATCACTTTCAGGAGCCGAAAGAACCAGTTCTAAATAGGTTTAAATGTTTTTGATGGAATCTTTAGCCAAGTCAAAAAATTTGTTCGAAAATTGCCTCTGTTTTCGTTTCCTGTCAGTTACATCAACATGAGAACGAGGCCTCCATTAATCACCAATATTTAAATTTTTGATATCTTTGAACACTTTAATCACCTATGTTATGGAAAAATGAAATAATTAGAATGTCCCTTCTACATTTTTATGAGGATAAAAAAGGCAAGATGCGAACAACAAAGACTTTCGTAAAAGTTTCTAACATGAAGAAAATGCGTTTTCCAGCAATAAAAATACAATTCCAAGAGTTTTCCATTAAAGCAAAATAGTTAAAAAATTCATAAAATAATGGTCTTCAAAATTTTTTCGCAATGGGCCACGCGCTGTATTAATCATTTTGGAGCAGGCAAATATTTTCTACACAATTTGATACAGTTAAAATACATAAATGAATCATTGTCCGTAGCTTTGGGAAGCAGGTTGCATCCCCCATACACACACTCTTTATCAGCAAACTCTCCACCATAGAATACCGGTTGCTTCTCTGCCCCATGATATAGTCAATCAACCAATCAATTAGTATTCTCTCGAGATCGGCGGAGGGTTAGCACTTTTGACATGGGACGAATAGAAACAAAGCAAGAAAATCTTCATTGACAGCATCACATGAATACATACTCCGTAAACTCAAGTCTTGCTCGGAAATTTCGCCACTTGCTTCATGGATCTTACTAAATTTCTACTCGAATCCTCCTCCGCAATCTGATTGCGAGTAACAAGACGACCCGCCAAAAGACGACGCGCCCGCTCCAAAAGACGAATGATCGTTGCAATGGTAGCCACTCGAAAACATCAACATTGAAGTTTTTGATTTAGAAGGCCTTGAACTCTGATTGACGGAAGACGTCTTTGATTTGGTGACACCTTCGTCTGGCTTGCTCCCGGTGCAACCCATCCTTTTGCACAAGCAAAATTTAATAGCAATAGTAAAATTCTTCAAACAAAATCTAGATAATCCCGTCGCATGCCACTAGGATCAAATAACTTCTGCAATGGTTTGTTGTGATTCAATCTTTATAGACAACCAAAAAGATCGGACCCCACGAGCAATTGTGTGCTTCTTAATGGAGTCAAAACCAGGTACGTGTTCCGTGTTCATCATGGAGCGTGAGAAATGGCAGTCAACATTACGTAAAGATACTAATCATACAAGTGCGTCATAATCAACGATATAGGAAGTTAATGATTGGGTGGGGGGGAGGGGCAATGGTTGGAAAGAAAGGATACTTAAACACACCTTTGTGAACGCCACAGCCCTTTCAGACACTGAGGAGCAGGGGGCCGAGTGGGGGGCTTAAGCACCCACTTTTGGCAAGAAAGCAAAATATTGAGAAAAGGAATTACCAGTTAAACTATTTTTCTGGCGGTTCTAGCCCTTCTTGAGACCCCTCACTTTTTCTCAACACTGAGCGGTGCCTGCCTATACAAAAGGTTAGAAGCATAAGTAATATAAATATATGTAGCCAGAAGATTTGAACCCTGTTGTAGGCTAATCCTGCCAATAATTTGAGTGCAATTAAGATTAAGAGACTTAATTTTGAAAGTAGCATCTTGTGGGAAACTGAAATTTTCCTACACAAACATTTTCTTATGATTGCGCAGACTGAGAATTATTTTGCATCAAGGTTATGTCTGTCTGCTCTTGATTTTTTAATTATCGAACTGTCATTTGGTCTTGATCATTTTTCATTCGTTTTAGAAAATAAGACTCAATCCTGAAGAAAGGTTCTCTGACATATATTTTTCATGAAATGGGACACTTTTTCGCCAGCCAAGGTGGAAAGGTTCTTATTTACAAATAAAGAGTACACATAGGAGGGGTTTGGCAGACTGAAACAAGCAAGGAAATAAGAACGCGATAATGATGGTAAAAATGGTAGATTGGTGATTGTTGTCACGAACCCTCCTTTGTGCGTTCCTTTTACCCCCTTAGGCCCGTCTCCACAGCTTGCTTACATTTTCCCCGTAGACCCATTCATTTTAGGATCTTCTGTTTTGCATATCATTATCGTAGGCTACCCCTGGCACGCACGTAAGCAAGTCTGCGTCACATCCCCTTTCTTTGTTTTGTTTATAGATGCGGGATTTTCCCAGGATTGTTAGACCGTAATGCCTAGTTTAGTCATCGTTGTTTATTTCGTTTTCCTTGTATCACAGGTATCATTTACGTATGTTTTTATTTAGTTTAGCGTCATTAAGCTTGTTTTAGCATACCTATTCAGCCCTTCCCTTCCTTTCCCCGATCCCTGATTTCAGATCAGCTACTAGGCTACAATGTAGTTGCTGTGTTCTTTAGAATTGCTATTGTCTATAACAGAATTTTTTGATGACGTCACACTTAAGGTCTAGCAGTTTTGAAGCTTCACAGAAACCTTTTTGCGCGTGAATGACCATTTCAATCATTACTGTCACTGCACCTTTAATCTGGAGACTGTGTCTCCCTTTCCATTACTTGTAAATTTTCCCATTGCGTAGACACACTGTCAAACTCACTTCCCTTCCCTTGTATCCGTTTCTGAATCTCTTTTACCCACAACTTAGCCGCATTTTCGTCCTTAAAGATAAGCTCCATCCTGGCATCAGGTTTTTTGTGACAATAATGTAATTCAACAATGTAATAAAGAACATCCACTTGCTCTGAATGTCGACGCATATATACTCTCAAACTGCTAACATCTTTCAGGGGCATTTCAAAGGCTTTAGTGGACTGGGGTTTAAGCCATATCACATCCTCTGACAAAACAGCAATATCGCCTTCAATAAAATGTAAAGGGTCATGCAAAACGCAGCTAAGCCCGTCTGTGGTGGTTAAAACGATGTCTTTTTCATCGAACCGCTTCTGAACAGCTTTCGCCAAATTCGAGCCAAAACAACCCATTAGAGCAATTTAAAATTCGCCTTAAATCATTCAGTTTCAGTTAACTTCGTGTAAGTCTTTTCACGTTCGCGAATCGCGTATCCTTTCGTTTCATGAGAATACTCAGCATGCTATAACAATATAATTAACCTGTGCTTGCGCGCACAGTTGGCTTATTCATTCCAATGATAATATCCCATTGAACTGTAATGAAAAGACTGGAAGGACGACTCTGTTGTTTTGTTTGCGGAACAAGCATACCGCGCTGCACGTAACAAAGATCCAGCTGACAGCTAGCCTGCGTCATAGACCAGAAACTTCACGGAAGTTTTGTCTGTGACGAAGGCTAGCTGCGTCATAGACCAGAAACTTCACAGTCCCGATAAGCAATCAACAAAAAAACCTTCAAATACTAGAACACCAAAATTTGGATGCCAAATCACGAAACTTTTAGTACTTAGTGCTGATCCAAGTTTCTTGTAAATAATAAAAACGTGTAAATCCACTGACCCGAACAAGGGGGCGTTTACTCCTCGATTAGCTTGACTATTGAGGGAGCCCCATCTCCTCTTTTAAGAAATTCAAACTACCTCGTATAGAACGTTCTATTCTAAATTTAATTTCAATTTATCATTGTTTATTGGATATGTGGTTATGTGGAGTTAGTGTTTTAGATGGAATTTTAAAAATTGAACGAACTGAACTGAAGAAAAAACTCGAACTAAATAGAAATCGATGTTCCAATCTGTCATTATGATTAAAAACCTGAAATGGGGTGTCTTCTGAAATTAGGCTGGCGCAAATTCTAATTCTAATTAAATCTGCAACAGTTAAATGCTACTGTTATTTAGTTTCAGCTGCTGCTTCAATCGAAGGTTTTGATTTTGACTTATAATATAATGTGGTGTAGTAGGGCGCAATTTTATTTTTCTTTCTTATCTCTATCTTTAATTTTGTCATATTTCAGACTTGTCTCTAACTTGTCGATAGGTTTGCACGAGAGTGTGCTAAAACAATTTCTTTGCCAGGTTAATAGCAGGTTTTTTACTCTGTTTGATTGCATCGCAATCTCAGTAGTAATCTTTGCAGTATCTTTGGAGCAGTGGCAAGTGGCTTGCTGATGATTGAATAAAGTGGTGTGTTATGACACGCAGAGGCGTCATAAATTTCGATTGATTCTGCAAGTTTTCTGAAAACGATTCATGAATTTATAGTGTTCGTTAATTACATTTTTTTCTCCAATACAGTAAGTTTTCCACAATGCAAAAATTCTCTAAATGTTTTGACGTATATCCTCCTCCTGGTACGGAAGTGAATACGAAGAGCTTCCGGTCCTATGCAAGTGATAAAAGCAGCCACTCGAAAATTGTCTGGTTTAGACTTCAAATTCGTAACAGTTTCGTACGCATCATAAATTTGCTTCCATTGCTTCCAATTCTCTGCCAAATTCCTTTCTAAACTTAATCGTGGAGGCAATGGCATGTTAGATATGAACGCAGATGATCTGCTACTTCCTTCAGGGGAAGCAATAGGCCAAGGCATAGGCAAGTTTGGATCCGGATCTGTCGTAGCTACACAAGAATCAGCAAAGCAATCTTTTACCTGATGGTTGTTTTATCTGACACCATGTAAAAGTTTCCAACAGACAACAACGAGGAGCACTCTATTACGAACAAACGCGGTTTTCAGCACACCATTTCCATGCTTTGAACATAGCATAAAACCTGGGCGCAAGCGCAACACAACTTTGCTACGAGTCTAATGATGTCACAAAATTGATTGATGTTAATGATTTATGATTGATGGTGAAGATAATGAAAAGATGCAGCTACAGAAAAATAAACACATAAGCAGTGTCTTCCATACCATCAATACTCTGTTATAAATAGCATGCATAGCACGTATTTCCTCCTTCAAAATTTGGTAATAGTTATAATTTCAAAAAACGAATTTGCTAGCAGTATTGTCGTTTTCGATCATTTATGGAATGTTCAAGGCAAATATCAACTCACGAACTTTTCAGCAAGTTGCAAAAAGATTTCATCGAATCTAATCGGATTCCTCTTCTGAATCTTCTTCAGATTCTTCCTCGGCTTCTTTTAACCACGTTATAAATCTTCCCATTTGCTAAAAATCAATACAAAATCTTGAATCAATTCAAGTGTCATCTCAATCCAAACAGAGCAATAACCATACAACAAAAAGTCAAAATGACAAAAAATATCATCTTAATCCGAATCCGAATCCGAATTCAAATCGGAATCCAAATCCTAATCCGAATTTTCATCTTGATTCTATCCAGAAAATCTTGAAAAGTTGCTGATAAATTCAGTGTTGGAAATTGGAAAGTAAAAGTAACAAAGGCATATCTAAAAGAAAATCTTGGCGAGTCCTGCTCTGGTCGTGTTACACGCGCACACTTTCTCTCAGTAAAAGAATCTTATAAATTGTTTTATTTCATTGGATGTACTCTAAAGTTACTGATCCTAAAACAAAGATGAAATAATTCTCTACCACTTGAGAGAGTTGCGCAAAGTTTTCACAGAAGATAGATATTGTCCTTCCAAGGTCCTGTATTTTGAAGAGCGTGAAAAGTAAGGGTCACTTCGTGTACAGATAAAGCGTGTCTCTCTGATTGTAATCCTTTACACGTGAATTAAAAATGTGGAATACAAAAATTCACAAAATAGCACCTCTTGTTGACGAACTTTCTTCAAATCGTTTGTAAGAATTGGATCCTCTGCGCTGACAGGCGTGCTGTACCATTTGAGAATAACAACTTCATCTAAAACGTCTTTGTTGTACAGCTTGTGAAGAAACGTGGGAAAGAGTCCACAAAGAGAGAAATTCTCAGCAAAGAATTCCTGAAAGAAAATGAAATTCATAAGCAAAAACGATTTGGAAATGCAAATGGAGTAAATTGGCGTTTGGAAGAGAGACTTCTTTATTCAGGATATAGATTAAACACTATTCTGTCCACAAAATTTTGCATTAGTATCCAAATGGTCGTTTTTCAAATATCACTAAATTCACGAAATATTGTTCATCTTATGAAGATGTGTCAGAAAAAACTCGATAAATTTTCATAATGTATTGAAAATGTTAATGAAAGATTAAACAACAAAAACAAAGCAAATCACAGTATAGGCAAATATTTATTATCGTCAGCAATTACTGTCTTACTGATATTTTTACCATTAGCACAAGGCCTAAATTCTAAAGACATGGACATTTTATTCCATCGTTGTAACAACAATAAAGTTGTAACACAAATTAGCCATATTTTATGCGATAGTGCCATTCTAAGTCTCAACTGAAAGAAAATCCTGGTACTAATTGAAACCCAGCGTTTATTGACCGTCTAGCTTTGTTGAGAATCCAGAACTGTCTGAAGTTCGGAATTGATAAAAGTGCAGTATTATCTAAATTCCAACGTTTATAAAAAAACGTGCAGTTGAAAATACCTCAGATGTCGTAATGACCTCCATTTGTGCCTCCACCCCTTTGACATAATTCATTATCAGTGGCATAAACATCGAGATAACCTGAAAATTTCAACAAAACAGAATTTCAAAATCCTATTTTTCAAAACTTCCTTGAAAGAAGTTCAATACTTTTTATCAAGGTTTTGTTAACGCTGCTTGTCAAATTCGTCTTAAACAGCCAGAGTTATATGAAAAATGTAAGTATACAAGATAATTGAAAATATGATTTAAGTTACAACGTCAAAACAATGCCTTATTTTCACTGTTTTTATGGAAGATCGTCAAATTTTTTTTAGCTTGCTTGCTGCCGGAACATATTCATTTATGTTTGTAAGTCGTGATGGCACCAATTTTAATGTCACTGGCTACCGGTAAAAGAAAAGTTAAAATGAGAACTTGCTCATTGGTTGTGGTATCAAAGGGTCTGTGGTTTGAGTCACTGACATGAAGAAACTTATTACTAAGATTAAGGAAAATTGTCAGCTTTCAGTAGTTCCAGGCGTAGTAATCATGAGGTTTGGTCACATCGTGAATAAGGACCAGGACACTGCTCGATAACGATAGCTTCTCAATGCCATTTAACTTCCGATGCAAGGTAGAAAAAAAATACTAAAATGGACGTTTGATGCTGGATGGACGAAAACTAGAATCAATCAGCACAACGTAAAGCCTGTTAGACATATTTCTTCACTGGGCCTAATATAATATCAAGCAGTTTATGCATCTCAGGGTTTCAATTCAACGGCAAACACCCAAATATTTAAAGGTCACCTTTTCTAATTCCTGTACCATTGACTGTTTTGTTCGTTCTCTGTCTTCTAAGACTGACTCCAGGATTGATTTTGTCACAGCTTGGTGGATCTCTCGCATCGAAACATTATGCTTATACCTTGAATGAAATGCATTTGAGTTCAATCGTTGAGCAAGAAGTAATTACAGCTATAAGATTGCTACGTCAAAGCCCCAACTCGTAGCTGTTTCTGCAGTCCACTTAAAACTTCCCCAAATAAGTTTGAATCCCTGATACCGTAGAAGCTCTTTCAAGCCCCCTCTCTTTAAAGCCCCCTCTCTATTAAGCCCCTTTTCTTAAGCCTCTGATGTTAAACAAAGTATGACATTTTCATAATAAAAATGCAAAAGGGCATTCTTTTAACATTTTCTACATTGAATTATTAATAAGTCTCCTTCTCTAATAGGCCCCCGTCTCTTTTAAGGCCCCCACTAGGACTGAAGAAAAACAAATAGAGCTTAATAGAGCTTTTATAGTAATTCCAAAACATTAGCTAACTTGCATCATTTCTTTTGTGCCATTGATGGATTGAGTTATGGGGGTTTTATCGAAAACAGTATCCTAATTACTAAAAACACGATCGATTACGTTGTAAAAATTAAAAGAATGAGTTTGAACACCGATGTAAGGTACTATGATAAACAGTCATACAAATTTAAACACTTAACATTCTTTGTATACTCGTTGAAACTGAACTTTAGGAGAGGGGGTCTACATTTACAAAATACCCTTGAAAAAAACCAGAAAAAAGATTCTGCTTAAGATATGAGAAAACTTAAAAAAATAAAACTGATAGTAGTGTTTGATTTACTATCTTTTAAGGAGTTTTGTAATCTTAAAACTTGATTCAAACCATAGTCGACATACAGAGATCTAAACTAATGTTAGGTCCTGACTCTCTGTTTTACACCGACAATACAAGGGTTTGGCATTCTGGCATTTATCTTGTCACCCTCTGTACTGAAGTCATTTATGATTAGATGATCTTGCCTGTCACACTTCAGGTGACCTGCAGCCCTTTCCTGTCACAAACAGATCATGATTCTAAGTTGACACCCATCCCCCCCCCCCCCCCCCCCCCCCCCCACATACCAAAACCAATTTCAAATATAGTTTAAACCATGCAATAAAGTACAATAAATGCTTTCGAGAAAGGCAGTTACATACTTTGATGCATTTACTTCCAAGATTATGTTGTCACTTGAAACATTATGGGCGATTCCATGACGAATATTTTCTAGCACTTCGTGGTAAAACACTGAAAAGAATAAATCTATCAGAGAAATTGACCCAGTTCATACTAAACCACTAATTGAAGAAAAAAATAAAATATTTAAAACATTGTAAAATAATTACAAAAATTTGTCAATATCAACCAAAGGTTTGCTTAAAAATGAGAATGACTACTACATCATAATAAACATAAACATTTGATCTTAAAAAGAAAATAAATTATTTTTGTATAAAATTATAAAATGAAGACTTATCAGATATTTTTTTGAAAATATCTACTGAACCAGATCGATTTTGTAGGGGAAAAGGTTGTTTTAATTCATGCCTGCAAAAAATCTAGAGAGATTTAAAAATGGACATACAAACGCCTGCATCTGGAGGGGGCGACCCGGTAGGTGATGGAATCGATTCATCATCGCTGCTCTCATCTTCACTTGCATAAAACTCGCCTATGAAGTACAACAAACAACGTTCATCATTTTGAAATCAGTGAACAAGGACGTATTCCACTTAAATTTTCAAAGGAGGCTAGTCACGTAGACGTACAATAAAGACGAAAAAATTCAAAATCATAAGTAAAGAAATGCAGGAAATTTGATTACAATGAAGTCAACTAGACAGCATAATTAAAGCTCAAGGATTAATTGGCTTGCCCTGTAGCGGCAGTTTTCTGTACACTTGAACAACGCTATTGTCTTGCATTGATTTGAATCTACCTTTTCCATAATAGCGGAACCATTTTTCAAATCATTACCTCGCAATGTAACTGTTGGTAGGGTTTCTTCATCTTCGTCATCAGAATCACATTCCGGCCACAAATAGCCATTTCCTTCAGAACCAATCAGATCAGGGTCTATCTCTGGAACATAGGAGCAGATTGGAAACATAACAGGCAAAAATCCATTCAGAAATGGAGATATATTCCAGTTGTACAAAGCACGGTATCAGAGAATGGAAATGTAGCTACTGTATTATATACGAAATTTATCAGTGCACATAGCTTATTAGAGTTAAACGCAACCCACTCGAATTTTCATCAGCTTCGATGGAATTATTTTATTTAGGAGTATGTGCTTGTCAATGAATTATGCTAAAGGGAGTCTTGTCTGCAAAAATTTATAAAAATGTAGGCCTTCAAATGGCGCCAAACAACAACAATTCGTTATCTGTAAAAGACGTTTCACTCAATATCGTCACAGGTGGAAAATCCCTACTGCCTAACAGCGAGTATAATTAGACATGTCCTAACTTATCTAAATTCGACAAGAATTAAGAAAAGGAGTAAATAAACAATAACATTGGCCAAAACTTCACAGCATGCTATCGAATTAGGACTGTAGATCTATAATATCAACATTCTTTCCTTGTCCGATCTAATTAGCCTAGTAATGTTTATTTATTTGCACCCTGTATGTGAAAAATTGATAGAAGGAAAAAAGAATATAAAACGGAATAAAACCCTTGAAATACCTGAAGCAATTTTGTTATTCTCCTCTACTGACAACGTTCCCATTGTATTTTCCAAACTTTCTAGCTTTAAAGTTGAAAATTTGGAACCGGGCTTGACAACGACATCAGGACCAACTACAACCTGTAAACATCAGAGGCTGGGGTAAATAAGGGGAATATACAATGGGCCATCCTTGATTACAATACGTTCATGCAAACAAGACTGTCCGCCTCCAAAGAAAATTAGCCACAGAACACACCAAGAGGCTCACTTTCTACTTCCAGGTGGACCAAGAGGATATGTGTACTCCATTAATTTTCATTTTCATTTTCAATATTTTAGGCATGGTAGCCCCTCAGTTAGAGAAAAACTGATTTACAGGGGGCAGTGCATTAAGTGGCTCCACAACTCCAAACACAAGTGGCAAAATTACCCTAGAGATTAATTTACATTTTGGGAGAATAAGGGGGGACAACCATATAGCTCCTTGTATTTTTCATAGCAGTTTCTTGAAGAAAGAAAAATTTACAAAAAATAGCAAAATATGTACAAAATGTTTGTTAATACTTCTCAGATGATTTAAAAAATGTTCTTACCTTGAATGACGTAATAGCGTCAGCCATTTGCACATTCCTTCAATGAAAGAAAAATCACAAAATAACAAATAAAATTTAAGGAAAAATAGGCAAAGAGTTAATACGAAAAAGAAGAAACCAGTTGTAGGTACAAACCTTTTTATGACACAATCGTTGCAGACAATGGAGTAAGCGATGAGACAATCATTTTCAATCACCACATCATCCCAAATAAAAGAATTAGTTATTTGCACATTTTCACCTGAAAATAGTGATGTCATTTAAATCATAAGAAAAGAATATTAAAACCTTGCTTGAGAGAAAACCGACTTTTTTCTATAAATATGCAACAATAAATATTTTATAGAAACACCATCAGGGATTTTCCATTAATATTAAAGCTCATTGTAGAAAACAAGAGAAGACTTTAGATGAATCCTGATCTAACTAACAAAATACAAATTTCATCGTGCTTTAGAAAATTTCGGTCTTCTCAAGGTAGGGTTAATTGCCGGAGTGCCACAACTTAGTATGATATGCATATCTTTATATAAAAAAAGTGTAACCATTGCACATATTCTGCTACCTAATACCGAATATACGTATCATTTGTATTGTTTTTAAACCACCAGATGATAGATGTAGCCTTTGACTTGGCTTAATAATTTAAAGACAACAAAGAAAGACCACACTTCTGGTTATCTATCGATTTAAGACGAAAATTTCATCTTTTTAACAGAAACGCTACCACATTTCTCTTAGAAAAGAAAATAAACTGTGGTACTATTGGCAATAATCACAAACATGTCATCTTTTTGCCATCATTTTCGTTATTTGGTTTTTACTTATTACAGTTACGTTTACGGAGAAATGTTAATACGATTAAATTGAAAGAAGGTAGAATATTCTCTTGACAATCAACTTAACGAAATCGAATTCTCTTGACAAATTCAAGCAGTCTCCTGATACAAAATTGATCCAACGTTAAATTATATTAAAAAGCCTACCAATTTTGCAGTTTTTGCCGATGACTGTCTTCGAAATCCGAGTTCCAGTTTCTATTGAAGAGTTTTCACCTACGACGACATCTTGTTCCAGAAGTGAGTTTCTAAAAGAAAACGAGGAGGCATGAATTCATGTATTACATTTAATTGAGAAGGCTTGGCCTTGATTAATACATAGCATCCTGGTATAGATTTTAGGGTACCGAGAAGCTGTGCTTATCGAGCAGCGCCCTGGCCTTTCCTCTCAATGTGACCAAATCTGGTCATTATTACGCCTGGAATTACAGAGCGCTAGCAATTTTCCTTAATCTAAGAGAAAGTTTCTTCATCTAAGCGACTCGATTCACAGACCTTTTGATCTGTAGTCTGCCACCCTAACTACTGAGCCATTCTCACATCTTCAACCAACCAAGTATGACGTCATAATTACACTAGAAATTACTATCCTGTTCAAGGAGCTTCATACCTTGCAAGTCGAACTCCTTTATCGAGATAAACATTATGTCTTGTGAAGCGATAGGATCCTCCATCTGGCACCACTGGGTAAACCCATCGATTTATAAGATCTAAGCTAGAAAAGAAATGATTAAACATTAAGGATGCCTAATTTTAGATTCTAGCTTAATACATTTCACTATTAAATTCAGCTTTTCTTTTATCAGGAGCCTGTATTGTAAAGATATACAGGGAATCGTAATGAACTTTGCCAATGAACCGTAAAATAAAATGGGTGGATCCAAATTAATTTTGATGCAGGAAGTTCAGATAGGTACATATGTTAGAAACAGCAATTAATTTCTTCTTAACAGTTATGTTACACTGTGACAAATAATTGTGGCTTCGAATGAAAAGCAAAAATAAAGAGCCTTGCGGATTCATCTGCAAGGAGTTTTACCTTCCATTTTTAAGGCCCACTCCTTAAAGCTGTTAGACTTTTTAAATTGGTGCCATGACCGTGATCTAATTTCATTAAACCCCCTTTCTCCAAACTCTGAATGATTTCCATGGTTTTAATGTCCATTCTTGAAAAAACCCTAAAATACTGTTGATGCAACATGTAAGGTAATTGACAAGGGAGGGTTTAATGTAATTAAATTAAAGTGCAACTATTTGCAAAATATTCTCACAAAAAGCATACTGTACCTAATAGCATTGTACATATGAAGATTAGAGACTCTAGCAGCATATTCGTCTTTGATTATGTGACAATGGATCTGGTTCCCCATTATCTGCAAAATGACAAAAAATCACCCATTAAAAATCTCAAAAAGATAGAAAACTATATTTTGAAAAAACGATACCTTCAGACAACACCCTATGAAAATATTACTATGAAGGGAATGATTGAATAAAGTGAATTACAAAAGTTTTTGACTTGATGTTGGACACGTGAAATTATTTATTAAAGAAAGCCAACGCAAATTTGCAAGATAAAATCAATCTTGGCACCAAACCTCTTCGTTTATGAGTATCCCTCTGACAAAGTCTTCCTTCGACTGATAATCGAAATTATCAGTAAATAACGGGGGTACCTGCGTGCAAAGAAGACAGTTAATTTGGCATTGTAGTAATAGTGTAAACAATATTGAGAGAAAAGGAACTGAAAAGTAGCTTAAGAAGCCCATAGCTTTAAAGCTTAGAAAATGAGTTTTTTATTATTTAATATTGTATGATTGGGCAGTCTAATAAGGCAGAAAACAGTTGAGAATCAGGGCCTTTAGTAAACATTTTCCAATCTGAAAAATATATCAGGATTAGCTTTTGTGTACAGAACAGAGCGTTTCTAATTTCAAACATTTAGCTTTACGTTTCCTACGAACACACAGCAACTGCATCAGGATAGGTATAGACGTGAAGCATAGAAAGAAAGAGAGTGAAAATGGAAAATGGGAGGGATTCAGTTGACATGCAATGGGGGTGTAAATGTAACTGCTAGTTAATAACCTAAGTTTGACCGATTAGGTACGATTTAGTTAATATTTGCCCAACTCTAGGTTTCTGGTAATATGGTCTAAAAGTTTAACACAGGTCTATTAGAAATCATGTTTGCACTTACTGTGGGAGAACAAATTGCTATATTACAATCCGTTAAATCATATCTGATATGAACATGATCTCTTTCAGCTAGAAGACCCTTGAAGAAGAATAAAGATCAGCAGTCAAAAGGTAGCCTAATTAAAGAAACGTATAAAGCCTAATTAACGGCTTGTTCTGTACAAAAAATTTGCCACAGAAATATAGTAATAAGGTCGGGATGTGCAAAACACATCAGATGCTTATTGAAGAACTGAAGATGGGGTATAGATGTGTCGCAAAATGGGTCTTTTTGAAAGCTGCTTGTACAATAAATCATAAAAATGCCATACAATAATAATAAACCCTAACTTTTGTAAGAAAAGTCCTGGGCTCTAATGTTATGCGATATTACATCATCATGATACCCTTAGCAGTAAAATATCATGGTAACGCACCACTGGAAATGAGAACTTTTGAGTGTTATATGACTTTTGACAATGTAGAATCCGTTTTGTTTCTGAGTCCATGGCAATGAAGGTATCTTCTTCTAAACATCTATTCACAAAAAAGAATTGAATTAACTATTTACTGAAGCAAATAAAACAGAGCTTTATGGTCAAAATGATACAATTAAAGGTTTTAATTTGTTAAATTGGCTTTTGAAATAATACATGAATCGATATTCTAAAAACGTATTTAAAATGATATATGGATAAGAAATTGTTAAGTGTTTAGAACCTAATAGTGTACATAGATTGAATTTCATTATGCATTTAGTATTGCAACAAGAAAAAACTATTATTTCTGTAAAAATAAACTTTTGCAATAGCTGATAACTTGCATCATCCATGTAAATAAAAATTGCATTTTCATGTAACTGATAAAATTTTAGCTTTGAGGGAAAGTTGCAAGTATGAATAAGCATAACTTTAAAGTATATATTTTTATTTGTAGGATATATTTTGAGCAATTTTTGTAAAAAATGTCAAAAGAAAAAGCAAGCAACTCTTGTAAAGATTTTATGATATTTTATTGAACTTATAAGTCATACAAAAAAGTGGAAACAGCATTTTATTTATATCTCAACTTCTTGCCTCTGTCGAGTTCAACAACATACTTCTGTTAAAACAGGTGGGCATGTACCTGGAAAAATGGTCAGGCTTTACTACTCTGTATAGCATTGTCATGACTGAGTTTCTTTCTTTTTTCCTCCTTTTTCTAAAACACAAAGTGTTTAAGGTTCATTAATCTAACTCAAAACAATTACTCATCACCATAACAAGAAATATTTTGCTGGGCTTTTCAAATAAAATGTTCACTCCAATGTCATGATTTCAAAATGGATAAGCTTATTCATAAATATCTTTCAAAAAGAGAGAAAATTACAAGATATTTTATGAAGTATGAAACAAAAAATCTATGCTGTCTTGATCAAGTTCTTACTTGTGTTCTTCAATATGTTCTGTGAGCTTTACATTTGATATCAGATCTCCTGGGACCAATAAAAAATCTGATCGAATGAGGCCCTGCAAAAGATAACTTTTAAGGTTATTATCATTGAAATCTGGTTGTCAAACTGCAAAATGAGCTGAACATTGAATATCTTCCACTAAGTTTAATTAAGGCAATCATACATCAGATTAATAAAACAATGACATCAGGTAGTATGTTCTCCTACTAAGCATAGCCTGCATTTATGTCTTGTTTACACACCTCGCGATCAATTTCTCTCAATGCATCACCAAAGGACATACAATTTGTTGATGAAGATACAACAACTTGGATTGAGCACTCCTTGTTCTGTGACCATTTTGCAGAACTAGAAAAGAATATACAATATTGCACAAATTAAGCATAAATTTTGGGGTTTACTTTAGTTTGCCGTGAGGAGTTGTACTAATAAATTTATCATAAACAAATAAGAAAAATGATTTTATGAAGATTCCAAAGAAGATTCCTTGATATTTTACTACATTACAGTTATGATAAAGGAAAATGTCATCTCAATTTCAAATCCTATCTTAAAAATTGTAGTCATATAAATGTGCAGTGCCATTGCCAAAGGGGGATATGGGGGCACTGTACCTCTCACCACTCTGTCTGCCTGTGCATAAAGGATTTTTCCAGGCAAATGAAGAAATTGCTTTCTTACTCTGTAACATTTTTGCAACAACTGTAACATGTTAATATTTCTCTAGTAGCTGAACTTTCAAAGTATGGCTTTCGAAGTATGAATTTTGAAATAGAAACGCATAAAAGCAGCATACAAGATCATTTATATTATGACACCCGTTTTGGTAGGCAAAATCTTTTCTGTACCCCTCTGAAAATTTTTTTAGCTTCGCCCCTGTAAATGTGGTTTCATCTGAATAGTAAAATATAGAACTTATTTGAGGAAAATATTAGAAAAATATCTTAAATCTATTTAAGATATGCCTATAATGGCAAAAAATTTACTTTTAATGATTTTTGAGAACTGTAAAAATTTGATTTACTTTAGGAACAGCAAACTGATAGATTACCTTCTTTTCAAATACTTATTTTCAAATTGAAGAGAACTCAGTGCATATCTCAATCAATACACAATCTTCATAAAAAGACAAAGGATATACAGTAACCTTGCATATTCTTTTATCTTGTTTGCATTGGAGCAACAAAACAAAATGATCTCTTGGACACCTTCTTCGACCAAATATTCTATAGTGTAATCCAGAAGTTTGCAATTGACAAGGGGTAGTAATGCCTAGAAGCAGAAAGTGATGATTAATAAATCAGAAAAACCTTCCTTAAAAATGTATGAAAATGCAAAAAACATTGAGGTCCTTAATTTAGACCCTTTCTTTCTATGCAAAATAAATTATAGAGAAAATGAAAAATTAATTTTTTGATTGCCATTTTAAAGACGCTCACAGTTACATAAAAGCCAAATTATCCAAACTTGCACCTCAAACCATTTTTGAACACACTCCTCTAGAAAATTTTGCAAAAACGGACATACTCTGCAGTCTTGAATTTTGACCCCACTCAACAGCATACCCCCCCCCCCCGTCTATCTCTATCTCTCTCACTAAGCAAATCAAACATGCTTTCTAATCTGAGACAGCACTACACTACCTTGTAATTTTTCATCATTTGCACTCTTTCATTTAATACTGTTTCTGCTATTAATACATCTTGTTTAAAACTCTGAAAAAAAAATCTTCCGAAATCGTCTGCTGTTTCCACTCAAATCATTGCGCTAAATCCTTAACGAAGAATTATCTGATTGACTTTACGGCTATTTAATCAAAGTACGTTACATTCAAGTTCGTCTCGTTTTATTTTAATAGTAAAAAACCTGAAGTTTTGCCTGACGTCACAATCTGCCCTTTTCCTCTGTTAGGCCTAGATCAAATGAAATTTTTTCCCAGCAGATGATCAAGACTTGGACCTGTACATCAAAGCTTTTCCAGTTAATTTAAATAAAATAAAACAGATACCCTTGGACATTCAACTGTGATTGGGGAAAATTTTGAGTTGAAACTGTCAGCGATCACAACAGCCTGCAATGGGTCTTCTTCTTTGTTCCATTTGTCTTTATCACTTTTAGCAGCATCTTGCTGATTTTTCTTTTGAGACATTATCTGGGTCTAAATAATCTTTCTGAATGGTCAAAACATTACAATATCTATATTGATAGAAACTTCCAATGCTAATCTCGTCATGCTATGGTGTACATTATGTTCTAGCCTCTACTAACAATTGATCTCTTACACCAAAGCGAGATTATTCCTGCCTTTCGAAGGAAAACAAGAGTACATTTTTTGTTACCCTGGGTACCAGAGCCGCAAAAATTAAAAAATAATTTTAAAAAATAATGCTGGTAAGCAAGGGTAATTTTTTTGTAAAAATTGGTTTTCTTGTGGAAAGGGGCGACCAAGCCAAAACCTAGCTGCAAATAATAAAAGCATGGTCTTCTCTTGACCCAAAAAATGCCTCACTCAAGGGCAGGGTTTACAACAGTATGTTGGCAATCTAATTTCATAGTGATAATCAAAAAGCTAAAGCCATTAAGCCATTAATTTCCCTCTTACTTGTTAGGAGACTGTTCTGGACCAAGTTGCCATTATTTATGCTTCAATTTTGGTCTTTTCTTTCACATCAAATGTTTTTGTTTCAGCTCTTTCATATAATATTGAATTAAATATTCTTTATAGTTATCCTTACGTTTAAAAGTATTTGTAATTATCGGTTCGATTTATGTATATGTAATACCTGTTTTTTAATCGTACAAACTGCATATTTTAAATTATCATCATAAAATGACATTCTATTTTATAAAACTTTACTGAATAAAGTAAATAAATAGCCTTAATTGAATTCCTTTCAACTGAAGTAAAATGAATATACAAACATATCCATATAGATAATGTTCTTTTTACCAATCCACTTCAACCGCAGCTTTTCATCGAAACAATAGATTATAAGGATTCAGGTTTATTGATACACCACAATTTGAAGTAAGATCATTTCCTTGATAAATAAAACGTCGATGAAATACAAAGACGTTGCCTTAATGTTACACGGCAATTAAAAGCGATGTGTTACAAAATTATTATAGATATCCTTTAAAACATAACTTGCTTTTAATAAAACCTTTAAAAATAACGTAATAAAACTTTGACAGGAATAAGCTACACTACAACCTGGCTTAACGGCGTGTATCCAGGTCCAATAAAGAGGAAGAAAGGAAGGAGGGAGAAATGGAAACATGAATCAAAATATGTCAGCTACCCATTCTCCGAGAATCTTCCCTTATCGACTGGTCTTGAACATAAAAATGTATTGGGAAGTTGCCTATTATAAGACCATACTTCATAGCAACTACTGCTTTAGGGTAGGCATTACGTTCTTCTACCACTTAACCATGTTTCAAAACACCTCCTACTTTGCGGTTACGTGAGTTTCTCTAAAAAATACAGTAAACTCCCGATAACTCGAACCCCCGGTAACTCGAGCATTCCCTTAGTCGAACTGATATCGTATTCCCTTTACCGATACCTTCAAATAAAAATGCCCCCAATATTTCGAGCATTCGCTATCACGAACACATCACTGGTCCCTTGGATGTTCGAGTTATCGGGTGTTTACTGTAGGCTTATGCGTCCATAATGAAAGGGCCTCTTGGTACTTCAAAAAAACCGGGAAACCGTTCAAAAGCATGCGACTTAAAGCAGGGTAACAGAGTAGAGACATAGCTAGTAACCGCAAAACATATGCTCATGCATATCAGGGTTAGCTGATGTTAAACTTGTTTTCTGTGCTGTTGCTACTGCTTTTGCAAAGAACCTAGCAGCAAACTGACAACATCATATGTGGTTATAGTTTAAACGAAATTCATTAAGAAAAAACATGTACTGTGATGCTATCAATTGCTCATCGGTAAAAAATTGAAGGGAAATACTTAGTTTAGCGTTCCTTGTATTTGACGTTTGTTTGGGGTGGTTCTACAAAACGGGGTTTTGCTTGATCATTCTTAGCGCACCAAATTTCCATAAGATTAAACACATGTTAAAACAAGACAGCGTAAAACCTGGATCATGAAGCATCACAAACTTCTCCAGCAGCTCTCTCTTGTTTCATTTTCTCCTCTGCTTCTGATGCAGCTCCAAGAAGTTCATCTATATCACCCTCTGACGTCACTGAATCTGCAGTAGCAGCAATTTGTTCTGATAACCTATTCATCTCAAAGAAATTAGAGGCGGACGCTTCTAGTCCAGGGAAATCAACCGGATCTAAATCTGATTTCCAAAGTCCGGGAGAATCTCGTACCGCATATTTCAGCCCTTCTATGGCTTGGGTTGGTGTTTCAAGTGAACGTGACTTAATTTCTTTATCTTTGGTGCAAACTATTTCATGGGCCTCTGAGTCCTCTATATATGGTGGTCTATTGTTTATTATTCTCTGTATCTCATCATCCTCGCTTTGATACGATACCCTATCATTTAGTAGATTATTTTTGTCTTCAGTTTTTGAACGTCTTTTCTTTTTCTGTGCCTTTTTAGGTGCATCTTCGTCAGATTTAATATATCCATTGGGGTTTAATTCGCCTTTACTTCGAGATTCTTCATATGTATCTGCTGCTTCTAGATTCTGAGAAGCTAAAGTTTGCTAGAAAGAAAATGCCATTTCAAAATAAACAAATAAACAACCTATTACCAGTTTCTACTCTGAAGAGTTACTATTACCTAGCTTAAGGTCCAATCGACGGATACTTGAGTGGCTTTAGCCACCTGTCAATCAACAGTTGACCAATCAGTGAGCGACGTACTACTCATACACACACTGATTGGCTATTATTGATTCACAAGTGGCTTAAGTCTTTTCAGAATCAGTCGATTGCCTTTAGGATTAATTAACCAGATAAAGTGCATTCAGTATATTTCAGGAAGATCATGAAGGCCTTTAACCTGTAACCTAAACAGTCTTATTTCAAAAGATTGCAAAACAACTTAAAATGCAGATTAAGACAATAATTTACAACAAAAAAGGTGATTCAATAGGAACCTAAGTAGAAGCTCTCACAAAAAAATCCAAAGGGAGGAAAATATCACTTTAGTTACAGTTATACCTTTTCAGCAAAAAATTAAGATTTTAGCCTATTTTTAAGGACGTATGCAAGAAAAATATATCCATAAGTAAATTTGTAAATCTTGAAGAAAAAACGCTTGCGTATATTCCTTGTTTCATTTCATCTCTCAATGATTTAAACTTTACTTAAAAATATTTTGCTATCATTCTCTAGCTTTTTGCTATAAACGTCAAGTTTGTTTGGAGACAATCTACACAACGCCCTGTGCCTCAGATCCCTACGTTTTAACTCATGATTTTATCAAACATTTTCACAAACAGTTACTAAAGGCACTGAGTCATGATAAAGTATTACAGGCGTCTTCGGCAGGGTGACATTTATTTGGGTGTGATCACTGTAGCTGTATGTGACTCTGGAAAACCAGTGTTTATAACTGGTTATTTACTGGGCCTGTTTTGCAAATCAGTACAAGGAGACTTCATGTGATCAGTCACAGCTGAGCCAATTGAAATGCAGCTCGAAAATCGCGACTCGGCGTTTCAAGGTATACCCTTTCCTTTTATCACGATTGATGCCTTCAAGAGAGCAACATAACAAATATTCTCTATCAAATCATACCTTCTCATCTTCAGTATCTTCTTCTGAATCAATCTTCAATGGCATTTTCTTTGACTTCTTCTTCCTTTTTCTCGTCTTTAGTCCAGCGTCTTCTTCATCTGAAAGTTGAACTTTGCTGTGATTATTCACAGAATTATTCGGCTGAGACTCATTCTCATCGCTGCTTAACTCGTGTTCTTCCAAAGTAGTGTCTTTGTTACCAGCTTGAACTAAGGGTGTCCATCGCAAATGGTCTTCATCGACGGGGATTCTCTTTTGAAGTCGAATTTTCCCTAAAAGCTCATTCATAACTTTCTGGTTAATGACCACTGTCAACCTAAAGAAAAATTGTATAGAACTTTAATTGAAGGAATGCATATGCATGAATCGTGAGATGAAAATCGAGAAGCATGCCGCTTAGTAGAGAGGTCGAGCTTCGGATGAGGTCATTCTCGTTCGGATAAGGCCCGGCCTTGAGAACACCATGCCACACGTACCTGTGCGGGCCTAGTATCATTGTTCTTTGTGTCCGTACTTGTTTAAAGATAAACTTACTTTCCGTCTTTAATTTCCACGAAGTTCAATTGTTGCAGAGTAGAGGCAATGTCATGTGGATCCATACCCGTTGACTCACTGATGGCTACGAGAAGATAACAATAAAAGCATACCTTACAACACGAACATGGCGCAGATTCTATTAAATCTACGAAAATTTACGCAAGCAACAATTAAGGCAAAGGCTTTCTTAAGAGTGCATTGATTAAGGCGAATAAAACTCAAGCAACTTCTCTGTAATGATAACGAACCGAATTTAATGTTTACTGTTTTGATTGCAGGAATTCGGTCAAATAAAGTTGAAAGGTGTGCTTGTTGTGGCAGGAAAGAAAAACACGATGAAGAAAGTTGAGTCTGGACATGCTGACAATGCTTTCTAATTTTCCATACACAACCCCGTTTCAACAGGTTGTCTCTCACATATCTCAACCACGTAAAGATTTCAGCCTCTCTTTTATCTTAAACCACGATAAATTGAAGTTGCAACATCAAGTAAGGCAGGCAAGAAAACATACTTGAAGATATATTTTACATACTTACAAACATACTTGAATACGGCAGCAGAATATTTTAGCTTATATAGGGGCTACAGAAAGACTTACATTTTATAGACAGCAATTTTGAATTCACATTTCCATGAAGATATTCCACGATTACACTTTTCCAGTAATTTTGATATGTCACTAATCCAAGATCGCTAAGAGGTTTTTCTGGAGAGCCTGGCTGTTTCTCGATTCGTGACAAAAGATAACCTAGAAATTCAAGATAAAAAATTGTACTACGGTACTGCAGAAGACACAAAAAGGCACAAACCAAATTTTTTTTAAATCTTGGGGCTTTAACAATATAAAATAGGTATTAGCAAATGCTTAATCAAATTGAAGTTGATAGTTGAGCAGGGAGCCTTGGAGAAGCAAAGTTTGAGGTAACTTAGAGTGAACATTTTCGATTTCTTTTGCCTGTCTGAATAAGTCTTTGAAAATGGTTTTGAAAAAGCGAATATTTTGAATCATACATAAGCCTTTCGTCTGACACTCATTAGTGTATAAAACGTCAGAGTATATCCGTTGAGCTGCCGCCTCTCCTTGCATTGCGAAATCATATACAGATTTAAATGACGCTGAAAAGAGGGCAATAGTCTAAATAATGGGTCCAACTTTGGTGCCGTCACGTGCTTTAGCCGCTTTGCAACTTTTCTTTCTAATGGCCTTTACTTCTTTATCGTCAGCTCCTTTAACTCGCGAGAATAAATATTTTGATGACATGGGGCTTGTTCACATAACCCCTCCCGGGGAGCATTTTTTTAACTTTTTGCTAATTCGTTGTCTTTTCAACTTTAGTTTGTTTTTTGCTAATATGCAGGTATTTTAAGGGGTTTTTGATCATTAAAAAGGTTCTAAGAACTATGATAATTGAAAAGCTACATGAATCTAGCAGTAAAACGCTCTAGTAGTTAGAAACTGACTTACTGAAATCTATAAGAAAACGTCCAAATCCCTGCCTTTGGTATTGTGGCATAGTCATGATGCAAGATACATTGTATTTTTGCTGACATGCCTTTTCCTGAAAGGTATAGCATTTCATCACATCCTGGATTTCATCAAAAAACCCAAAAAATATGCTAAATAGAGTGGGCAACTTTTTGACTGATCATTTGTTACTCCTAATAGAAGGTTGAGAGTTGAAAACGAACTTATGACAAAAAGTCCAAGGCACAAAATATTTAAATGAATAAAAGGCAAATTGGCACAGTGCTCATTGTCCTAAAAAGATGAGTTTCGATGCATCGTGACATTGAGTAAGCGTTGTGCAAATTCTGCATTGTAGACCAAAACAATTGTTCTTTTAAACGAACAAGCAGAACGCCAGCGTGCCTGACGGACAACTTAAAGCAGGCTCTCAAAACTGACGCACTACCTAATGCCAAAAATGATTATGGACCCCTTTATTGATTATAACATGTAGAAAACTGGACCACTTGAAGGCAAATGGCATCAACGTCATCAACAAATGGCAAGACCTGAACAAAATGATTTAAAGTAAAAACCAAATTACAAATAATTGATGAAAATACATAATTTACTAACTTTTGAAAAATACCCAATTAGGTGTGAACCAGTTCGATCGTTTTTGGTCACGACGTAAAACAGAAATGGTTCTACATCATAATAAAGGGTCTTGTGATCAAGGAACAGTTTTGCAAGTAGACAAAGGTTTTGACAATACAGCTAAAATGAAAGAAAAACAACTTGTAAAAAAAGAACTACGCAAATCTACTCATAATTTTATTTCCACTTTGCAATTCTTTAAACTTTATAAGCATATGGGTTTTAACGATTCTTAGATCAAAAATCTATATCTATATAAAGTAAATATATAACTACGTTGTAAAGTCCAAACGAAAAACAAGGCAATTTTTAGTGATGATGTAATGTTTATTTCAGCATTTAAAAAGCCTAAAGGTGATAATTTCGTGGTCGACTGGCACTCACTTTAACATGAGATTCTTACTTTGATATCAAAGATCTTTCAGGCCAGCAAAGATATTTACAATAAGAAAATCTTGATTGATAGATATTGATTGATAATTATATGACCAACATCCTTAAAGTAAGGAGACCAAAAGATCTCACATTAAAACCTGGCGTATTCTGCATAAAGCAAGAAACACGGGTTAATCAAAGCATTAACAATCACCTTTGAGACAGCTCCATCAACTTCGAAAACTGACAAATCGTCTTTTCTGTATATTTCATTTGCAGGTGGATGGGACCACTGACATTTCATCTTCGTAAAGAAAAATTATAAACTAAAGCAATACTACAAATTAGCAAAAATCCAATAAATGAAATCTTGGCATGAAACTTCATACGACAGAACCATTTGGGAAACCCACGAAATTCCTTGGTAGAGTTGGTAGGTAACTTATATTTCTGTTTAAATGACTAATGAACGAACCACATCAAAGTTTTAGAGCTAAGAGCTTAACATCAAATATTACTTGAACAAACTAATACATAAATCTACAAAATTCAAAATTTGAATTTTTGGATAGGTACTACATGCAAATTAGGAGAGGGGAGGGGGAGGGGGGGGGAGAGGAGAGGGGGAGGGGGAGGGGGGAGGGGGGATGAGAAGCTAAGCTGTATATGCATGGTATTAACTGGCCTATGTTTAGGCATTGGTCATAACAGAAATGTCCTGTCTTAAATCTCGTGATGGGAATGCCTAGTCTGTAAACAAATGCAACTTACGAGGTGTCTTTTCAGTATATTGCGTGTTTTCATATACTTCAGGCAGAACTCACAAAGGTAGAGTTTTGGAGCACTAAAAAGGGATAAAATGAGAAGGAATGAATATAAAAGCATAATTCAATTAACCAGTGAAAGCACAAAACTAATATATTTCCTTAATATAACCACAATTTCAAATTGAAGTCGCAAGATTTTCAGACCTCGGATTGAAATTTTTTTCGTCATAAGTGACCAATGAAAACTGTATACTTAAGTATAAAAATTGTTTGCAGTGACCTGTTTCAATTAAGCAGTTTTGTCTGGAACTAAATGCAGACGAGTAAAAATTGAGAAATCAATCATATTCTGTCGTTATATAGTGCTTTACAGTAGGCCATTAGAGTAACTCGTTTGTAGCCTAGCCTAGCCTAGCCTAGCCTAGCCTAGCCTAGCCTAACCTAACCTAACCTAACCTAACCTAACCTAACCCAACCTAACCTAACCTAACCTAACCTAACCTAACCTAACCTAACCTAGCCTTACCTTACGTTACCTTACCTTACCTTAACTTATCTTACCTCACCTTAACGTACCTTACCATTTGTACATAGCCTTAACTTACCCCTATCCAAATAAAAATTCGTTAATGAGCTTACCTGGCATATTCCTGCGGATAAGGCGATGAATACCACGTGTCAATCTCCCACTTTCCAAACTCAATACATGGAGGATATCGACCATTTGGATTGGAAACAGCCGGTCTCCCCGAGCTGCGGTTCAGTGCCGAAGCATGGACTTTTTCCTGGGCTTTCCTAAACAGCTCTACATCCTTTTCCGTAACTCCTGTTAACATGAATAGGTTTTGAGTTAGCTATTGAGAAACATACGCAGCAACTAGCATGCTTCCATTGTATAATGCATTTAAGAAAAAAGAGTCTCGATAATTCTTCAATACTGCATGTTTCATCCCATTCCAAGCGTATTCCTATAGGGATGGCCTCAAGTCTGCTGTAATGGTTTCTCCGCAGAAATCATGCTCCCAGTAAAAACTCTGATTTGAAAATGAGATCCTAATGGTAGTAAAGCAGAGGACATTCTTTTATGAGCCAAATCTCATATTTTCTTGAGTAATTTAAGGGCTATTGGTCCAAAAACCACCCCGCTGTATCTTCACCGTGTCAAAAGCAACTTATCGATTGTATTTTATCATATTTCTGTGCAAATATAGAATTGTAATCTTACACTATTCCACTTATTTGTAAGTTGCTACAATTCGTTTACAAAGGATAATTTGAATTCAACTAGAAAAGGTTTCATGAGACAGTAGGTAATTTAATATGACATCATACAGCTCTAGGGCAGTCATGGAGAATCCTAAAGAACTAACTTATTAATCGGAGAAATGCGGAGTTCTAAAGAGAAATGAAGATAGAAGATAGAAAAGAAAAGGTGGAAAAAGGATTAGAAAATACAGGGGTGGTTTAAGGTGGTCAGGAGGCTCAGAAAATCAACAGTAGGTATTAGAAAAAAGAATCTCTGGACAATTTGGAGGCACATCTCAAAACATTTGCCTTGGAACATCACCAAAAGGCAGACAAAAAAGAAAGACATTTATGTACTAAAGATATCCTTACCTGGTGGCAATCTCGTCATTTTGGGAAGTCCAATTTCACTTGGTGTTTGTGGCAGTTTCTGTTTTTGCGGTCGCTTTTTGGGCGTGTCTGTATTTGCTTTTGGACAAGCAAGTATACTGCCATGAAAAAACCGAAAACAGAAAAATTGCTGAATAATTTGTTAGAACAGGTCTGTAGAGCTAGAATTTCGAATTTAAAAGTTTTTAAAAAAGCATTTTTAAAAGTTTTAAAATTGATCAAAATTTTTCTTTTACTACCATAGAAAGAAACAAGGAAAAATCAACGTTAATTAATGCATCGAATGAACGTTTCGCTTCCTAAAGAATAAAATAAACAGCCTTTATATGCGCACGTAGAGAAAATATAGCCTCGATCGAATCAAATACCTCCGATGTGTTCCGTATGTGCCTCTCACGTGACCTGAGCCATCGCATCCGGGTGTTGGACAAAGACTAGATTTAAAAAAATATAAACTTTATTTAAAAAGAGCTCACATTTACAATTGGACTGTTTCGATTAAGTTGTCATAAGTATGAAAAACTACAAGTTAACTGATCATTGCATCAAGCCTGAAACTCGGAGTAGCAGTTAGAGCCGTTCTGCTTCGTAATGCTCTTTCGAGCTATACAGTAAAATTTCAAATATTTGAAAATTATAATTTTGTGACGTCATAAGTTTGGAACTCTATCGATCATTGCAGTACAGCAACTGGCGTAAGTCCGCGTAGAAAGGTTACCTCGTATTCTCTTTATCGCCTCCATCGCAATCACCGTTTTCTGATAGTGCTTGACGAATTCTCTTTCTTGGTGGCGTGCATAACACTGCGATGCTCCTTCGTCTTTTGCCGTCTCTTTCACTGTCACAGTCTCGACATACCCAGCTGCCTGATTTTGAAATACAAATAGTTTAAATAACCAACCAGGCCATAACAAAAACAAAAGGATGATATACGAATATCTCTCTTAAAACAGAGAAACAAATGAGGCTGGAAAGGACAAAACTATGAAACCTAATAACAAGGAAAGGATAGTTATAAGGAAAAACAGACTTGAGTAATTTGGCAATAGAACACGACCTCAAAATTTAGTGATTACGTTGAATGGCGTAATGATTTCTCGTCCAACAGCCCTCGTAGTAACGTCAAGTCGCGAATGATATTCGTATATGAAATACTTAGGTCATCAGTGTTGCCTGATTATCGCATTAAGAGTGAAATTCGGAGAAGCAGCTTAGAACTATCCAGTTCTATACACCAAAAGGGTCCACTAACAGATGCATATCTTAAAATATAACTGGCTTTTGATTGTGACAACCAATCGTGGGCATGTTGGAACCACAAATAAATAAATGTAAACAAAAGTGACTTTTGTACCTCAACGCATTATTTTATGCTGTATTGCCCTAGACTGGTAATAAAAACTAGTTCTTTTTACAGAATAAAAGACATTATCTTGCATTTTGGGGAATTGTTTGCAAAATAAAGATGGATTTACCTGTAGGCATTTCATCCATCGGTGGGTCAAGGCAATCCATGTGACAGCCCTTATCACATGCATCACAAAAAAGTAAATTGGCCTGCAAAACAAAACAACCCAATTCTGATAAAATATAATACAAATTCAATTAAGGACATCAGACGGTTTTAAATCGTATAGGGAAAACGATAAAGATCAATAGACACGATCATCGACATCAGGCTTAAAGATAGAGCTTCGAGAATGTTTCTGAAATTCATCATTTGGACGTTGTTATTTTTCAAAGCTTGATTGAATTGAGTTCATGCTAAATACACACAAACTCTTTATCTATAAAAAACGACACCTTTATAAAATATTTGAAATCATCATTGTGAAATTTAATTCTACAAATAAAAAAACAAACAAAGAAAAGCAAATGTGTGAATGTACACATTAGGAGTGGTTTGGCATTTTACATCAAAAAAGGTTAGATAAAGTTGAACGGAAAAAGGGGGAATGTGTGCATGTACAGCCAAGAAACAGGGAACACAGATACATTTGCATGCGGCTATATCAATGCTGTATATATGTTGACATTCTCGGAGGGAATGACTTTATGTTCCGTCCGAATTCGAAGAAAAAATGTTTGAAATAGGCAGGACAATATTTTGAAGAAGAATTCTGTGACGTTGCTATACGATTTTGAAGCTGCCTGTATGAAACCAAATTTAAGTAAAGGGCACTCGCAATTAGTAAAATCATCGTCCCTTGTTTGGAAAAGTTTGTTCACTTACAGTACAAAGGGCCTGCCCTAGATTTTTGAAACCTGGGAAGATTAAAAGAAATGGTATCCTCACCGCATCTCCCTGCTCTTTACACTTTGCACACAATTTACATTCGATGCATTGCCAAGGTTCTTTAGAAACCCTCAATGTCAACTCCTTTGAATACTGCAGACAACTTGGATGCCCTACAGATAAGAAAATTAATATCAAAAACAAGAGAAATAGTGTTTGGGTATTATCCCAAACGGATTCAAGAAAGAACATGTCTTGTAAAAATGAACAAAAATCTCTGTCTTGGCCTTGTGTTCAAATTGCCATCACCCATAAAACAGAACAATTTGAAAATATGAGTTGCAAAGATGCAAATGTTTTCTTGTATAATTAATAAAAGCTTCATAGGGAGTTAGTTTATAGGGTAGGCATCTTTGGCAGCAGGATGGTTGTGGGAAATAGGTGATGTTTCACTATAGATATTGTACAAACCATTTGTGCTTCTGCTTAGGGCTCTGAGAATTGTACCAAACTAAGTTTAAAAAAACTTTTTTGCAAAAAAAGGTAAAATTATTTCTGAACAAAAGTATGTGGGTAGGTCTTGCTCCACAGAAACTGTGTTTTGATTTGAAACATTGGAAAAAACAAGCTTGAAATGGAGGCAGGTGATTGGCTAATGACATTTTGTAAAAAACCCACTGATTGGTCTAGAACAAAATGTGCTATTGTTCTTGAAAAGAAATCTTGGCAAATTACAGCACCATCATCAAGAAAGAGAACATAACGCATAACAGTTTGTAGGTTTTTTACAATAAGTATGCATCAAAGAACTTTGGCAAACTATATATGTTTGTGATGTTTTTCATAAGAAAAAGAGAATAGAAAATAAATCACATACCACTATTTCCACATTCTGAGCATGTCAGCAAGTCTTCTTCCTCGTCATAACGATTCTTTTCCCTTGTTCCTTTGCAAAAACCACAGAAATCAGACATAGTCAATGACTTTTTTCCATCACAACTTTTCTTTTCCTTTTTGATCTTGATTCCCCTTTCTTTAACATCTTCTTTCTGAGGAGTTGATGCTTCACATAAAAAAATAAATCTTTACATAGACAGAAGCAATAATATCACACAATCTTAATACTTAGCTTTGGATATTTTATTGGCAAAAAGACTTTGAATAATTCTGATTCTGCTCAAAAACTTTTTGGATTTGTCTTCAATAACTTATGATAGAACCTCTTTTGCAAAATGATGGTTACCATTGATGGAGGGTTGTGCACAAAAAGTCTAATTAATATAATAATTAAAGCTTCAAAATTTCATTAAGAATTATCATCTTTCTGTCTGTTCGATGAATTTTGGTCCCACATACAAGCAGAAAAATATATATTTCTTTATTACTCGCCACAGTATACTGAGCAGTAAACATGTTAAAAACAAACACTTAAAATGATGAAGTTGGTAGAACTGCCTATAACTCTATCTACCTTAGAAAAAAATATTTAAGTTTGTTTATTAAATTCACACAGCATAATGGAACAAAAAATACCTTTGAGCAAACTACCAACATGGAGGGCTGGGTTTTTATATGATGACTTCCCTTTTGATTCTAGCCGAAGTACAGCGCCAGACTTAACTGCAAGTCCAAGTTGCACTAATGCTTCATCTTCTGGTATCCCATATGACAGATTCATAACACGACAAATCCTTGCCTCATCTGGTCTCTGTTTCTGGCCCTTAACTTTAGCAATTGAGGCCAGCAGCCAGGTAACATATTTGTTGGCATCTTGATTCTTTTTGGCCTTTTTTGAAGGAGATGGGCTGGCCATATTCTATGAAAATTCCAAGTTGTTTATTAAGGCAAAAGCAGACAAAGTATATTACAGAAGAAGCCAAAAATAAAATGTAAAATCGAATATAAAAGTCAGGGCATGGAAAAATCTTCCTGGATATGATTGTAGCTGTTACTGACATTTAAAACTGTCTATGTGCATAATTGTAATCCAAGTTAGTTTATTCAACTTCTCTTGATAATAAACTCATAAAACATTGCAGACACATTTTGGTATAGTAACTTTACTTTGCAGTTCCTCTTTGTGCCATTTAGTTTGAATTCAGAATTAACGAATCTATAACAGCTGCAGCATTTACCAACAAGGGACATAAGGTGAATGGGCAAACTATATGGTCATTGAGACAGCAAATGAGAAATTGTATTTAAATGAGGCATGTGATGAATAAGGATATTTCTTAATAAATAAAGTTTAAAAATGAATGCGTTTGACAAATATTGTTTCTTATAACTAATCAATTACCTTGGAGGGATTCAAATAAAAAAAGGGAAAATTTTATAGAGCATATACACAAAGAAAGAAACAATAATAGTTTATTCTTAATACTTCCTTGACCTTAATTCAAGCTCTATACTGACCATATTTCTTTTGATTTAGTCTCACTTGCTTGAATAGAAAAATTAAAAGGTTGTTTGAAGAGCTTGTTTCCACAAAAACAAACAAAATTATGGTCTTTGCAGACTGTATGAGACATTTGTAGAGGTGTGCAAATGATCTTGAGCCATGAACTTCCAGGTGTGATGTCTAATACAAAACTATTATTTTTTGTTTATTTATCAGCAAACTGATATTCCAAGAAGTATATAGCTGTGTAAAAATGGATTACTTCTCATAAATATGTCCCTACATTTTTTGTCATAAATCACTTTTGTGAACAATTTTCTGTGTTTCCTTGTCCTTTTTGCCAAGAACCAATCAGGTATTCATTTCACTATTTTTCAAAAAATTTCCCAAAAATATGAAAATTTTCCATGCATAATGATTATCTTTATAAATATATTCATAAATTTCTTGTCTTTCATTTGTATATTTTGATAAATCTGTTAAGGGACATATTAGTTCCAAAATACTTAATTCACTCTGATGTAAAGCAGCTTATTTCAAGAGGACAATGATTGTCCTCTTGAATGTAATGGCCCTCCTACTGATCAGTATTGCTTTAAAGCAAATTTCATAATTGCCTTTGGAAAAAGAAAGCTGCTTTAGGCCATTCAACAAAATCTTCATAGGGCCCTTGCATCTTTTTAACAGATTAACAGACAGGATTGTACAGATCCAGGAGCACAGTGAAAGCTCTACTTTCTAATGGGGCAAAGAGGATATGGCAACATCTTCTTACAAATTTTAACAAATTGGGAAAATTTCTGAAAATTATTTACAAATTTGGTGCTTTGGGGGCTGCCTATACCAACCCCTACCCTCTTTTAGTCACTGTACCTTGAAAACACCCCTTGCTTTTCTTGCAAAATTACTTGTTTCAAAAGATTTCTAATGGATTTTATAGAAATAAATATCAATCATTGTTTTAAAACTTTCAGAATAAAAACTTAATTTCCCTTTATGGATAAAGGGCACTTGAGAAAGTACGGGTTTAAAGTTGACTTTTCAAAGCTACTAAGTTATGCCCTTTTGAATTTTCTTATCCAAAAACTTTCAATCAAAAATTTAATCCATTTTCAGTCGAAGGATCAGGTTTCGGAGAAGCTAAAATATTTGTGTTTTACTCTAAGGCCTAGTTGTTTAACCACGTGAAATCTTTCTCTCATGGCCTAAATAGAAAATTAGGTAAAAAGCTACGTTTTTAGAAAACTCACTAAACTTATTGTTCATTCAATTTAAAAAATTTATTACCTGCTATACTAACTTTAAAAAATTTATGCTTCAATCCAGGTCTTTTACAAGAAAATCCATGAACTTGGTTTTATAGCCAAACTCGCGCCATATATTTCAACATTGATTGTTCTATTGATAGTAAGTTGAATTGGATTGTTGCTATGGAGGAGCTGCATAACGGTTTCTTTACCAGGGACCTTTTGCTTTCAAAAAGTATAAAGCTAATATTATCAATGGCGAATCCTGCCTTAAAAATCTGGGGGGGGGGCCTTTCAGTTATAGGGGCCAACGCTTTCTATTACTTTGCGAACTACTAGAATGTAAAGCAGTGGCATGGTGGCTCAAAATTAGCTACAAGGCACCGATTTTTAGCGCCCCCTAGATACATATGTCCTTGATACAGTTCTATCAAGACTGTTATCATTATGCCAAATAGTTTTATAAGTCACATAATAAGCAGCTGCGTCCCCTTAGAAAAATAACAAAGAAAAATTGTTGCTGAGGGCCCCTAAAGGTTTGGGACCCTTGTTATTTAACTAAAGGTAACTTTGATCCGGTACTCCACTGAGTTTTATCTGTTTAACAATAATGCATGAATATTAGAATTTCAACAGAAGAACTATACTTCTAAAAATAAAAGGCTAATAGCTTTGTAAAGTTGATTGATAAAATTTTTCCATAGTAGTTCAGGCCTGTCGGAACCGGGGGGAGGGGGGTGGAGGAGGACTGGGGAGACTGGAGCCCTGCGCTGGGTTCCAGAGCGAAAAGGGTTTTCAATGGAATACGGATAATCTTGGTTTGGGCTTATCCTGCACACCCCACCCCAAAAAGGTGCATCTTTATAATAATATATAATAAATATAGAATTTAAGTGATTGTCAAGAAGAAATTTTTCTTGGTAACTACAGAAAGGAGCCAAAATTTTACTAATGTTCACCTCGATTACAAACCAAAACGAAGATATTGAGACCAGTGATGAAATCAGGATAGATTTATTGACAGTCATCTACTAGAATTGTATTTGACCCCCTTCCCCCTTCAAGCAATGTTGTTGATATCTTGGTATTATATACGATCTTTACACACGCGATTTGCAACTGCTTTACCAAATCTCAACAAACAACATTGCTTGGAGGGGGCGGGGGGGAAGGGGACGGTGGAAGGATTGAGCAACAAACAAGTCTGTCTGAAGCTATCGCATTGAGAAAAATAGAGAGAGTAACCATAAGAAAGTCAAAAAATGATTCAACAGCTTAGGAAGAAAACATTGAATTTTTAACAGAACCTTTTGAAAAAACTGGGGGGGGGGCAAACAAGGGGCAAAGAAAATTTCTTTCAAAGCTGTTCAAAGGCCACTGAATATTACACAGAGAAATTTCCATTTAAACCGGAAATATTGGGGGGTAGGCGTGTGAGAGCAGAACCCTAGAGAGCTGGGAGTTTCTGTCTCAATGAACTACAAAAATAAGGAAGGCTGTACTTCAATGATTACGCCCGCATTTCTCTTGCTATTTAGGCCTAATCAGCATTCAGGCCTTGGACCAGATCTTATGTCGTCAATGAAAGTGTTCGTGGTCAAACCCTTTCATGTGAGAACTTCTCGACATGAATTTGTAACGAAAAACGAAAATGCTTGTCTGCTAAATAATATTTTAAGCTGAAATACTAAATAGGGGCATGAATAGGACCTTATGTAACCTTAAAGAAAGAGCAATATGCCTTGTGAATGTATCTGGGGCTGTGCTTACTTAGAATAACTTTTCAGAATTTACTCTAGCTGTGGCTGTTGGATCAATACATATAGCATAAATGTTTAGCCATAGTCCATGGAACAACTTTTGCAATATTTCCTTCTGTATGATAGGGGAATTCCAAGTCGAAAATCTATGTCACAGTAATAGCATCTATATTCCATGCTCCTGCTTCGAAAACACCCACTCGGTGACTGATGTAAAAAAACCGTTTAAAATGGCTTTGAAAAAGCAAACATTTTGAGTCATACTTAAGATTGTCGGTTCAGAAATTGTTTCCCTAAAAGAGAGTGGAAGAAAGAAAAACACTAGATTTATCACAATTCCATGTTCTAATATAAACAGTAGTCCGGAACTTTTGGTTGTTGCTGGAATTTGCGTAGAATCTACATTAAGGATTTCAAAGAGGGCAGGCAGCCTCAGTAGGCCATAGTTTTAATGAAGCAAGTCAGTCATTCTTATAATCTGCCTCTTTTAAAACAAACGTGACTTTCTCAAAAACCAATTCCAAGCAAGCAATACTTTGTCATATAGCTACTTAATTAAATAAGATATATATTCATTCCTAGCTTCAATAAATAGTTTGCAGTTTACGTTGGCCTTCAAGCGGGCTGCCCTCTTTGCAATAATATGTCAAATCTATTAGTAACGTAAAACGTTAAATAGTTTTATCATAATTTTTCCAATTTTCTTTGAAATCGAAACCAGTTTCGTCGGATGTTCTCTTGAGAATCAAGAAATATCACCAACAAGGTCCAGTGATCTTGTCAAGTTACATTCAGTATGGGCCTAAAATGGAATAAAATTTTCCTTTTAATCTTTGAGTCGTTCCTGAAGAATTGACAAACTTCAAAAGCTATATACCTTGCAAGCTGAAATACAATGATGATTTTTGCGCATTTAAATCGTGAATTAAATAATGAAATTATGCGATGGTAAATTAAGAAAAAATATTAAATGAAAAGTATACTTTATTAACAAGCACGTATAGCTATTACATTCATTTTAATTTTCTTCTCAACTGCATAAAAACAAGCCAGCATTTTAATGGAATATAACATCGATATTTATGTGTAAATACGATGATATCAAAAATTTGCAAAATAGCATAGCATTACAATTAGTAATCAAAGCTTGTTTAGTAAGGTTAAAAATGATTAGAAAATGAACACTGCTTTTAACATTCTCACCTACAATAGCTTACAGGTTTTCTAATTTTAATGTTTTTGACACTTAAGCATTGGAAATCAAAGCATAACTTATTACAGTTCAAAGGGAATAATCGAATTTTCAAACAATCAAAGGGCTTTTATTTAATATAAAATCAATTGGATATGTACCTTGCTATTAAAATTTATGCTAATTCTAGTTTTCCAATGCCGAATCGTCATTTCTCAAGTAGTTGAAATAGCCTGGTGCAAACATACGCGGGTACATCTCTGGTCTAGGAACCATTGGAATAAATGCTCTTGGGAAAGCTAGCAAAAATAAGAAACAGTTACTTGATTGCTTCTGGTTCCAATTAAAAGTATATGTTCTAGGTCCTTTTATAGCTATAAACGAAATCCTAGATGAAATATCAAGTCAATTGATTGATTTCTGCGTACATTCGATGATGTAATACTTGTTTCCCTACCCATTAACTCTGAATAGTCTAAGCATAGTGTTTGAGATAATGTTTTAACGTAAGTAGTGTAGTGAGATAGTGTTTGAAATACAGTCAGTTGTGAAGAAAATTGTCAAAAAGGACCAGGGGAGCACAAAAATGGATGCTATCAAGGAAATAATTTCGTTTTTTATGCTACTATTTGAGGAATACTGTCACAAAATACTACCATTAGAGGGTAATTTTCTAAAATTTTCGCGTTGGCCCCCTCTGACCTTGACTAGACCCCCCTGTTAGGCCATAATTGGAATACCCTCCCGGGCATTTTAGAAACTTGCCTTTGCGCCAAAATACCTAAAAGGTTAGAGTTAGGTTTCACCTCAAGGGCAGAAGAAAATAGCAGAGGGTAGTAAAGGTTTCTTACTTGGATAGCCATCACTAGGTCCGTTTACAAGTGCGCTGCCAGCTTGGTCAGGGAATCCGTTAGGCCCCATCATCTCTGGTTCCTGTTCCTGTGGAAATGGCTGCTCCGAAGCCATTGGCATCATTCCAGGGAAGTTCTCTGCTCCGCCCATGATTTGCCTCTTGACTTTCACAGGTGCTTTGGGGATCATATTTTTTATATCATTTGTAGTGATTGCATGTCCGGGCCAAGCAACAGTGGTGAAACCAGGATGGGTGACAGGGTGACCGTAGGGCATGGCATAGCCAAATCCTGGGTTGTTTTCACCACCCATATGGCCACCGCCAAAGTGTCGCTTGGTGGCTGTTACCTGCTTAAAAATGATTTTGGAATTGAAGTGTCAGTATCTATTGGAACAATTCAAGTGGGCAAATGGCTATATTGCAGTTATCTATATAAAAACTTTTACGCGATCAGAATGCTGATAATGAAAACTGGTCGCTATGTTTTGACGACACTGTCATAGCATTATACAAAACATCAATTTTATGTTACGTCTTTCTGATTTTTTCACGAGAACCTGGTATACTGGATCCTTTCACTCCAGAGCATGGTATCGAAAAATTAAATGGCCAGTTAATCGACGATGAATCGAAGTTAGTCGATTCTATGCGATTAATCCTTCAAGATAAGCTAAAACAGATTAATACATCAAGCCCACCTGCTTATCGCTTTCTGGCAAAAGAGCGCTTTCTTTTTGTGTTGGCATTTCAGATTTCTTGAATGCTCCTTCTGAGTGACCATCATCGATATTCATGCCACCTGAAGCGCTAGTACTACTATGACCATTGAAACCATTAACGCCACCCATGCCGCCAAAGCCATATCCTAGGCGGTAGTTATCGCCACTTGCGTATCCGTAACCAACATGAATGGTCTGTTTTTTCTCTGGCTTGTGGTCTGCACTTGGGATTTGATCACGCTGAGTTGCCTTTACATCTTTCGCCTTGTCTTCGCTTTCCTTCTTGCCTTTGTCAGGCTTTTCCTCAACTTTCTTTGACTCTTTGGCTGCTTGCTCGCCTTTTGGCACCTTTGATTTGTACCATGGCCATCCCCAGCCATACATGCCAAGCCCTGCTCCAGGATATCCGTGCCAGAAAGGCCAGCCGTATCCTCCGTGATATCCAATTGGGACACAGAATCTCTTTGATTTGGCATTGTCATTTTTGTCACTTGGAATAATGTCTCTGCAATGAAGGCCGACGCCATGACCGAATCCACCTAAACCATGACCGCCACCATGACCGCCACCATGACCTCCACCATGACCTCCACCATGACCTCCACCGTGACCTCCGTTACCAGCTCCCCATCCGTGGTGGCCGTGACCGCCCCACCAATCAGCCCACCATGGGTAAGATGCCCACGGACCATATCCGACGTAAGGATACACAACACCCTGTCTGCTGCTTGCACCAGCCTGTCCCTCTTGTCCATTGGGAATGCCACCTTTTCCGAAAAGGGCATTGCGTCTTCCGAAAACTGGAAGTACCCGATAGAAGTAGCCATGATGACCACTTCCAACATCACCACCAAAAGAGCCATGTCCAACGAAATCACCATAACCACCCCATGGCCATGATCCCCAACCATACCATCCACCTAATGGACTGCCGACTCTTCCAAACAGGCATCTTCTTGCACCCTTACCTCCTTTCTTGATGTTATCTCTGTACAAACCACCAATGCATCCTCCCCTTAGAGGGAAATGTCCGAGAACACCGTGGTGTCCGAAGCCATGGTGACCGTGCCCGATTCCGTAGCTGCCTGGCCAGTATCCAACTCCATATCCACCCTGTCCGTGTCCACGTCCACGTCCGTGTCCCCAGCCCCCATTGATAGGGAAGCCCCAACCACCATAGTATGGATTGATTGGTACTAAGTGGAATTTCTTGGAACTCTGTGCATCATCGCCATTTGGGACATCATCCTTGCCGTATCCATGACCACCATGCTCCTCATGTGGGTGCTCAAGATGTGACAGATGATCAAAGTTGTGGTGGTTGTGATCCCAGTCAGCCCAGTCATCGCCGAAATCGTCATATCCGAAAGTCCATGGTCCTTTGAGAAAAGCAAGATAATTAGTTGCAATGCAAAATTCGCAGTAAATCAACAAACTTGACAATATCTTCGAACAGATTATCGATGCTATGCCAAAATATAACAAAATTAATTGAAGGTCCTAATTAAGATTTTGTAGGTGAGAAATCGATAAACAGTCGCAATAAGCAATTTCAATGTTATAACATGTAAGCAAATAAGAGGAATGGTAGCAGTCCGAAACAGATCTTCGGTAGGATTCATCAACTACGGTACATTTCCCCTTGAACGGCGGCGCCACGCCTGATGTTTCAACAGATTGACAGAAACACTACGTATCTTCAAAAAGTTGTTCAAAAATGTCCATTGCAGAGAAAAATGGGGAGCAATGATAACTAGCAGCTTCGAGTCCCCTGTGACGCCGCCTTTGCCACTGTAGACTAGTCTCATGAATGTGGTGAGGATCTACCTCTGAGGTGGAAGTCATGGTGATGTCCTCCATGGTGATCATCATGATGGCTGCCATGATCGACAAAATGGTAGCCGTCTCCATGGTGACCATAGCCGCCTCCATGGTGACCGTAGCCGCCTCCATGATGGCCAAAACCTCCATGTAGGCATCGTTTGTTGGTAGTAGCAGTTTCAGGGTCGTTGCAATCAGGTACCTTAAAAAGATAACATCGAATTAGAATTTGTTACCAAATTGATATATTCTGCTACTTTGTGCTCTGAAATTTGCAATCTTCTAGAAACTGATAAATCAAAGATACTTGGGATAAAACCTTTAGAAATACAAAGATTTTTGTTATTGTATGTGACGAGGAGCATATCGAGTAATCATTGCAAGTAAGACGCAAACAGTAGGGCCCCACTGAATTGCCTTACAGAAACTCATGTTTAGAAAAAATTGAATTAAATGATATTGGTAACGATAGAAATTAAAGTATACCTCGTCCCTGAAGTGGCCATGTCCGTGTTTCATTCCGGTATGCCCGTATTCCCATCCACCGCCACCGTGGTGAACATGATGGGGTGATCCCCAATGGTCATGTCCCCAGTGCACATGGCCATCACCAACCTTCCACCAGTTTTTTATCCCATTTTCACGAGACTGGTCTACAGGAGTCGAAGCTGCCCCTTGTTTGCCATTGGCAGTCAACTTAAGGTTTCCCCAGTTTAAAGAGTTAGCTTGGGCCTGCTGACCTGGTTGTTGGACAGGGACAGCGGCAGCGTGTGCTTTCTCTTCAGTCTTTTCAACCTCCTTCTCATCTTCTTTCTCTGCCTTTTTTGTTTCGGCTGCCTCCTTAGCTTTCTCCTTTTTTCCTTGCTTTTTGTCGTCTTGTTTTTTGTCGTCTTGCTTCTTGACTTTGGCCTTTCCGGCGTCTTCCGTTTTGATCTCCTCTTTCTTGTATCCTCCATAACCGCCGCCACCGCCATGGTGTCCTCCTATATAAAGTAAAGAAGATGTCATGGCACTCCAGGCTTTAGCTTTTGCATAATGTGTATGTGCAGTGGTGCAACCGAGGCATCTTGGATCCTCAGAAAAAAGGGACAGGGACCCTTTGAACAGAAATCAAGGAGGTCCCAACAAAACAAGTGGGCTCTTAGGGACCCGTTAAGTGGCAATGTCACACGCAATAGCAGGATGTAATAACTATTATTTTCTCGTTAGTTTGAGGGCCTGAGCTTTACTCAACATTCAAAGTTTAAGAAAACAATTTCTTCTTGAGCGCAATCTTAGAAACATGGTCTACGAAAATGTTTTTGGTGCATTTGATCAGGGGACTTTTTGATTGGGGTCCTTTTGATTGAGCTCAGGTTTCCTAATCTGCGTAACGTCACTATGCTATTAAATATAGAGCTGTTATACCACAAGTTTCTTCTACAAGAAAAGTGAAATAGAGGGAATGGAAGGGAGTAAATCTTGAAGACTAAAGTTAGGAAAATATCTCTAATCATCACATCACAGTGACATTTGTCATTTAACTAGCTGGCAAAATCTGAGGAATAAACATCTAGAATAGGACTAGGTATTTTCCCTCAAAAAATTTATTAGACCGGGAAGCACCAAAATCTAGCGAGAAAAAAACATGATCGCTGCTCGATCTTTACCCTGACAAAGCCCCGGGGTCATTAATTGAGCCTTTGTCAAGATAAAAATCCCACAACCATCACCATTTTTTCTTAAACTGTTTCCCATATCCTGATCATTTGAATAACACACTAACGAAAAAAGCCTGAGATTCTATATGGCCTTAAATTATCAAAGCGTAATCTTTTAAATCGTTATAGTACTTGTGGATCTGTAAGCTGGAGATTTTGTGCAGCAGCAGATAGCAATTCCTATTTTCAGGAGGCTTTTTATTCAAAAGAAACGCAGCAATAAAAATCTTTGAATATTTTCGTTTTTCTTCAGATCCAACAGTTTGACCAAAATTCTCCAATTCATTCACATGTCATAAGTCATGGCCTATGTAAGTGTTTATATGGAACTAAAGCTTCTGTACCTTTTAACACCAAAGGGTAGGTAGACATAGTTCTAATTAGTTTGTACCACAAAAGTTTCCCTGTTTCCTTCACAAAATACTTTTTAATTTACCAGCTAAAGGGAAGATTAAAATATTTCGGAACCCAAAACAAATGACATCAATTAGGCAGATTTACAGGAGAGCACAGCTCTTGAAACTGTATGGCTGAAGAAATGCATGGGTACATGAAACATACTAAATTATCATAACAGTAAACTTCAGAGATCTGAGAAGAGACAATAGTGATCTTCTCTAAAAACGAAATTTCTGAGCATGAATATTCGAAAATGATTACATATATATGGTATATTATATGTTGTACCTCCATGTCCGCCATGTTCATATCCACCATGACCACCATGCTCTCCTTCGTCATGATGACCCCATTCATGATGATATCCAGCATGGTGCCCATGATGGCCGTGTTCGTGTCCCTCGTGTCCGTGGCCGTGGCCGCCTCCGTGGCCGCCTCCGTAGCCGCCTCCGTGGCCACCACCGTGTTCGCCCCCGTGGCCGCCATGATGACCACCTTCATGATCATTATACTCTTCGTAGAATTCGTAACTGCAAGGAGGATTTTTAAAATTAAATAAGTGATAGGAAGACTTAAGCTAAAACGAAATGAAAACAAAACTAAAGAAGCTATGTCTTGAAAGTCAAAACGCAGGTGTCATTTAGCAGAAAAATTTGTTTACCAATTATTAAAAATATATTTCACTTAAAATCATAAGGCTATGGCCATGCCCCACTCCAATTTTACGCGGGTCCCGAAAAAGGCAATGAAACGTATAGAACGTGGATGAATTTAACAAAACGCATGCCACCGGCAAAATTTGATAATGGAAATAAACTCTTTTCTTTCTTAATGTTGGGAATTGGCGGCGGGGAAAGTAGAATAGTTGATACTTGAAAGTAGCATAAAATGAGTAGTGTGGCTATTAAAAAATTCAATGGAAAAAGAGTGTTTGAAGAAGCTCAATACAGTGAATCTTGCATCTCGGATATTTTTTTTTAACGGAGATTAACCAACATTGACAATTCGAAAAAAATGAACAAATAATTTCTAAGCCTGATACAAGATACCTCCAGACCATGGACCTACAAAGGATATTATTTAATTATTTTAGCTGCGCAACAGTTAACGTTAAATGGGAACTAAGATCTTGGCTAAATCATTAATAGTCTATCTAAACACCATTCATGACATAATTCTCTCTGGAAAAAAGCGAAACCCAAAAAGTCAAACATCCATTGCTTTTTAAATGAAATGACAATAGATTTGTCCCTTCAAAATAATATAAGACTGCCTTTGTAAAGCATAAAGTCAAATTACCCATGATCGTGATGGTCGTGTCCGTGTTCGTGGTGACCATGTTGACCGTGTTCCCCGTGGCCATATCCACCATAACCATGGTGTCCTCCTTCATGGCCTCCGTAGCCACCGCCTCCGTAGCCACCACCTCCGTAGCCACCGCCTCCGTGACCACCGCCTCCGTGACCACCCCAGCCGTAGTCTCGTTTTCCTACGTCATCAGAGTCATCTTTGGCCTTTTTTATCTCACTCATGAGATTCTCATTGGCATCAGTTTCCTTTTTGTCATCCAAAACCTCTTGTTTCTTTGCTGGGCTCTCTTCACCTTCAGTAGCAACTACCGTGCTTGGTGAATCGGGCACACTGGCTTTTTTAGCCGAGTCAGCATCCTGTAAATCATCAATGATTATTTCAATATAAAGCCAGTAATATGGCTTTGTAAGTGTTGTGCCCTATTCCTTACGGGGGCAAACGCGCCAAGTATGATTCAAAAAATTACATTGAGCTGTGCCAATGACATGATCTGATTTGCAGAGCTTTCCCTGGTACATCTTGCAACGAGAGTATGGTAAGCTAGTTACAGAATTTAGCTTTCAATTACTATATTTTGGATTCTTCAAAATCTTTATCTTTCAAAAGTTGAATCCCAGCTTTCTTCACTATTGATAACAATATAAAACATTTACTGAACATATTTTCTTGACGTTACTCTTTCGTTTCCATCTAGCCTCAAAGCAAAACAACTCTTATGTGTCCGAATACCATGAAAGCAAAGCAAATACCGAAAGAAGCCTTTCGGATCCAGATTCGCCTTGCAACTCAGATTGAGGTGTCAAATAGACTTCGGATTTCAAGAACATAAGGCATATATTATCTATGAGTTTATCCTTCGACATCTTTATCATGCTTATTTTGTAAACAGATCTATAATTTTGCATGTTATCCAGAAAGTTCTTCAATTTTAACCTTATACTGTCTATAAATGGCGCAAAGGAGACTTGGCTAAAAGCAGTATTTTTACCAAATTTCAATTGCATATAAAAATAAAAAATGGAGATACTCACATCTTCAAATTCATCAACCTTTTCTGATTCAGCATCTACAAAATAAGAGGTTTTAAAAATAACTCTGGTTATATATTTTTTTAACAAAACCTTCATGTGAGGCCAGAGTCGCGGGAAATTTTCCTAGCCTGGCAGCTTCCTTTAAAATGCATTGACGCAGGGGCACAGTGGGAGTAATCTTTGGGGGAAAAGGAGTCGCTAAAATTGAAATTCTTCAACAAATTCTGACAAAGTAGCAAAAGTTTAGAATTCTCTAGCAAACTTGTGTATCTTGTGCAAAATTAATCTGAGACAATTTGAATTGAAATGAGCAATACGCTAAATAAGCAAAAAATTGAATTAATATGGTTGAATTGTTGTCCGAGTTCACCATATAGGTAGCGTTTAGCTCCGTTCCTTTACTAGAAAACCCCGCAAAAAGATTTCCCCTTATTAAATGTACTATGGTTGGCATGTAAAACAATAGATTTTAGGCCATTGAAAAGACAAGAGAAATGTCGACATACGTAAATTCCTTATTTACAGAATTTTTCTATTTTACATTTATCAAAGTTGCAAATATTTTCTTGTTTTTTCTCTAAACCCCTCGGGCACAAAGGGTAAAATTAAAACAACTGACCATATTCTCGAAACTAATTCGTCTTTATTAGGACGAGACATGCAATGAATTTTCGAGGAAAGAACAAATGTCTTTGGAAAAGTTTTGGAATTATCGTTATGATGTCATTTTTGAAAATCTTAATCAAGCTATATTTATTAACAAAGACAACATGGTATCTTTAATGAAACAAACAAATTTCAGTTTTAACAGGAGTATGAAAATGTCGGCCTAAAAAGTTGGCCATGCTAATGCCAGGCAATGAATGATCGAGGAAAATGCACAGTTTTCCGGAAAAGGTTTAGGATTATCGTTATTAAGTAATTTTTCCCAAACTTCTTAATAATCAAGCCTTAATAATTAAAAAAGACAACATGATTTTCTTAATGAAACAAACAATTTTCATTTCTAACAAGCGTATGAAATTATCGGCCTAAAATGTTGGCAATGCAAAATTACAAGGTCGTAACTCCAATAGAAATACCCAAATGATCTTCGATAACTTACCTTCTAATTTATCATCGATATCGCTGTCTATAATCTCTGCTGCCTTTGATGAATCGACAATCGACGTCTTCATACGTTCTAAATCGACAATTTCAACTGGGAGCGCATTTGTCCATTTAAAGGCCGAAAGGCCTAGGACAAGAAGGAAAAGAGTAGAACGCAATATCATAATTTTTTGCGTTCGTTCATTAAAAGTTTCCTTATATGAAAATCTTTGAGAATTCTCCTGTGAAAAGTGACTTCACGATCGTTCAGTTGGCCGCGTTAAAATTTAATGAGATGTTTAAGTTGGTAAACTCCAATGAATCGGAGGTCAGTACCTGTGATTTCGGGTGCAAATCTGCTCAACCAAGGATCTAGATTAACAACAAGCCATTTCTGTATTGCAAGGCTACGCAAAGGAAAAAACGGGGGTCTTTTGGCAGAGGCATAAGGACATTTTACAAAAAAACTCAGTTATGTTTTCGTTAGATAGTCTCATAGTTTATAAGCGGGAGGTAAAAAGGTCGATAAGAAAATTTGAAAGTGAATTATATGTGATATAAAATTTATAAATAATGTGAATATGTGGTCGAGTATTATTTGGTTTTTATAAATGATAGACTGATTTCAAACTACGAAATAAGAAGGAAAATTTTGTTGATAGACTTGATAAAAGATTTGTCATATATTACGTCAATAATTTTGCTTCATAAATTACTTCTTATACGCGTAACTAAAAATATTCCCTAAAACATTGCAGATTTCCATCGAAAAAAGAAAAAAGCTTTTATCGGAAGAATGGCGTTTTTTGATTATAAAAGCACATCAAATGTCAGATTTTTTTGACATCATTTCCTTACTTATCTTCAACACTTATCCGTGAACCGTCATAGTGAGGTTAATAGTCTCTCTGTCACCCGATAACGAGGCTTGATATTCCATGTTCTTCATTTGTAATCAGCTATAGGCTCGTACAAACACAACCAGTTTGTGCGATCAATGACCTATCAACACAAAGAATTGAAAGCTCCAAACTTCACATTTCAAAACAGGTGTTTAACTGGAGTTATGTTAAGGGAGTTATCAAACCAAAAAACAATCAGCAAGCAAGATTGCTCTGTTTTGCTTTAATTTGCAGTTAAGGTGGTCTTATACCCTTAGCACGAAAATGCATATGGTCAAGTTCAAATTGTTCTATTTCAGTAAAATCTAAACCTATGTACATGAAATTTTACAATATGTTGAAAAAATGTTCAAATTTTATTTTACAATATATTTTGGATTGGTCATGTGACTAGGGTGTATTTTATGGACTGGAAATGCCGGACCAGCTTCAAACTTTAAGAAAGGTTTTAACTCCAATTTGTAGCTTTAGAGGGATAAGCAGCCATCCAAATGAAAGAGTAAGTAAAGTAGACTTGGATGAATAGAGGAATTTGTTGGCATGGCAACTGTTGCTATGGAAACTTGAAAAAACTGTTTTTTCTGGGTACAGATCTTCAGAATTGACTTATCACAATTTCCTCTATTCATCCCTCTATAAATCATTATCAAAACCTGCTGACAAAATATGGCTGCAATATTTGGAACAGTTCTTGAGATATCCTTTCTTAAAGTTCAAAAAGACCGTTTTTCAGAAACGGCCTTTAAAGTATAGGTATACAGAATTCAACTTTGATTGCAAGTGTTCACATCCTATGGCTTGAATTGTATCCTTTTAAAAACCTTTTAAAGTACAAATCCTTAGTTAATTGAAGCAAAGTTGATCATTCCCTCTTAAATACTAGATTTTGTCATTTTTCTTATGTCTCTTCAACAGTGATCATGGACACAGTGCTTTCGTCAACAAATTTTATTGTCAATTCTTCTGTAGCTTGTCCATCTACTTTGCTACATTTAACTTTGGTATCTGGGACTTTGTATAAACTGAATGATCCAGACAAATAGGATTTCCCAGATTTAGTGCTCTGCTTTCTGAACTGTCTGAGCTTCTGCCTTCTTTTCCTGTATTTTTCTTTACATTTATCTGCTGCTTTCTTTATTCTTGCTTCATTTGCTTTACGGAAACCTCTCAAGGTATTTATTCCAATGTTTTTGACACCCATCCTTGAGAGCACGTTGCCTGCACTAGCTGCACCTACATTCCACTGTAAAATTGAGGCACAAACTGCTGTTTCCAATTTCCTCTTACCACAAAAAACTCGCTTTGGACATTTTGACCAAAGAACATTGTTTAATGATTCATTCTGGTTTTGCGTCAGTCCTTTCAAGCAACGTTGCAAAAGATTACGATCAGAAAGTCTCTCAAATATTGATCTCAACTCATTTCTAAATACAGAAGGAAGACATCTTGATTGATCATATGTGTTGCTTCTCTTCAATAGATCTTTCTGATATTTGCACCATGAAGATTCTCCCTTGGGGCAAAAACGATGCTGAACTTCAAGAGACTCTCCATCATTTTTTATGCAGTGATAGTATATGGCCCATACTGCTTTTGTCATTGATTCAATCCCATTGCTATTATTTCTTATAGCATAACCATAGTAGTTCTGGAAAGAATCAATAACAGCATCAGTTAGTCTCCCACGGCCACCAAGACTTCCACCATCTGATAATTTTCTCCCTTTATTTTTGTTTTTGAAATTGCGTAGAGCAGCCCCCATCCTTTTCTGAATATGACCAATGCAGTCCTCTTTCAACACAAGATATTGCTCTCCATATTTTTGAAAGACTGCATTAGCAACTTCAGCATAAGCAGAAGAATCACCATCACCAACATAAGTAGTGTACTTAAGACCATGCAGTTCAACAGATCTAAGGAACATCATCACAGCTGCATCCTTTTCCATTGATTCAGCAGATTTTTCATGATTTATTGAACATTGAAGTTTATGATGTTCAAACCACTGTTGATACTTTTGAGAATCTTTGTCCCACTTATCCCTTGATCTGCACTCATAACACACTTTTGATCTGACTTCATAGTCCAGAACTTCACCTGTTTCTATGGCAACGATAAAAACTACACCATGAAGGGAAGAAAATCCATAGCGTTTCTGCCATGTTCCATCTACAGATACACTGGCATAAAATGTGTCTGACTTTACATTCATGTTCCTGAAATTTTCATCAAAATTTTTCAATTTCTTCTTTAAATTTTCTGCAGATTTTTTCAGAGCTTCCTGAACTTCTGCATGATATGCATCTTGCAACTTTTTCATTGTATTGTTGAAGGCATTGATACTTAATGGGGGTGGGAGATCTAATGAGCAACAAAGTTTAGATAGACTTTGCAAGCCATTGCCAGTTTCTAAGCCACCTTGAATAAGTCTTATATTGACTTCTGCAGATCCCCTTTCATTTTGCTGCACATTTTGGCTCGTAAAAAATGAAACTATTTGTTCACAGTTTGCACATTTCCAGAACAATTTCTCTACAAGCCCTTGTCTTTTGTTATCCTCTTGCCATAACTGCAGCAGACCTTTTGAATTCTTACAATTCTTGCAAACAGCTATTTTGGCCAAACTCTCTAGCAAATTATTGATACAGACCAACTTGTGTCCATAAGCTCTTCTTGCTGATGAGGAATTCCTGTCATCATTTGAAAAAAGACCAACTTTGAAAGCTTCCCCTCTTGTTGTAATCCTATCAGTATCTTCTTTCAGTAATGGACAGTTACGATGAATTTTTTCGAAGGATCTATTCAGCTTGCCTGGAGAGTTCGAAGCCGTTTCCAAACCCGAGGTCGATGGGCCTAACTCTTCTTCAACAACACTTACTCCCAAATCTTGCTTTCTCTTTCCTCTAAAGATACCTTTCCGACTTTTTCTATATCTTGATTCTTTCTTACATCCAACCATACTCAAATTCGAGAGAGCGTGCCCAACAGTGTCAGTTTTTCTTGAGGTAACAAACTTTTGAGAATTTGGTTTAGTTTTTGAGCCAACCGATTTGCAAGTACTTCAGGTTAAATGTCATAAACTGCCATTCAATTCAATTAGCTGACAATGTCAAAGGTCCTCACAAATATAATAAAAATGATTTTGGGGGGAGGGATTATGCCTTTTTCAGGAGGCTATCCACCCTAGCAACACGAAAAAGTGGTTGCTAAGGAAGACGAAGCAGACTGCTTTCACATTTTTTTTATTTTTCACCATAAAGTAGCTACTTAGACTGAACTTTTTAAACTTAAAACATGCTATGATAGTTAAGGAATGGATAAAAGGCAAAACCTCAATTTTTTAAAAAATTCAGTTTCGTTCGAATTTTAGGGTATAGGACCACCTTAACGAAACAGTGTTAAAAATTGATATGAGATAAGATTCATGGTTCTTTAGCAAGCTATTGTGGGAATTAATGGCATATCTACGAGTAAAAATCAGACATGCTTTATTGTTATAAATAATGCTTTTGCTAAAAGGAAAAACAACACTGATATCCAATTGTTGAAAACCACATACAAATAAAACAAGGCTGTAAATATACAAGTTAAGTTAAGAGTTGTATTACGCCTCAAGAATTTATTACTACCTTGCCTATATAACAAAGTTTAATGACTTGGTCAATAGGCACAGAGAGAAGTGAATATAACATGCTTTTGTGCTTAGATTATCCTTCGAATCGATAAGTACCCCCCGGAGGCCATCTTTGCCAACGGCTGGAGCTTCTCATTGGCACAATTATCGGGCCCCAACATTCATAACTATTCGATTTCTATTAATTATTAGACTTTGGTTATTTAGATCTACACACTTGATTGTTTAGCTCCCACCCCTGTCATCAGATTCTATGTCCCAGATGTAGAGCAATGACAGTATATTTATAAATGAAAAAATTAATTGGGGAACTTTGCCCTGCCAGTGATTGTACATCTTTTATCGATTCCCAAAAAAATCATAGCCAAAAATTTGTAATCTCTTTAACAGGTTGCCGGTGACTTAGACACCAATTTGTCAACATTCATAAACAAAAAGATAAAGGATGCAGTTAAATGAACTGTTTGGAAATTTATGATCTGGTAACAATATCGTTGTTTTTATAAATAATTTATACATATTTCTGGTAGACTTCATAAAATAGAATAAGGTAAATTGGCACATAGTTTGAAAGTTCTATGAAATTAGTGCGTCCAGTGCAAAAATGGTCATAACAGGCAGGCTACAGTAAAATACTTGAAACACATGCCATGTCTTTTTTGTCGTGGTACTGGTTATAAGTTTCATTATCGTTTCCCAAAGTCTGAAGATGTCTTGTAATGTAGCATCACTGGGCCTCAGAAAGCCTGTCAGCATTCGATTAAATGGAACGGAATCGACATTGACAAGGTTCTCTAGCGATCTATTCAAACAGTTGATTTGAAGAACGGTGCGTAAGTGGAAAAATGGAAAATTCAAAGGCAAAGATTGCCCAAGAGCGATTGTTCAGTATTAGATAAAGCTAAGTAAAGATCTGAAGGAAGAGTACAAATAAATGTTGTCTGGACCTTTTTTGCATTGACCTTTTCTAGAAATTTCAAAAATCAGAGATATAACTAAATAATTCTGCAAGATACAGTGCCAAAAGAGAGAGTTGTTAACTCTTAATAAAGAGCCTTGAGGAATGGTTCTTTCTGGAAGATAAAATAGAGGTATAGCCTCAAGAGGCATTGAATATTACTGATATATAAAAAAAACGGGAACTTCGGCTGTAGGGAAAAGTTGACAGGACAGTAAGACTGATGAGCGGTTTTTGACGGACAGTTAGTAAAGAGTAAGATCAAGACCATTGAGGTTTTAATAAAGGCTCTGTCCTCTTTAAATATATTAGAGGGAATTTCAACCTAATTGGAGGCACCCCTAGAGAATGGTTGTGCAATTAATGAAAGAAAGTATCGATAGGACGTACGGAAAAGATTATTTTGAAATATGGCACCGGAATGAAAGCATAGTTAATTATTTGTTTGGCTCATTCCATCATTTGTCATGAAAAGCTTGTTCCGAGAAAAGTGAGAAGAAAACAAATTCGTTATTTGTATGACCAGGAAGTAACAGTATGTGCAACATATACAATAGTGATATAAAGCTAATGTCAAAAAGTCCTGAAACACTTCTCTTGAGCCTTAACCATTTTAAGCCTCCTTTCAACGTTCACTAACTCTGTTCCACAACTCATCTTTCCTCCCTGCCCTAGAGCATGTAAACTTACTTTACCCTAGAGCATCTAAAATACTTTACCCCTTTCTTGCTTCCCAAATTATTTTAGCCTATCTTCATTTACAAAGTAAAATCTGCCCGCTGTCTCCTAAGCCTCTCCCTTTTTCCCTGGCCACTAAGCATTATCCAAGCCTCGCCCGAACATTACAAAATATCTCAACCTAAAAATAGCAGCATTTTGATACCTTATTTCACAGTAGAATCGAGTAAAGCAAAGTACCACTGAAAACATGTGAAAATTTGAAGAAACCCATAAATTCCAAATAAAGCATTCAGAAATAAAACATTGGAAAATCGCAGCTTCTGTTTAGAAAAAAAGGCAAGGAATAATCTTCAGATTTCTCTTTTCATCCCATCTTTAATCCGTCTAAATTCTTACACTTTTTACTTTCTATTCCCAAAAACTGTCACCTAAACTTGGCTGCAAATCAAGCACCCATCAACATACATTTACAAAAATTGGTGCTGGAATATTCAAAATTGTAACTTGATCATATAAGATTGTTGGAGAGATTTTGGAGCCGTTTTTTTTCTAAATTTGCATTCCTGATGATGACAATCGAAACCTGTTCAACCTTCATAATAATTTTCTGTAGAAAGACCTTAACAGATACAATATGTCTATTTTTTGAATAAGCAGGAAGGAACAGTAGCACTTCAGGGACATTTTGAATCTAATTTATTGGATGAATATTATTGGAAAAACTTCTAGAGAGGTTACGATAACAAACAAAAGAGCTTATCTAAAGCTCAGGAAACAGAGAGATATGATTAACAACCTGTGGGTATAAGAATGTAGCTAAAAATGTCAGCAAGTTTCTGGAAAAATAATACTCAATCTATTAGATTTTCTTAAGAATCTGTACATGTATAAGAATGGGTTGCTGTGTCCGGAAAAACTTGTCTTCTAGAGAAGTTACGATAACAAACAAAAGAGCTTATTTAAAGCTCAGGAAATAGAAAAATATGATAAACAGCCTGTGGGTATAAGAATGTAGCTAAAAATTTCAGCAAGTTTTTGGAAAAATAATACTGAATTTATGAGATTTTCTTAAGAATCTGTACGTGTATAAAAATGGGTTGCCGTGTCCGGAAAAACTTGTCTTCTAGAGAAGTTACGATAACAAACAAAAGAGCTTATCTAAAGCTCAGAAAATAAAAAGATATGATAAACAGCCAGTGGGTATAAGAATGTAGCTAAAAATGTCAGCAAGTTTTTGGAAAAATAATACTGAATTTATGAGATTTTTATAAGAATCTGTACGTGTATAAAAATGGGTTGCCATGTCCGGTACAAACTCGAAAGGAGCACGAAATTCTGTTCTCGTTCTGAATAGTTACGTACGTTCAGTTGTTGTTGATCGGTTATATCTTGGCAAAACGCTTCTATGATTCTATTCATTTGGGTTTACGGTTATGGCTATAAGAGCAGGTACTTGCCCAAAGTTCAGTGGTCGGCAATAGAATCTGCCCGTGCCGGGGTCATGAGATCATCTCCCAGTCTCAAGTTTGTTCAACAGATCTAGTTAAACTAAAAACGATTGGCCTCGAAATTTCAATTTTTCCTTATTATAATGATTTGATACAATACAAATGAAGTTTTGCATTCACGTGGAATTATAGAGGGAAATATAACACAAAGACGCAATGGCCAGGGCAGCAAGCTTATGGCTAGCTGCCGTGTTTTGTTTTAACATTTATATTTGTTATAGTCTGGTGGAAGGGTTACCACAAGGATCAATTATAAGAGCTAAGAGAGAGCTTGATGAGAACTTTGAAGATGCTCTTTATGAGAAAGAAGAGGGCTTGTTATCGAAGCGCGAAGCTAATGAACAGGAAGACAAAAGCCCGGAGAAAGGCGAAACAAAGGCTAGCGTAACAGAGGAGAAAGCTAGCGAATCTGCCAAGAAAAGCGAAACTGGCGGTAATGTTGCTATCGATAGCGAAGAAAGCATCGAAGCTAAAAGCAATGAAGCCAGTGAGAAAGATAACGGCGTGGAAGCTTCAGCGGCGAAGGATGAAAAACCGACAAAAGCCGAGGAGCAAGACGCAAAGGCGGAAACAAGGCATAATGTCGAAGGTAAAAACGCAGATAACCTTAGTAAAAATTTATTAAAGAAGGGCATGGACGCAAATGTTGACAATCCGCTGACTAACGGAGACTTGATAAAAAAATACGACCCTTCTACGGACACTAATAACGGTGATATGCTAGGCATGTCGAAGCGTACTGACATTGTTACGAAGCCTAACGACGTCGCTGACAGTAACACGAAACCGGACACTGACGCAAAGCGTAACGAGCTACCGAAAGTTTCACAGACTGAGGAGACTAACAGTGGACTTGAAAAACGACAAACAATCAGCGAACCAAAATTATTTAAACGTAGCGAAAAGGAAACACATGATATACAAGAAGCAGGCGCGCCATCGCATTTTCAAGTTGACGATAAATCAGCTGATTTAGAAATTAACGCTAATTCAGCTGGAGTAAAAGTGAAAGCAAAACCAGCTTCTTTGCAAGTTGTATCTAGGCCAGGACAACACGGAGCCCCCATGATGCCATTTATGCCCCCTCCAATCCCCGTTATGCATCATATGCCTCATCACCACCGACATCATCATCATCATCACAGACGTCACCATTATGAGCATCCTGTATTTGTTGCACCATTTTACCCACATCATGAGGAGTATATGCCTTACGGGCATTTTGGGGGACATGAGGGAGGTTTTGAAGAGCCACGCTACTTTTCCTCTTACCATCATGGAGAAGAGGGTTATGGCTACGGGCATCCTCGTTGGGGTGAGGGCGATGGTGATGGTTACCATTTGTATGGGCGCCATCATGTCGATGGGGGCTTATATGGTCGATCGACAGTAGAAACTGCCCAAGACCCTCGTCTTTCAACCCCCGCGGCATTAGATGGGTTTAACTCAGGCATAGCCTTACCAGAAATGGACCAACGTTTTATGAGAATAAGCCATGTTAATGGTCCTAACTTTCGGTTCCAACATTTCGAAGATGATTTCAAGGGCGGTCCACCGACCATGGAGGAAGAGCAACTTGCAGCTCAGGGCGAGTACAGATACCACGTACCAAGAGGCCCTATCCCTGAAGAAGAAGAGGAGCATCATCATTCACGGCGATTGAAACGAAGATACCAACCAGAACACAAGTTTCCAGATTTCGCACCAAAGGAGGCTAGGTAAGGCTACTTCGCATAATAATCGTACTTTTTATCTTCATCTATACACAGTATTAATGCAGCAACATGTGAAAATGAACACTCGTGATAGTATGAGCCAAAACAACTATAAGACATTGCACCCTGAGTATCTCCAATATAACCAGGGTTACACAGATTAAAGTGTTGGCATGGAGGAGCTCGCTCCTCCGCTTCTTCCACTTGAGTGGCTCTGGTACCCAGAATAAAGACAGTATTACTAGCACTAAGATAGAATAGAAATTGTTTGATTTTGTTTAAACCACTTGCCAAATAGGTTAGCAGATCATTTATGATTCTTAAAATCGCAGTAAAAGCTATACCTAATTGCATAACTATCATCTATAGAAGGAAGGTTTTCTTTATGATAAGCTATATCATTAGGTTAGACCTTTGCTCTTCTCTGTGCTACAAAGACTGAATTTTGAACACATATGACAAGCAATGCAACTCAATGCAGATCGCATTGTGTAGAATATTTATTATACACTTTTTGTGTAGAGTAAGACGGTTCGAGTTGCAACTCCAAGTTTTAAGTTTAATCCAATCACCAGACAACATTTTAATGTTCAAGGTGGAAGATGAAATGATAAGAAAGATGGAAAATATTTGAAAGAGCATCAGTAAAAAAGATAATTATTAGGTTCCTTCAAACTTAGGCCCATTATTGCCAAATTTGACAAAAATAGAGGAGAATTCATTGCGGCAACGGTGGCAGCACAAGTAATGTAAATTTTATTGTCAACACTTGTACACACTCAAACAGCAATGACACCGTTGCATAACAAGATGTGCAAGAAGTAGCACAAAACGACATTTATCAAAATTTTCTTTAAAGACCTGATCTATGTTTGCGAATAAAGTAAATTCTAACATACACAGTATGAATATTGAGAGCTGGCAGGCCATTATCATTATGGGTCTCTAATTGTACATAATAAAAATCAATTTATTGACATTGAATAGCAAGCAAGGCTTCAAAATTAGAAATTGATTTCTTTTAACAAAAATAAATGGCAATACTAAATCTTTGCATTTACTGCAAAGCTGGAAATAAGAAGGCGTAAAAGGGCTGCAAGAGGAATATTTAGCTCCTGTTATTGATCAAATAAGCACAAAATTGCATTATTTAAGTAGAAATCTTAGGCCAGGTTTGAGATCAAACTTATACATGCAAAATGCGAATGTATTTACAATGAGTAGCACTGCTAGAGCCAAGCGTAAACTAAGCTAAATTTCCTTGTATAGCATTTGGAAGGTGGTCTATAATAGGTAGTTACATGGTTTATTGGTTCATTTTGTAAACAAATGTATAATCCGCAAAGCAGGTTTTGGAATTTTTTCTTTATCAACATCTTTGCGTTATGATTCCAAAAATGACACAGAACTACTTCTTTAATGCAAAAAAGCTAAATTATCTATTTCTTAACAAAAATAAAAGCCCAGCTAAATTTTTTTCGCTAAGATTCTCTAAAGACACTGTACCTCTTTCTAAATCTAAATCATAAATGTTGTTGTGGTTGAGCAACACGACTGCACGCATTGAAGTTTGTTTACTGTGGTTCCTCATTGTCTAAAATTTGCAGTTGCCATTGCCTGGTACGCCTGAGATTCGATTATCTGAGGCTCACGCAAAAGAACACGAGACAAGAAAAAAATATTTTATTTATAAAAATTAGACCTTAAGAATCTTTTGGATGAGGCGTAATTTGACTTTTGGAATAGGATAAATCAGGTCTTTCCAAGCCCTTACTAATATTGCCGATGATATTTGTACAATGGAGTTTGAAGAACTGTCCATGCTGACAATTTCCGACGTTCTAGTCCTTTGTCCATTTGTGCAAATAAGCAGTGGTGTCGCCACGGGGTGGACTGGGGTTGACATTTCCACCCCAGTTTTCCCAGAAGTCGATTTTCTAATTTCTCGAAATCCGTTGAAAACCCTTGGGGGGGGGGGGGGGGTTGGTAGGTGGGCTGATCAGATCGATTTCGACTTTCGAACTTGCAAAGAAAGCTGCTTGAGAAAGTTGCTTGCTCAAAGATAGAAAAAAGATAAATTATTGTACTACATTACGAAATAGATAAAAAATACTAAAAAAACATTTCCAAGAGTCGCCCCATTTTTTTTTGCGCTGGCAACGCCACTGCAAATAAGCGTTACTTTAGGACTGATTTAGTGATGAAAAGGAGTTTAATTTCAGCAATGTTTCAAAATGGGATGTTTGTTTGATTCTTAATATGAAACGATTAGCTTTTGAGAATCCATTGGCTGAGTTACCGGAGTAAACATTGTTTATTTGTTTACGATCACTATACAGTAAAATGCACCAAAAAACCCAAAGGCTTTGTTTATTACTGGTAACCAGTAAATCTTTGATTGACCTGATACAAAATCAGGGTAACGCTAGAGCAAGTCAAACATCAAAAGCTCAGTGAAGGTGCAAGTTATTTTTCAATGAATGGTTTGTTTAAAGCAATTGAGACTGCATTTGTACCTGTAAGTAAGCAAAGGACAACGGGTGCCTGAAGCAAGAAGACAAGTCCATTTTTCAAAAATGAACTAATGCTGTCAGATACCAGTGAATCGACGTCAAAATATGGCAAATAGGGGGCTAATGTTTTTCTAGAGGGTCAACAAAAGCAAGTTTTTAGAAATAAGTGGGTCAAAAACCCAACAATGTTAAAATGCACCAGCCATTGTCCCATATAAACAAAATTTATAAAGTCGAGCATATGCTCTTTTAGGAATGCTCTCTTGAAATCATTCCATTGATAAAGAGAGGGAAATTCATTTTTCAGGTAGGGGGCAAAACCTCCAAAAAGAATCAAATTTGCTAACAAATGAAAAAATTTACAGGCAAAAGCAATAAAAACTATGTTGTAACCAACAATTAAGCAGATAATTTAATCGCAATTTCCGTCACTGCATTAACATAAAGATGCGAGGAGGCAGTCAGATAATTTTTCTACTCAGGAACTGGATCAACTATTACATGGAGTGGGGGACCGGGGTAAATCTTATCTAGATGATTTTGGGACTTGGAGTCAACAAAACTCAATAAATAACATGGTCCTCCATGCAGAAAAATCGTTCTTTTCAACTAAACAATTTAACATAGACTTTGATCACAACAATATATTCGTTTAAAGGAACTCTTTTGAAGAAACTTTGTTAAGATAGGGCCATTCAGAGTATAAGATCAGTGATCCACTACGAACTTGAAAGCTCGCATGTCAGATCAAGTAGTTCTTTATCAGCAAAACCACAAGCCGTAAATCTATTTCGTTTTCCAAGTCACTGTCATTCTGAAACACTCGAAAGGTATTCCCTTCTAAAATCTATTGAAGTTGGTTATTTCCAAAAAATGTCCCCTAATGAGATTAAGTTAATCTTCTCAAGTCTGATTTCAAATTTGCAAAATTTCTACAAGCTCGCAAAACTATTATTTTGAAAAGTGTACCCTTCCCTAATGAGTAAGGTTTTCACGCTAAGGAAGAAGTTTATACCTCAATTGCGTTGATTTTTGCTATTGTCAAAAGGCTTGTTTAAAAAGCATTGTATTTATCGGTAGATTTTCCCTTTGCAGTAAGGACAGAAAACGGAAAACGCATGCAAAGAATATTTGCTCAGTATTAGAATATTTGACATATTTGCTCACTTTCTTACCTCAAATTTTCTTGTACTAAGTCGCAGTCATTCTGAAAAACACTCTTTTTCATAAGAACCAGTAAATTGAGATTAAGGCTAGCTGTTCTTAATTTTCTCGAAAATCTGAGGCTGGATTGCTCTTGAACTATTCTTAAATTATCAGGATGTAAGCTGTAAAATTGCTAGCTTTTGCGCCTTAAGGAAGTGTTCAGGCCTTGTTTGCCAACAAAGTGAGTGAGACATCTTTTACTTGCCGACAAGTTCACCGAAAAAGCACCCCTAGATGGCAAAACGTCCACGTTTTTTAAATGAAGTCTTATACTGGGGTTTCACCACATTGCTCAAAAATGCATTTCACAGTAAATCAGCCCCAGCATGTTCTTTATTTGTTCTTAGCATTTGACCAATTTTGAGGCTTGCGTTCTTACAAAATTCTTCTTATAAAAAAGTTTGTACTCGAATGGTATTTCCATTCTAAAAGTTTTAAAGCTCTCCCTTCTGCTTAATTCAAGTACATTTTTTCTTGCCTATATTCTGTGCTGGCATTTGTTTAAGTCTCATTGTAATTTCTCTTCTTAGAAAAATAAGCATGATCAAAATTTTCTCTATAAACAAAACGCCTTGTTTCTCCATTCTTTGCGTTCCATTTGAAAAAGGCACCAAAATAGAGTGAAAGGCGAACACTATCGGAGCAGTTTTCTATCCAAACTACGAAGAGAAAATCTGTCGTTACGTAGCTTGATGAGTGCTAAACTGGTATTCTACCATCAAAAGTTATTTTTCCGGCATTTCTTGTGTTTAAAATGAAAACCATATCTCTAATACACAGAAGAGCTAACCCTATCGCTTATCAATAGAGTAAGAACCAATCTTATTGTATAACTGAACAAAGATATCCTTTTCTTTTTTAGATATGAGAGTCCTAGAGAGAGATTCGAGATTCCAACCCTTGATCAAAAACCTTTTAGTCCCGTTGGAATGCCTGAACTCCCTGCTGGGGATGATTCCGTGGGTGCCCCAATGACAAGCCAGATAACTGATGATGGTAGAGAGGCTGTAAACCAATTAAATCAAAACGAGGCATCTGGAATGCCCATGCCCGAAGTACACAGTGATACACAGTCACCACTTAGCGAGCAACAAGAGGCTGAGAAAGAGGATCACGAGTACCGAAGACTCACCGAACAGCAAGAACATATGTATGAGCAAATACAAAAGATTAAGCCAGCAGGCGATACGGCAACTGCCGGCGACAGCATTGACCCGCACATGGACATGGAACGAAATATGCATGATGAGTACCATCACAACGAAAAGAGAACGAGAAAAGACGAAAATAAACGAGGTGTCGTATCGAATACGACTTCATTGAATAACTCGTCCGGACATACGCCGATTGTGAACGATCAAGCTCCAAGTGGCAATGCAGCCAAACAAGCCACAAATAATCGCAATACTGCAAAGACGTCGGACAGTAAGACAGCAAAAAAGAAGAGTGGTGTAAAACTAAGTGAAAAAATTAAGAAACTGAGAAAAAAATCAGAGGTTGAGCGCCGAAGTACTGAAAACAAGAAAGCTGAAAAGAAATCAGTCCTCAAGCCAGAGAAGGAAAAAGAACAAAAAGCTGGGAGGAAGAATGTCGTTATTGTAAATAGACCCCCAATTCTTTATCACCCCCCACCTGAAATCTACCACAGACCACCGATTGTTTTGCATCGTCCACCAATATTGGTACAAAGACCAGCCATCGTTTACCATCAGCCTCCAGTCATAGTTCATCGTCCAGCCGTGCTTTACAGACAACCACCTCTGGTGTTCCATCAACCACCCCCCGTCATTAGCCAGCCTATGCTCCATTCGCAAGATACATTCACAACTCGTCCAGCACTTCAACATGTAGGATCTAAAGTTATGCCTGCAGGCACAGTGCTTGGTATCCCCCCGGCTTCAAGATGGAATCCAAATGCAAAAATGGTCGTTGATTCTGACCGCGATACAGGTTCAGTTTTACAAGATGATGATGATGATGATCATCAGGCTCTTGGAGGTAATGTGCTCCTCGGGCAGGCGCATACAAGACAGCTTAGTTTTGACAGCGAGGAAGATACTATAGGTGAACAAAAATCTGGCATACCAACTACAAAACACGCCAAGAAAGCACACAAAAAAGGCTCCCTCCCTCATCATAGAGCTGAATCTCACCAAAAAGTAAAACGAGAAGCACCCAAAGCAAATGCAAACGAAACTGCACCGAAAGTAGAGAAAGAGCCCGCTTCTGCACCAAGCCAGAACAATACTAAGAGAAGTGAAACGTCGACTGCCGTAAAACAAGGCAAAAAAGGAACCAAGAAAGACGTTGTTGTAAACCGCCCACCCATTATCTATCATCCTCCTCCAGAAATCTACCACAGACCAGACATTGTTATCCATAGACCACCAATTGTTATACATAGGCCACCCATTATCTATCATCAGCCCCCTGTAATTGTGCATAGGCCTGCCGTTGTTTATCATCAGCCGCCGATTGTCTTCCATCAGCCTCCACCTGCAGTACAACAGCCTCTGTTATATTCACATGATACATTCGTCGTCCACCCAAGCTATGTTGCACAGCATCTTGGATCTATTTTGAGGACAGCACATCATTACGTTGGCCCACCTAGGCTTTTGACTCATTTAGGACATCCACTGTTCAACGGAGAACAAGGCAGTGAGGAACACTCATACCCTCAAGAGACACATAGCTTCGACCTCTCACATATGGGAGGAGAAGAAAGCGATGCTATAGGAGGACACAACGGTTTGGGACTTTTAGGGCACATGGGCGGACTTGGAGATGATGCTCACTTTGGGGGTCTAGGTGGCTATGATGAATCCCACTTCGGTGGAGAAGGGCACCTTGGAGGAGAAGGACACTTTGGAGGAGAAGGACATTACGGCGGAGAGGGTCACTTCGCAGGAGAAGGACAATTTGGAGGACAAGGACACTTCGGAGGAGAAGGACAATATGGAGGGCAAGGACACTTCGGAGGAGAAGGACAATATGGAGGACAAGGACACTTCGGAGGATATGGAAGGATAGGTGGAGATTCTCATTTTGGAGGCGAAGGAAGCCTGGGTTTCTTAGGCAATGGAGTTTCAAGAGGAACATTAGAAGGCAATGATGCAACTGCTGAGGGATATGAATCAGAACAACGTGGAGGCTTCCTTGGAGGACTTGCAAACTTCGGACGCTTTGGAGGAGGATTGGCTAAAAGATCTCACGTAGAGCATGCAAAGAAGAGGAGTAGACAAGAAGGTACAGTGAAATACCAGGATATTGCGGGTTCTGCTGATCTCGAGCACCAAGACCCTGTGAATGTTTATCATAGTACTATGACAGCAGGGCATGTGTTAGGATTATCGGGACATGGAGCTGATGCAGCTCATAGCATTTACGATACAATGCTTAGCCATGAAATGCATGACCAGCAGGCAGCCATGCCAATGCATACGTCATTTGAAAGCCACGATGCACACTACACGGGCGCTTACCATACAGACGCCCCAATGCCTGTAATGGACGCTGCGATGCATGTCGAAGGCGCACCAACGCATATTGTTGAAACAAATCAGCAAATCGTGCACCAGCCTGTGGTGCTTCAGCATGACCCCCCTACGGTGCTTCACCCCGTTTACCATGAGATTGATTCCACTTCGAGTCATTCATCGTCAGAGGGGTATGTCCCAGACGAGGGCTCTGCAACCCATTATGTCCATTTCCATCCCCTAACTATCCACCATCACCATATCCATCACTTCCATATTCTCAAGCCCGATGACGAATACACAGTTGACGATGAACCAATTCATGTTCACCATAGTCATCATGAAAAAAATCAAAAACATAAACACAAAGTGACACATTTGCATTTAGTAACAGACCATGACCCAACAGTGAAGAAAAAATCTGAAGTGCGCCGGTCTTCAGAGGGTGCGGAAGGTACGCTAACAGCTTTCTAACACTTGCAATCTTTCTACATTCATTGCTTTGCTGAGAGATCTTACTATTTCTCTCACCAACATACTCTTTCTAACTAGAAGATGACCTTGAGAAGTTGATCGAGCTAGGTAAACAAAGAATTTGAGCTGTGCTCTTAAAGAAACCTAGAGTCACTGAATGATTATCGAAAGTAGTCCTTTTTGTAGCCCATACAAAAATAGGCACTTTCTTGCAACTGGGTAAAACTATGAATTTCAAGTGCTTTTTACAACAAATAAGACTATACTACATTATATAGAAGGTGTAAAGTTATGACTGATTTAATTAGCACAACGGGAGTACTACTTTACGATATCGGCAATTTTTGGGCATCTAATAAAGAATAATGTCTAATTAAGTTGGAAAAAGTTATTAGACTTAAAATTCTGAAATAGAATCCTACCTATGAACTAACCCAGTTACTAACACCTCTTCTTTGACTCCATCCATACACCGGGCAATCAATCAAACTTAAGGCCGATTTCCATTTGGCATTTTTTGTGCGAGCGGGCGTAGCGCCCAAATCTGAGCATGCGTAGCTAACTCTGCTGTCAAGTGGCCGAGCGCACAAAAAAGTCGAGACCCTATCAAATTTCTGGCGCTCACAGCGGACGCAAAATCGAGACCACTTGATTTTAACTACGCATGCTCAGGTTTGGGCGATACGCCCGCGCGCACAAAAAATGTCAAATGGAAATCGGCCTTTAGTCAAATTATGAAACTTTTTAACGAAAAAGCGCAAACGTTTAGGACAGCAGTCATGAACGCGACACAAATCACTTCTTTGACATATCATGCCTTTTTGTAATTCTTTTAATGCTGTTTTATTTATGTCGCTTTAGCATATAACAAAGGATAAGAGTTAGGTTCTGTGATAAATGTTTCGAAAATTGTCTCCTAAATGAGAATATTTAACAAAATTTTCCCGAAAAATACTGATTTTATAGGTAGTGCATCTTACAATTACCAGGTGTTATATGTAACAAGTTAAGCAACAGAAAGTTATAAAAGTTTCAAAAATTTTTGGTTCCTTTCCTTCAGATGTGTTTGGAAAGACATATTCTTTGCAAAGATGCAAAAATTACCTTCAAATAAATCAAATATAATTTCGGAGTTCACTGGTAATCTAAAAAATAACCTCTCGAAGATAAAAAGGACCCTAAAGGGATCAAATCTCTATTTTGGGATTATTTTGATACAAGTTTTATGACTCTGTAAAATTTGACGAGTGACATTACTTTATTTTCAAAAAACGTATCTTATCAAAACAAGTAGGCCCGGAGAAAAATTCTCTAAAATAGCTGCCAGTATTTTTGAAGTTTGACTAATTTATATTCTTGAAGACTCGTTGCTAACAATGAGCCATTGCGCTACGCAAGCATCCCATAATGCATTTTCAGGCAGTCTGAAATCAATCATGGTTAATCCGTAGAAGTTTACTGCCACTGTTTGGATTGTCGCCTGGATAATTTGCCACCCTCGCAAAGGCTCATTGTTAGCAATGAGTCTTTAACAAGGAGCTTTTTTAATGTTGATAATTCATTCTCAGGTATTCCAGATTTGGCCAATTACATAAATGGCGCATTGGGGCCTGAGGATGCTCAACACCCGTCGCAGGAAGAGCAGGGTGAAATTGAAAAGGGAATCGCACCTGAGCGTGATGCACCCCTTCTGGATTCTGCATCGCCCGAAAAGGAAGAAATGTATTCAATGGAAAACACACAGGCATTCCAGCCAGTCATGCCTGTGCCTGTTCAACGCTTTGAAGGGATGTCAAGCAATATCTTTGGAGGTATGGTACCAGTTGGCCCAGGCTCTTTCCCTGTACCAGGAACAAATGACGGATATGGTGGAAATGCAGTTGTCAGATCTCATGTTCCTAATAAGAAATCCAAAAAGAAGAGCAGCAAAAAGGGGAAATCAAAGAAGATGAAGGACAGCCAAAAGAAACAGTTCATCGATTGTGAGTTTTCATTTATGAATATTTTATCATTTACCTAGTAAATCGATGGCATGGTTAGCGCCGCAGAAAACAGAAACGACATTGCTCAGCCAGATTTGAAAAAATAATTTTCAAAACTCTCACAAAATCATTTATGATTTCATTGTTGAGAAAAATGTGAATTGTAATACCACAAAAAAGGAAGGTGATTCAGGACTCTGATGATAGGGATTTTCTCATTTTGTCCTTGTTTCTAGAAAGAGGTTTTGAAAAAACCAGTACGAAAATTGATATGCGTTAATCTTTTGGCAGCAATATATCTAGAGCAGGCCTGACAAGAAAGGGGGCAGAGACTGAGAAGAGAGGGGAAAGAGGCTGAGAAGAGAGGGAGGGAGAGATTGAGAAGAGAGGGAGGGAGAGGCTGCGAAAAGAGATCAGGGAGATCAAGTCTGCTGAATTTAGTTTTGACAGAAAACCGGTTATAAAGCAAACCAGTTTTCCTAAGGGTACAAGGTCTGGGAAGGATGAGTTGTGGGAAGGAGATAGTGAATTTGGCAAGGAGATTCGGAATTGGTGAGCGCAGGGGAGAGGGTGGGGCTATTTTGGTGAATTTGACGTATCTCATTGGACGAAGCATCTCTAGTTTCCTAGTCTATGATAGTATCGGTATAAAATTGATGGGTCAGCAAGACAACGCTGGGTTGCAAGAAGCTGGGGAAACCTTGTAAGTTGCTGATGAATCGGTAGTATTTGACTGAATTTGGTCAAGATAACAAAGAAGATAGAGCTCGCCACCCAAATATGAGAGAAGTACGCCAAAAAGATGAAATTGAGATTTGTAAATTGTTAAAAGTTTACGGGATGAGAAGAATTTATATGCTTTGAAGAGGGACCCAAACTTTTGAGATAAATAAATCATTCTATTTAATCAACTTGAAAAGTGAACTTCGTAACTAAAATCGGACATCACCCCGCCCCTGAAAATTTTACTTTAATTCAGACAGGAGCAATGCCATGTTAAGTTGCCAAATTGTGCTAAGATTTCTCTTTATTTCAATCAAATATTTATCAAAATTGTATTCTTTCACGTGCTCTTTACCAAATATGTCATCTTCTCCATTCAACCTTCTAACATATACATTACATTTTTACACTACATTTCTCCTCCCACTTTTCAGTTTATCACTCCAGCTTTCCAATTTCCTTGCATCTGGTTTTCAATACTTACTACTTCCTGTTTGTGCGAAATATTTCTCTAAACGCCTTATTTTAACCAATCTTTCTTTGTTTGTCAGTTCTTCTTTACTCGCATTCATTCTTGTTCTCTTTAACTTTAATTCAAACATAGCAAAACTCAAAACACTTAGGGCTAGGATATGAAACTTTGCAAACATAGCCTCATTTACGTCACTTTACTTTTTACAGCTCACATTGGTGGACAAGAAGGCATTCAAACTGGCGGTAGCTATGGCGGTGGCTTTGGCGGTGGTCTCGGCGGTGGTCTTGGCGGTGGTCTTGGCGGTGGCCTTGGCGGTGGCATTGGCGGTGGCATTGACGGTGGCATTGACGGTGGCATTGGCGGTGGCATTGGCGGTGGCATTGGCGGTGGCATTGGCGGTGACATTGGCACTGGCCTTGGCGCTGGCTTTGGCGCTGGATACGGTGGTAGCTATGGTGGTGGCCATGGTGGTAGCTATGGCGGACATGGTTTCCAAGGAGATGGTTTCGTAGACCATACTTTCACTCCGATAGGACATGACTACGGGCATGTGTATGACGGCCACCGCATGGTGGAGGACCATGGTGTCGATACCGTGTACCACAGGCCACCTATGGTTATTCGTCGCCCACCTGATGTTATCAACAGGCCTGATATAGTTTTTCACAGAGCACCAATCGTTGTGCACCAGCGGCCAATCATTTACCATCAAGCTCCTGTTGTTGTTCATAAGCCACCAGTTGTCATCCATCAGTCCCCTGTCGTGGTCCACCCGGTAATTCACCATCATAAATTTGTGACACATCATGTACATGACCTGCACGTTGTACCAGTGGCACATCATAATCACTGTGGTTGCCATGGCAAAAAGGACTGCATTTGCGATACAGCTAACGATGAAGTGAGTGATGACGCAACTGAAGTCGCTGATGAGACGACTGAAGCAAAGAAGAAGTCAACTAGCCCAAAGAAGGAAAGCAACAAAGAAGCGAGGAACATACGGTCGCTCGTTGAAAATATCCAAAACGTTATCCGTGAAAAAGTACGCAGAGAGGTAAGTCATAACCTACACCACTTATAAACTCTTTTTGCTAAAGACATAGGCCCCAACAGTTTGCATTGAGGTTACAAGGTAAAAACGTCCGAGGAAATAATTTTTCTAGATTGATTTACGTGGATCTCGACTCGAGGTGACATATGAACACATGAAAGTAGAAGAATTGCTTTATCGAATTAAGACTTTTACAGATTTTATGGTTTACTTTTTTAATGGATTTCTGTGAAAAATAACCGGTCACTTTTGGTCGTAGTCCTTTTTTAAGTTCTAAGAAGATAATGTTTTTAATATGAAAACCTATTTTAAACATGGCAGCTGTTCAAAAAGCAATTGGTTTGACCGTTTGGTTTTAGGTTAAAGAAACAGCCGAGCCAAAGACAAACGCCAAGAAAGCATCAAAAAAGACCTCTGTTCCAAAGTCAAATGAAAAGGGGGCGGACAAATTCAAGACAGGTAAGAAGAAGAAGAAGGATGTTGTAGTGAATCGACCACCGATCATCTACCACCCTCCACCAGAAATCTACCACAGACCTGATATTGTCGTACACAGGCCACCTCTATTGATTCATCGTCCATCGATCATCTATCATCAGCCACCTGTTATTGTACATCGCCCTGCTGTTGTCTATCATCAACCGCCATTGGTCTTCCATCAGCCACCACCAGCCGTTCAACAGCCGTTGCTTGTCTCACATGACTCCTTCGCTATGCATCCATCAAGTTCCTACACCCACATGGGCTCCGTTGTAAATAAGATAGGTGCATATGTTGGTGTACCCCACGGGCCTATACTCGGGTACCCTCATAATCAATTTTATGGACCAACTGGATATGCACATGGCGCTGGAAGCTACCCAGACTTTGGACAGCCAATGTCATACGCAGGTTAATAGTCGTAATGTTTTTTGCATTATCAGTACACGTTACGACAATATCAGGTCCAGTGGCGTGTCTGAGGAGTGGCAGATATGGCAGAGGGTTGGGAACGATTAACTGCTTATGCCTCAAATCGTTTCTGCAAATGAAAGACAATCTTAAGGGATTGAAAGAAATCTTAAGGGAAGAAAAAAATGAAAGACTGCCTAGAGGGAAGCGGGATTGAAGAACAAGCCATACCTGCTATTTCCTGTAGATATGCCACTGATAAAAGTTAAATTGGTATTAATGAAGCCTTTGCAAACCAAATTGTCTCAAAGATCTACTTGCATTTAATATTAGTTATGGTTATGCGCAAGTTAATATGTCTAAAATGACAGTTTTGAATCCTTTATTGGTAAATAAACATGAATTTAAGATAAACAAGTAAATGATGACGAACATTGAGATGTAAATCACAAATGAATAATGCCAAAAAGACAAAAAGAAATACTGGCAATCTTACTTGCTTAAAGAAGTGACAAAATGCGATTGGCTTGGCACTTCGATCCTTTCGATGCCATTATTGTGTATCAAAGCAATGAAATTGACTCTAAAATTGCAAAACGTCAGTCCATTTAGATGCATTGCTAATTATTCGGATTCAAAATATTTAAGTTTAAAAAAGCAACATTACTTTACTTTAAACTTATATTCAAACCACAATGAAATCTTATTTCAATTTAATTAACTATCGTTCTATTAGATTTCAATATTTTATCACTCATCTTCATAACATATTTTTTTCAAGGTCCTAATGGTCACGGAGCAGAGGGAATGCATGGGGAAGCACATGGATTCGACGGAGGATATGAAGGTCATGGTGGATTCGAAGGTCATGGTGGGTTCGAAGGTCATGGTGGGTTCGAAGGTCACGGTGGCTTCGAAGGTCACGGTGGCTTCGAAGGTCACGGTGGCTTCGAAGGTCATGAGGCAGGATTTATGGGTCATGGTGGATTTGAAGACCATGGTGGACTCCACGAAGAAAACCCAATGGCCAGAGAATTCACTCCAGCAGGTCCTGGAGTCCCAGTCTCTGAACCTATGCCAGAAACCGGATTGAACTCACCAATGCCAGGTAATTACATAGTTAACTTCCTTCAAAGAATACTGCTTAACAATGGCATAAAGTTACAAGAAACAAATTTTTTCAGAGACTGTTCCTTGTTTTCTGCATCCCCTCTTTATTGGACACTGTGGCTACATATCCTTAGTTATATATCCGTCAGATTATCAACTCATCTGGCGAATCATGACGAATGAACGAGCCGTTATTTCTTGCAGCTAAATATGCCGAAAATTTTCTTATAAACACTAACAATCAATAGTGAAAATGGCTTTGTTGTCCCTTATAAGGAATGATAGACCTATGATGTCTACAAGAAATTGAACGAACGTGTAGAAACACATTGCTTTATTGTTAACTGAAATATTCAAAAATCTTGAAGCCGCTAAAGTGTAGACAAGTTGTGCAGTTTTTGCAAAAGTAGCAAAAAAACATTCTTAAATACTATATTCAGAAATATCTTGATAGCAATATTTTGATAGCATCCAGTTAACATCAAGTAAAACATGTCAGTCAGGATTCAAGCTTTCAACAAAGTCTATCAAAAATTCATTTAAATGAAAATAGCATTTTGCAACTACGGATGAAACTGTTTTTTCCTTCGTTCAAATTTGGAACAAAATACATATACAGCTATAAGATAAAAATGGGCCTTAAAAATATGTTAAGCATCAATATAATCCAAAACAGCCAAATCCGTTTGATTTATAAAGTTTGTTTTTCGATGCAATTAAAAATATGATTTTTTACTTTTGCTTTCACTATTAGGTGGACCAGAAGGTGGACCAGAAATTGGACCAGAGCCAGGACTTTCTGGTGGTTATGGAATGGGTGCTCCACAATTCAAGAGACACGGAGTTCCAAAGAAGCCAGAAAAAAGCAGCGACCAAAATGCCAAGGTCAGATCAACAAGATCAGTTGAAAAGAAACACGTAAAGGCGTCTAAGAAAAACCACGTTGTTGTTCAAAGACCAGACCTGATCTACCATCAAAGACCGGAAATTTACCACAGACCACCACTGATATTCCATCAACCGGATGTGGTAATTCACAGACCACCATTCATAGTTCACAGACCAACAATTGTTGTCCACAAACCAGCTGTTATCTATCACCAACCGCCGGTCGTATTCAACACTCCGGATCCAGTCCTGCACGAGCCACATGCTGTCTCACATGATATGTATGTGACACATCAAGAGCCACACCAGATTGGATCAGAACTGTCTCATGCTGGCGGCTACGTCGGCCAAGAGGGCTATTACAATCACGACGAAGAGCATGGCGAAGAATTCCATGGAGACGCTGGGCACGGTGGCTTTGAAGGAGAACACGGGGGTGATTTTGGAGGTCACGGCTTCGTAGGAGGAATTCCCGGTCCTGGACCAATAGGGCCTGAAGTAGCCGGTCAAATGGGATATGGGGCCGCATTCAGCAACGCTCTTGGTAATTTGAATGCTGGACTTGGATTCGGACACGAGGAAGTTGGAGCGCCAGAGATGGGTGCCAAGCGTGAACTCAAAACAAGTAAAGGAGAGAAGAAGCACCACGTCGTTGTGCAAAGACCAGACCTCATCTATCATCAGAGGCCTGAAATCTATCACAGACCACCTCTAATTGTCCACAGACCAGATATAGTCATTCATCGACCACCAGTTGTTGTGCACCGTCCAGATGTCGTCGTCCACCGACCTTCAGTTGTTTATCATCAACCTCCTGTAGTATTTAACACACCAGACCCTGTTTTACACCAACCACACGCTGTGTCACACGATATGTACGAGACACACCAAGAGCCACACCATATTGGATCAGAAACAGCACATGTAGGAGGATACGTGGGGCAAGAAGGCTACTATTCAGATCAAGAAGAACACGGTGATGGCGAGGGCCATGCTTTTGGAAATAACCATGGTTTTGATGGTGGCATAGATGGTGCCAGTGATGGGGGTCATCACGGTGACAGTTTTGGCTACAAGAGAAGCAGCCAAACAAAATCATCTAAAAAGAAGTCTGCTAAGAAATCAAGAGTCACTAGATCAGCAGAAAAGACGAAGGAAGCTCAAGAGAAAAATACCAAAAAGGGACACAAAAAGCACCATGTTCTTGTACATCGACCCGACATTGTTTATCATCAACGCCCAGAGATTTACCACAGACCACCCTTAGTCGTACATCGCCCAGATGTTGTTATCCACAGACAACCGTACGTTGTCCATCGCCCTCCTGTAGTTGTCCACAGACCAGATGTAGTCTATCATCAACCTCCAGTTGTCTTCCATACACCTGATCCTGTCACACACCAGCCACATGCTGTGTCGCATGATATGTATGTGACACATCAGGAGCCCCATCAAATAGGCTCAGAGGTAAGAGAGACATCTTTTAAATAATAAAATAGCATATTAAGATAATAAAGAAATAATTTCAGATAACATGCAGCAAACAAAGGGCAATGTAAATACAGTTTTCTTCAAAACGTTTTACATAAATTCGGCTAAATTTGATTGGTCAACCGCTCGTGGTCGAGTGACTGTAAGCCACTTTTACCTGTGTCAAATGCCTTTAACTAGTGACAAGGTACGACTAAGGCCCTTATGTTCTTTTAACACATCTAAAAAGCTAAAACAAGGTGCAACAGCTAACTTAACAAAAGATGAGGCAGTAAGAGGAAATTTTTTCAACGGTCTGTTCTTTTTATGTGACAGTACACAGATCGGCTGTCAGCGAACTGGACAAAAAGGCGGTGTTTTGTTAGATACATGGCTAAAAGATAATTAGATATATATATGTTACCAATAACTCTTTACTGTCTACGTATCAATATATGTAGCCATCAGACGATAAAATACAGTTAATTTTTCTTTAACTGAAGCAATTGTAGACAAAAAATTTCATGAAAATATTTGTTTCATTTATAGGTTGCACATACCGGAGGTTACGTTGGAAGTGAGGGTTATCATGAAGATGGCATCATGGAGAATACGGAGTCACTGATTACGGTAATGGAAACGGCTTCAGTAACGGGTACGGAAATGGCTATGGTGTTTCAGGATACGGTCATGGTTACGGAGCAGATGTAAGCCATGGAGGGTTTGGATATAAAAGAACAACCACTAAGAAGGACTCGAAGAAAACTGCAAAAGGGCACAAAAAGCACCATGTTTATGTTCATCGGCCAGATATCATTTATCACCAGCGTCCTGAAATCTACCATCGACCACCACTTGTTATTCATCGACCTGACGTAGTTATACACAGACCTCCATATGTTGTACATCGGCCTGATGTTGTTGTTCACAGACCATCAGTTGTATATCACCAACCACCAGTTGTATTCCACACCCCAGATCCAGTTGTACATCAACCACATGCAGTTTCCAATGACATGTATGTAACACATCAAGAACCACATCACGTTGGTTCTGAACTCTCTCATACCGGCGGATACGTTGGTCAGGAAGGTTACCACGCAGAAGAAGGTCATGGTTTTGGAGGATTTGGCGGTTTCGGAAGCTTTGGCTCTTTTGGAGGATATGGCGGTCACGGTGAAGGCTATGGCGGTCACGGTCAAGGCTATGGCGGTCAAAGCTTGGGTCATGGTGGATGGGTTGGACCAGGAGCTGGAACTTTTGCTGGTCCAGTTTTCCCTGCGGCAGATGCACACTTTTTCTTTGCACCAGCAACTGCGCCAGCATTTTACTTTGCACCAAGACCTATCGTAGATGCACTTGGCGAGGCTGCACTCAGATCAGCGGTTCCAGGAAAAAGCAAACCCGAAAAAGAACATGTCAAAAATGTAAAGAGCTCCAAGAAGTTTGAATTTGGTGACTTTGGTCACCATGGTGGATTTGGAGGACATGGCGATGGCGGATTTGGCGGACATGGTGATGGCGGATTTGGCGGACATGGTGATGGCGGATTCGGCGGACATGGTGATGGCGGATTCGGCGGACATGGTGATGGTGGATTTGGCGGACATGGTGATGGCGGATTTGGCGGATTCGGTGGACATGGCGATGGCGGATATGGTGGACATGGCGACGGTGGTTTCGGCGGACATGGATTTGGCGGTCACGGATTTGGTGACGAAGGAGGCCATCATGGCGGCCACCACGGAGGCCACGATGATCATTTTGACCATGACTGGGATACGCATGATTGGGGACACGGACATGGAAACACTTGGGAACACCACCAAGATCATGATCACCATCATAGTGGCACTCAAAATGTTGTTCTGCAAAGACCGGATATTGTCTTCCACCCTCGCCCAGAGCTTTACCATAGACCTGATATCATAGTTCATCGTCCCGATATTGTGATTCACAGGCCATCAGTTGTTATCCATCAACCCCCTGTTTTAGTTCACAGGCCTGCTGTTGTCCTTAAGCAGCCGCCAGTTGTATTCCATCAGCCTCCTCCAGTTGTGCACAGACCTCATATGGTGTCACATGATAACTACGTTACGCATCAAGTACCGCATCATGTTGGTTCCAATGTTGAGCATGGCGGTGGCTATGGTGGGCATGGTGGTGGAGGATATGGCCATGGTGGAGATTCATATGGAGAAGGTGGTTACTATGAGGGACATGACGTAGGCCATGTTGGACATGGTGAAGGTTTTGGACATGATGGCGGATTTGGTGGTCATGATGGCGGATTTGGTGGTCATGATGGCGGATTTGGCGGACATGGTGGCGGATTTGGTGGTCATGATGGCGGATTTGGCGGACATGATGGCGGATTTGGCGGACATGGTGGCGGATTTGGCGGACATGGTGGCGGATTTGGCGGACATGGTGGTGGATTTGGCGGAAATGAAGGCGGATTTGGCGGACACGATGGCGGATTTGGTGGAGGTTTTGGACATGGAGGTGGTTTTGGTGGCCACGGAAATGGATTTGCAAAGTCCAAGATTGAAAGCAAGAAGAATGCTGCAAAGAAACATAAACTTCCCAAGAAAGAGACTGCAACAAAAGCAAAGCGCAGTGCAGATGAATCAAAAGAAGCCAAAACTGAGAAGGGAACACAAGGTAAAAAGAAGCATCATGTAACTGTGCACCGTCGTCCCGATATCGTCTTTCATCGCCGACCAGAGGTCATTCATCGGCCGGACATTGTCGTCCACAGACCTGACATTGTCATTAAGAGACCATCAGTTGTCATTCATAGACCACCAGTGGTTGTCCACAAACCACCTGTTGTGTACCATTCCCCACCAGTGGTGTTCCATCAACCCGCCCCTGTTGTGCATACCCCCCATGTTGTGTCACACAACCATTACGGAACACATCACGTACCAGTCCACGTTGCATCACACGTGTCTCATGTGGGATACACTGAAGGAGATGGTAATCATCACGGATCATATGGTGGTTACGGGTACGGTAACGGTCATGGTTACGGTAACGGTTACGGTGTAGGATATGGAGGAGGTCACGGAGGCACAGGTAGGAATACCAAGCATGTTTTCTTAACGAATTTTAAAGTCACCGTATGTCGCAATTAAACATAATATGCTGTGAAATGTATTCATATGATAGGGAAGAAGATGATATAACATGAAAGAGATATGATAAATGAGGTGATAATAGACAAATGATATAAGGATAAAACGCATAACACTAGACATACGGGTAATAACATGATATATAAAAATCACATTTCTATTTATATGTCTAGTAAGGGCTAGAGATATAAAATGAACATATTTTGGCATACATGACAATAACCTTACAGTTTAACAGACTTGAACAAACTATAAGCTGCAGAACATTTGCTCAGATATATTTAATAGCCAATTTCAATTTCTAATTTAACTATTAACGCAAGTAATGTCTGTCTGCTGCATGTTGAATATAGTCTAATATCAGGTTGTTTTTGTTTAATCCTGCCAACTAATCCTGCCAGGTTAAGGTAAGGCATAAAGGAAACTGACCTAAAGTAGACCAGAGATTCTTTTACTGTTTGTAACAAGCTATCAGTTTCAGACCAGCAGAGCAAATGTGCTTGTTGCTAAAAATTCAAGTCAAATAAAGCGGAGTCAGCCGTAAAGTACATACTTTCTTCTCTAGGTTTTGGTTATGTGAAATCAAAAGTTTCCACGAAAAAGCATAAGAAGAATGTCAAAGGAACAAGAAAAGACGCCATAGAGAACTTCCAAGAAACTGGACATAAAAGGCATTTTGGAGGTGGATTTGGAGGCCATGAAGGTGGTTTTGGTGGACACGAAGGTGGCTTTGGCGGACACGAAGGTGGCTTCGGCGGACACGAAGGTGGACACGAGGGAGGTTTCGGAGGACACGAAAGCTTCGGCGGTCACGAAGGTGGCTTCGGTGGACATGAAGGAGGACACGAAGGAGGATTTGGCGGACATGAGGGAATCGGCGGTCATGAAGGAGGATTTGGCGGACATGAAGGTGGTCACGAAGGAGGATTCGGTGGACATGGCTTCGGCTATGCCGGTCATGGCGAAGGACATGATGATGGACACCACTTTGATGAAGACTGGGATCATCATGACTGGGGACACGGACATGACAACACATGGGAACATCATAATGATCATGATCATCATCATGCCGATCAACAGAACATCGTCGTGCAACGACCCGATATCATCTTCCATCCACGCCCAGAATTGTATCACCGTCCAGATATAATCGTTCATCGTCCGGATATTGTCATTCACCGTCCATCGGTAGTTATTCACCAACCACCAGTTTTGGTCCATAGACCTGCTGTTGTCTACCACCAACCCCCAGTTGTGTTCCATCAACCGCCTCCAGTGCTCCACAGACCTCACGTTGTTTCACACGACATGTTTGTGACGAAACAAGAGCCACATCAAGTTGGATCAGAGATTGAGCACGGCGGAGGAGCTGGTGGCGGTGGATTTGGAGGCGAAGGAGGAGGAGCAGGAGGAGGTAATTTCTAATTATGTCAAGTTAAAACATTTTTTGTTTTAAGGTAACATGATATCTCGAAATAAATTCGTACTCGAAAAGTTATAATTCAAACTTTTGAAAATAAAGTCAAATTTGCCTTCCTTTCAACTCAAGATTATTGGGAAATCAAATCACTAATAAGTACACTATACTGATATTGGTCACGTGATGCTGTGCTATACAAATGATGATGGTAGCCGTGCGTATTAGCCGAGTGCTTGGGCATTCGGCTCAAAAGAAAATAGGGTTGCAGGGATTTACCTTGTGATAGGGGTTGTGAGGGTTTAATACTCTTTACATGTGTGCGATCAATCATTACTAATTTGAGTATGTATAAAACGGGTCTGTTTGGTATAAACCAATCAGTAACAAAGTAGGAACGAGACGAAAAGTTCAAGCAAAATTTGAACTATGCAAGTATCAACACAAAAACTATTGATCCCGACTTTTAACTTTTTCAGGATTATAAATGACAAGTTTTTACAAGAAAGTTTATTTCCAAATTTTTTATCTTGAATAACACGCTACAAGGACAGGTCCAGCTCACGAGAAAGGGGCTACCATCGTCATGTCACTGCATGGTTTGGACCTATATATAAATCACAACTAAACAAGGATGATAAATAAATTTTGACATACCTTGACTAAAAGTCTCTTTTATACCCTTGATATATCTAAAGAATCCACTTGGTTCTCAGCAGCCTAAAAACACGAAAAAGTGCATTAGCAGGAAACTGACTGAAAATTGAATGGCCTCTTGCCTTATAGTTACAATAACCTGGACTAAAGCCAGATCTCTACATTCACTCTTTATAAAGGCCATATACAGAGAGCGAATAATGATAAACAAAATAAATCAGCAAGCAGGGATTTCGAGTCCGGGGATGCGCCAATGATGCGTTTCCCCTCAACTTTTGGAATGATGCTCTTTTCTAAAAGCAACCTCTTTGAAAAAGCTTTTTTTCGACATGGTGCTCCTTCCTGCCTGTGCACTTCTAGCTTCGAAAAGCTTCCGACGTCTTTGTAACTCAAAAGCTTATTAATGTAAATATTTTCTTAAAAATAATAGTTATATGACTTGAAACCTAATGGTCTCTATCATTATCATTCTTGTAGATACTGTCAGTCATGGCGGCTACTACGAGGGACACGACGTCGCACACCACGAAGCATCGCACGAACACGAAGGTGACTGGGGACACGAAGAAGGACACGGTGATGAGGGATTCGGAGACCACGGCGGCTTTGGAGGATTCGGCGGACACCATGGCGGGTCTGGTGGATTTGGACACCACGGCGGATTCGGAGGAGGATTCGGTGGTGGTTTAGGCGGCGGTTTAGGCGGCGGTTTAGGTGGAGGCTTAGGCGGAGGCTTAGGCGGCGGATTCGGAGGATTTGGTCATCATGGAGGTCACGAAGAAGGAGGTCACGGATATGGAAAATCGATAGTTCCAAAGAGCAGCAAGGAAAAGCGCTCAACTAAGGAAAAACATCACAAGCAAGTCAAAAAGGAGGAATCAGCCTCGAAAAAACACCGCGTCGTTTTCTTTCGTCCACCGCTGATCTATCATCAGCCACCCGAGGTCTATCACCGACCAGATTTGATTGTCCACAGGCCTGATATTGTTGTGCACCGTCCAGAGGTTGTCGTGCACAGACCACCAGTCATTGTGCATAGACCAGCAGTCGTATATCACCAGCCTCCTGTTATTTTTTATACCCCACCACCCACAGTACACCAACCAATGATGCAATCACATGATGCATATTATTCAAGGCCAGAGTACGAGCATGTTGGAAGCAGCTTGCAGCATGCTGGCGGATATGTTGGAGTCGAAGCACACCATGAGGTACGATACGAAAATTAAAACGCGGTTAGCACGCAGACAAAGTGCAGTTTAAACGCAGATAATATGCAAAAAAATGACTTATGATGGAAAATTTGTTTTAACAATAAATTATCAATTTGCTTGGTTACGAAAACAATTACACATATTCTTTTGCAGTAAACAAACTGTCTAATGCAGTCCATTAAATAGCTTCATGTTTGTCTCAAATAGTGTTAATCCATCATTGTAATAGCTAACGTTTAATAAACTATACAAGTATGAGAATTATATAGCTATGTTATAGGTAGCATATGCAAACTATCAACAATATCGAAAGCATTTACAATGTTACAATAAGATTATAAGAGATTTTTAGTCAAGTATCACCTAATTTAGAAATTAATGTCATACATTCAAGTTTGGGGGCCCTTTTTTGAAGCTGCCAATTATTAGGGCTCTGTTTGAGGTAATGTTTGCCACATCTTGTTTATCCAAGTATGTCACAGTTTTTATACAGGATTAACATCCAATTTCTTTGACACGATTTGACACAAATTAATACCATTTTTCAATTTGCCTTGCAGGGAGGATTTGATCATGACGAAGGACATGCAGGTGGATTCTTCGGCGGTGAAGAAGCAGGTCATGGCGGTGAAGTCGCTGCCGACTTTGGTCATGGAGCTGAAAGAGGTGATGCCGGATTTGTAGGACAAGGCGGTATTCCAGACGCAGGGTTTGGAAATGGCGAATTCGGACAGGGTCAATTCGGACATGGAAATGAGGGAGTTCCTGGAGTAGGAAAATCTAGCATTGCAAAAACGAAGAAAGCACAGAAAGAAGATCAAGATGATGAAGATAATGATGATAAGAAGAAGCGGTCTCTCCTTGCAAAACTGATCAAGAAGCGAAGCACTGACGAAGAAAAACAAACTGGAAAGCCAAAGAAAGAAGAGACGAAAAAGAAATCAAAAGGAAAGAAGTTATCTTTCCACACCAACTCAAAGCATGGCAAAAAAGGTGAAAAAAGTGGAAAGAAAAGCAAGAAGAATGACATTATTGTAAAGCGACCACCAGTCATTTATCATCCACCCCCAGAGATCTATCATCGTCCTCCCATTATTGTCCACAGACCACCCCTTGTTATCCGTAGACCACCCATCATCTACCATCAGCCTCCAGTCATCGTTCATCGCCCAGCCGTTGTCTATCATCAACCACCCTTGGTTTTCCACCAACCTCCACCTGCTGTTAGTCAGCCAATCCTTAAATCACATGACACATTCATGATGCATCCAGCTGCGAGACTCTCGCATATGGGTTCAATGGTGACAAATTCTGGTACATATGTTGGTGTTCCAGAGCATAGATTTATGTATCAAGGAGGCATGGGATTCTTCCACGCACCACATGAAGAGGGCTATGCTGGACACTCAGCAGAAGGAGGTGAAGGTGAGCATATGGTTGAAGGTGGATCTGAAGGTGCAGTTGAGGGAGGCTATTCTACTGGAGCTGCAGGAGTTAGCATGGAAGGAGGCGAACACGGAGGGTTTTCAGAGCTAAACTCACCACAATTTTCTCATGGTGCCTTTGGTCGGGACCAAGTTGAAATGGGTGGAAGCGAACAGGAAGGTGGTGAACAACAAGAAGGCAACTATGCACAAGAGAAGTCCAAGACTGCAGAAGCCTCTAAAACTAAGGAGAAAGAAACATCAGAGAAAAGAAAACAGATAGCAAGGCCAGAGAACAAGCCAGCTAAAAGAACACTAAAGAAGAGCCTGAAAAAAATTGTCAAGCGACAAGTTATGGCCTTCCCACGAGGTTACAATGAACTTCCAAACAACTACGATCAAGCATATTCACCATATTACAACGAGCATAAACACCACAAAACACGAGTCGATGTTGATGTTGTCGGGAAAAGATCTGCAGAGGAAAAACAAACAATTAATGATAGGAGTACTTTTTTATTCTGAGGCGGCCTCGGGTGGTTTCACCGTCCGAGGCCTCAGGAGGTAACGACGGTTCCCCTGACACTAACAAGGCCAGTAATAATAACAAAGTAATAAGATACAAAAGGCAATACTATTTTCCAAATCATCAATACGCTTTACCAAGATACATGAACCGACCGGTAACGCAAAATTTTTACCGTCTGCCACAATCGCAAAGATATGAACAACCGCATAGGTATGGAAATTTCCATCAACAGCCATTTTATCACGAGCCAGCTGACCCAGACAAACCAAGAGTGCATGTCCATATTGAAGCAGAGAAGAAGAACGTCATATCGCACACTGAAGATAACTTGACTGAAGATCGTAAGAAACGACAGCTCCTCGGAATGACGTCATTGATGAGTCCAGTTCAGCCGATCAAATCCCCGTTACGACAGTCGACCTACAAAACAGAAAACGCCAAATCTGAGGTGCCCAAGCAGAGATCGTCGAGAGACGTGCCAATTGAAGTTCCTGCACGAGCAGAGGAGCATCATGGTATCTTTAAAACAAAGACAACAATTATGACTGAAGGCGAGACGAAGAAGTCTACCATACAAAAAATCCAGAAAAGAGAGACAAATAGTCAGGATGACGAAGACGAGCATGCACCGATCAGGAAACGCCAGTTTGTCTTCAATTCTGAACCACCGGTAGTCAGAGCAACAGTCAAAGGCGAAGGACACAGCCCTATTGGCAAGCTCATAAAGATGATAGCAGGGAGTAATGCAAAGAACATTCTAGGGCTCAATAGCAAAGGTTTCGATGTTTTCCCGGGACCATTACCTGATGCAAAGGAAAGTGCTTGGAATATAAAGAGTGCTGAGGCAGGAAACACGGAGCAGCCTGCAGACCGTTATGCAAACCAACTGCCACAAGAGCAACCTCAATCTGTGCCTGAAATGTACCAACAAGCAGGCCTGGAAATAAATGCTGCCAGCCAACGTCGAGCTGAAGCAGGAAAGAGCGCCGAGAAAGAGGCTGAAGAAGAAAGAGCGGCATTTGTCACAAAAGAAAACGAGGAAATCGCTGCACAGACTGCTGCTTCCCTTCAAGAACAAAAGCTAGAGCAGGAGAAAGACTTAGAAAGACAACAAGAAATTCAGCAAGAGCAAGAGATGGCACATGAGCGAGCAAATACACTTACAAACATGTTGTCAAGACAGGCAAGGCAACAATTTGTTGACATGAGTCGAGTATTTCCACAAGGAGAGCAGATTGCACGACCCATGCCAGCAATGATGATGCCAGAAATGCCATACCAGGATGACAACGATGACAGGGAAGAATTCCCAGCACCTACACGTATGATGCCAATGCCATTCGATAACTTCCATCCAACGCAAATGCAGCTACCTACAGCAGCGATGTCATACCAAGAGGAGCAACCAATGTCTTTTATGCCATTGATGCAGCCAACTCCTACTCCCTTCTTTCCAACACCACCCATGATGTTTGTACCAACTACAGCTATGTTTCCACTGCCAGACCCAACAGCACCGTTCTTCCAAGATCCAGATCGCATAGAAAGACCTGAAACTTCTGAAGTAAGCGATGCACCTTTATCTATGCCACACTTCAAGCCCCGCTTCACAAGGATGCATCCTAGACTGCGTATGCACAGGCCCACAGAAATGCCATATCGCTTCAGTCAGTACCCAGAGCCTGAGTACAACGAAGAAGACGCAAAACCGGAAGTGCATGTTCACATCCAAACTGAAAAATCCAAAATACCTCAAGGTGAAAAGGAAGGAACCATATTACACAAGAAAAGACAATAGAAGGTATTTTTTTCAGATCGTTTAATTGTTGGCTAGAGAAGACATTTGCTTGATAACATCTACATTTCTTGTGGTATCGTGGCCTTAAAAATGATTATTACAATGTATTTGGTCATCAACCGTTATGACATCATAGATGACGGAGTTACTTAATGACTACTTTATCAAGACATTGGAGCAGTGGCGTGCCGAAGGGCTTTTGAGTGGGGGGGGGGGGTGCAGCATGAGAAATTTACCGACAGGGTTGATAAAAGATAGTTAATCATGGCGCACAAATTTTACACTCTAGTACCGTAGTTGGTCTAAACGTATCTTATTGCTTCTAACTGGATTGAAATTTAGCAGATTACTTGCAAAATACTCATGTTATTGAATCTAATGATCCCAACGAAAGCGGCATTAAAAGTAATTTGGATCTCTGGAAGGGCAGGGTTAGGAAAATATTCACACCATTAAATAATATCGATACATATAAAAACATATAGTCCTGCATGGTATAGATTTATATCTTCATTCTTCTAGTTTTAAGAATTGACCAGCTATTTGTAACTTCATCAAGATCCAAACGATCTAAAATGTCACTGGAACTTGCAGCTACCATTAGATAGTCTAAACGTTCTTCTTTCATTGTCGAACGGAGGTAACCTTTAAAACCAGCTGTTTGGTTTGCAACAATTTATATGTAAAAACAAAAACGGGCAACAACACTTTCTATGCGAAAAGGCAGACGTAAGCTAATTCTTCCCCGAAATACTGACACGCTGTTATAGCTATGTCAATTTTTACCGACAGGCAAAAAATTACCGACGGCTTCTACAAAAAATTGGGAATGGGGACACCCCCCCCCCTAACACCCCCTACTTCGACACGCCCCTGCATTGGAGTTTGAGTGAAAGGGTTAAGCAAAGCGGAACGTGTTGATTTACCAATATCAAAATGTTGGAATAGACTACAGGTCCCAAGAAGTAGATCTGTATCCCTGTTACAAGCAATACAAAATTACTAATACTATCCTTTCTTGAGTAGCACAATATTCTATTCGAGAGCAACCCAAATTCTACATGTATCGTTAAAACACACTTTTCACAGAATGGTAAGTTTATGAATAACAGATGTTGTTGCTCTAGGTCTTACAGACCCAATTCTAGACAGATCAACAATTGCTACCATAATCTGATAATAAATCTTTTTTTCCCAGATACGAAAGAATAAGCAGTGGATATTTAAGGATGCACACAGTTTACAACGAGCTTCTCACCAGGCAATGTTGAAGAATGCATCTACACAAACGACTCGCTGAAGACATAATGGTTTTGACAGAAGAAGTTTGGCTTGATGGTAACTAAAGTGTGTGTTATATTTCTAGAACAAGCCAGCCCCTCTACTTTGCGCAGGGAAGGTGCAAGTCAAGCCAATACCAAATAAGAAAATTTTCCCGTTTTAGAGATTTTTGGTTGACTGTGCAGTATTTTGATATCAAGAAGGCATATGATGACTTACTTTAAATAAGATATGACATCCCCGATATTGCAATTAGTCAAAAAATGACGAGAGGGAAGCTTTGTAAAATAGGCCACCCGTTATAATGGATGAAGTATTAAGTATCAATTCAAGTAATAACTACAATATTATTAGCTTGGAAACGAGAAAATTTTATTGGCACCACCACTACAAAGAGTTTTCGTCTTTTTAACAGCATTCAGGCCACAGCATGACGTAACAAAATATTGGAAAACATTGCCTTTTAGAAATTAGTCCGATCTGTACCTTAGATTTATTGTAAAATAACAAGTAACTGCTTTAACATGCTCAGAACTCTATGAGTGTGAAAATTATTCATGGTTTTAGCCATTATTTAGATACATTCGTGTACGTATGCGAGAAGGACAATATTTATTGACGTATGTTAATGAAATAGATTTAATTGAATTGTAAGAAATGATTATAAACGGCTGTTTTCCTATGTCTACTCTTGGCTTTACTACTCTTGGCTGATAATTTGCCTTGAATAATTGCAGATGCAGAAACAGCACAATGTACAGAGCAAGGGGGCAAAAGAAGGGTGTCTTGAAAGGGGTGTATCGCTCTTTCCAAACAGCGTATGAGCTTTTTCAGGGTAATAGGGTATTTTAGAGATCTAAGGGACTTTTTAGCGATTTTTCTTGATAACAAAGGGTATTTGCCAAAATCGTACGAGGTTTTCATTGAGTAACATGCTCCTTGGGTGTCTGTGTGATTTTCGCTATTGTAGTGCAATAACCTTACCTACTTTAGACACCAGCTTCAGATTCTCTTTGTACTGTACTGAAAATTTGCTTTGCGTAATCAAGGGTGAAAAACAACCTCATAAAGTGCAAAGCAAGAAGCTAGGGAAGCATTTCTATGCGATTCTCATTTTTGCAGCGTAAAAAACTTCATCCATCAAAAAAAAGTCAAACTCATCTATGTCAAAATAGCTTAAAAAACATCTTAGAACTGGGACAAAAAATCAAGAAATGTGAGTGTAGCTGAATAAGGGTAATTGCGAAAGTAAAAGGTTCCATTTATTGTCAAGGTGGACGCATAGGTTGACTCAACCAAGCCAACATGATTTAATTCATTAAGTGTAATTTTTTGTCGTTTTACAGAGGTACATCTTGGCATTTTTGGAAAGGGTGATCAGCTTTGCCCATGTAACTAAGGCATTCAGGATCCTCCTAAAATAGCAAAAGTCACTTTTGGACAGAGCTATTTCTGGCAATCAAAATTCCCATTGTGCTTCTTTTATATAGCGTTTGGTAGATGCCTTACCCCAGCTCACATGCATACCACTGCATGCCAAAGTTGATTGATGGTTCCTTGATATAGATCAATGTGGCAGAGAGAAAAAACGTGCAACTGGATGGTAACATACCGCAACAGATTTTGAAAGATCACAATCGAAGAGATTGCTTAATTGCATGTCTCGCCAAACGGCCAAACATGAACGGTTCGCTGTGAGCGCAAACATAGCAATAAATAGGACACGCCAGCCAAATAGTCTTGAAGAGCAAATAAAGATGTTTTTTAAATGTATTTGTAAACATAAATATCAAGACTTGCGTTCCTTCTTATTGTCCTTGATATGCAAGATGATGATCTATAGGAAAAATATCAGCGTGTTTACACATTACTTTGTTTGCTTAAGAGAATGTTTGTGGACCATCTATGACTGTTCTATTACGTCAACAGAGATAATTTGCTACCTCTTGTTGCTAGTTCCTGCTACCGCAGAAGCACAGGACATGGTCTTTTTAGAAGACTTCAGTAGAGGGGCGAGGACTATGTTGTTATCAAAGAGAAACAAAGAATTCTTATTCAGAACGAGCGCTGTCTAAAACAAAGAGCAAGCGCGTACATCTTCCCCCCCCCCCCCCCTCCTTATCATAACTTGTTTTTCGAAAAGAGCTCTGGCTGGGGTCATGTCTTAGGCCCATAAAAGGATGCAAGTATTCCACAAAACAACAATTCAATCCTCTTCAAGACTTATTTCATAGAGGAATTCTTGTACAGTTAGCATTTAAAGACCAAGATGACTTTCTATAGGTCGGTTTAGTGAAAACATGAAAGTAGCGACATTTGGCTAATTCATGTCTCGGGTGAGCCGATCGTTCGTATAGAAAAGCCGTTCCCCATATTTTTCAAAAATCTCAGAAATTCTATTCAAAACAAGTAGAAAATTCCTGGTATATAATGGAGAAAAAACAATTTTTTCACTAAAAATAGGCATGAAAATGTGAATACCATGTTCACATTCCAAAGCAATTTTGACAAGCATTTTGTACATTCCAGAATTTTGTGGGTGACAAGACAGAGAGCTTGTTTCTTCGGATGATCTTCGGGGCGAGGGCGGTGGAAAAAAGAGGATGATAAATGGCGATGGAGGGCGATGGAGGGAAATGGAAGGCGATGAAGGGCGATGTATGTAGCGAAACCGAGTGATTCAGGCAAAGCACTATCAAAATATGACCATTATGTATTTTCATGACCAGGGAAAGTTGGTAAAATGGGTGTTCGACCGATTTCGGTGTTCCCATAGTGTTGAATGTTCTTGCCCGAGCACAGGGGTGTAGTGCTAGGGGGCTCTGGGGGGCTAAGCCCCCCTTGTTAATGCCAAAAATTTACAAACTTCTACTTTTGCTATTGTTTTTCGCAACATTTTATGCAAGAGCCCCCCTTGTTATTTTAATAGCACCACACCACTGCCTTAGCACCCTTTTTACGTTGTTAAAGCCTCGTAGAATCAACAGATAACCTCGAGAAAACGAGCATTTTAAAACAGCAGGTAGTAATTCTGGTTCGGCAGTTGTCTGCTTTATCAAGTATTCACTGTGAGTATATAACATGAACAATCACTCTTCGCACCCTTTAACTTCAAAAGTCTCTCAAACTTTATGGAAAGAGCTTCCTATAAAATAAATGCAAGTAGACGTTACCAAGATAACATAAGAGAATATTGACGCTATCTTGACGTTACTTATAGTGCTTTACCAAATAATAAATATGATTCCAGCGTAACATGGCATTAGTGAATAGTTACCCTAGGATATTTTAGGACAATTAGTTAAGAATACGACTGTTGAGAAAGCAAATAAAGAATGTTGATACAGCCATCTCTGCAAGAAAACAAGGCTATACCAGATGGACGATTCCTTTGAAAGGGAGAATATCATCCTAAATAGAAATTGGACAAAGGCTAGTACAAGATGGCTCTTGGCCAAGCATACGAGACGTAGTTAATAGAAAATCTGCATCAACCAAAGTTTGAGGACAATGAGTATCTTAGAGCATTCCCAAATAATGAGAAATTGAGCATCAATACAGTAAATATTACTTTGCTGAAGCAGCATGGAATTTTGAAGCTAGAAAAACTGCAGAAAAATTCCTGCAAGCAGTGGTGGCGGCAGGAGAGGGCTAGGGGGGTTACAGTCCCTCCGTCGAAAGCATCTAGCCCCCCTAATCGGGGGAAATTTTAGGTTCTTGGCGGAGCAACTTTGAGAAAATAAAGTGCAAAAACTGCATATTATTCCCCAGAGCTTCTGGCATGTAAGGAATGTCTGGTCTTGCGATATCTCCTAGAAAACACGCCCATCATATAGCTAAATCCTACAAAAGCCACCAAAAAAATACCTTAAAAAGGCACCGTGCGTATTGTGATGCGTCAAAATTTTTTGAAGGAGTAGCAAAGAAGCTCATAAGCAGTGCTTGAAATCGCCATTAGTAAAAAAGAAAATGTGTTATCTCAAAGAACAGTTTTTGCTGATTGACAATATCAATGAGATATATACAACTGATTCTGAGGGATGATTGTAAAATTGAAACATGAAGATAATGCTTGAATAAATTATTTTTGTCCATAAAAGAGCTACCAAAAGACTCTTTCCTTACTTCTCTCTTGTTTATTTGAAGAATACATGGCCAATTGTTGCAGAAAAACACGGGAGAAATGCAGTTTTAATTCCTGTGTACAAGCCTTTGGAACATTGTAGGAAACTCAAGGCTGTGTTTCTGTGCAAATAACAAGCTTCAAAGAGGTGTAGCTTGGTCTTAACCAATCAAAAGAAAGGAGCTTGATCGAATCCAACCAGGTCACAGAAGAGATACTTCAGCATTTTATCAGTAGATTAAACGCTTGTGCATGCAAATACTATCTTTATAGACGAAATTTCATTTACATTTTCATATAAACTGATACAACTTTTTACCAGAAAAATGTTGTTGAAGAGTTTTAGTATTTTCCCAGTAGGGATGGGACGTAAAAGAAATAGCAAAAATTATGTGTGATATTCGTTGAGGGAAGTTCCACTGTACCCGGTCATGTTTTGAAGCACATATTGGCTTACCAACTAAGCATTTATATAGAAATATGATTTTTTTTAAAAAAATGTAAGCTGAATTACCATATTGATCGTCATCATTAAGAAGTAATTAGTATCTACATGTTTGATGATTTAAAATGGCGGAAAACTATAAACAAATAAACTCGTGTTTTTATTGATAGCTTGTTTGATCAACTGTGCCAACCCTAGAAGACGCTTGCTAGCCAGTTATTGAATCCATCTAGTCTCGGCGAGCAACACAAAATAAGTATTGAAACTCCAAGGCAATTCCAACTCTATATTTTTCGTCATACAATAAGTCTTGTAGCACACTTTTTGCAGTTTTAACATACATTGATGTTCTAGATTTTACAGACTCAGCTCTAGACACATCAACAATTGCTTCCATATTGCTAGGTACTGTTGAAAATAAATTAAAGTTCAATTTCATATTGTCCAATAGCCTAATTGCCTTATAATGCCTTATAACTCAATAGCTC